GAAAACGAAAAGAGATAGACTAATGAAATTTTATGGAAGCATTACTGTTATGAAAACACACTTTCAGGTAATTTTTTTACTTTTTTAAAATGAGTGGAAGGGGTTGAAATAAACTACCCATATCATTCTTGTTAACGAAATTTAAAGAAAAATTTTATCAAACACATGCAAATGCTTTAATTTGGATAGTTTAGTTTGTTTAGTAACTTTTTTACCTCTTGTGTTTTTTTGATAAAGCTCACCGATTAGAAATTAAAAAATAAAATGTAAAGCATTACATGTCAGGACAAAAAACATTTTTAGATTAAGAATCTAGTGATAATAACGATAATAATAATCATCTAGATAATAACGTATTGCAGTAGAGTAATGTCAAATAAAATAATATTAGGAACATCCTAAAAAGTAACAGAGGCCGACTAGATTTTTTCCTAAAAAAATTACAGCACCCACTAGATTCTTTATCAGAAAATGTTTTTTGTCCTGACATGTAATGTTTTACATTTTATTTTTTAATTTCAAATCGGTGAGTATTATCAAAAAAATACAAGAGATAAAAAAGTTTCTAAACAAACTAAACTATCCAAGTTAATTTTTTTGCAAGTGTTTGATAAGATTTTTCTTTAAATTTCGTTAACAAGAATGATAGGGGTAGCTTATTTCAACCCCTTCCACTCATTTTAAAAAAGTGAAAAAATTACCAGAAAGTGTGTTTTCATAACAGTAACGCTTCCATAAAATTTTATTAGTCTATCTCTTTTCGTTTTCAAGATAAAAAATAAAAACATTATTTTTCCGCCATCTTTGTACCGCAATATCTCCCTAATGGTTGACTTTTGACCCAACGTTTATGAAGCAAACTACCCTTTATTTTGAACAAGGAATCACCCCCTGAAGTTTTTCGCATTTGTTTTGAAACACCCTGTATAAACAAGGCTATTAGTCTAACCTACAGCAATTTCAAATAAAAAAACAATGATATTTAAAATAATTACAAAAAACCTAATTTTAGAAAGTTTTTACATCGTGCAACTACTATGCATTTCCATACCCATGTTTATGAGAACTTTTTTTCCGTATATTTTTTGATGGGGAATCAATTAGTAGTTATTTAAAACTAATTTGATTGCTGTCGATCCAATAATATATAATGTTTTTTTTATAATTAGATTAGGATCGAAAGAAATCAACAGAAGTCCTTTGTTTTAAATTTGTCGACGTTTCGCAAAATTTATTTGCATCTTCAGGACACTCTTAACAAAGTTAAGAGAGCCAAAATACAATCAAAAATTTTTTTTCAAAAACAACTTAAAACACATATACCTACAATTGTAAAACTACCCTAATATTAACAATTAAATAAAATATATGTATACGTTACTCACATTTAAATCTGGACTTTCTTAGTCATATCCATTAATACACGGATGGTATAGAGGGGAGAGCTGGGGGAGAGGTATATATATCCCTTTTTTTTTCTTTTAAAACATACAGGGTTGTTCACCACATACGACACGGAGTATGGTAGCTAAACGATTAGATTTTTACAAATTGTAAGTTCTGGGTTCGTTGAAGGACTATTAGAGCTACAATTTAAAAATATTTTTACAAGATACAGAGTGTCCCAAATAAGTTAAAAATATTATAGTTGTATTTTTTAAATGGAACACCCTGTATATTATTCCATTTTTAGATTCTACGATTGAAATAAAGGTAAATTTGACTAAGGTTTATCACACTTAAACCTTACCGTTTTTGAAATATTTTCAATTTTATGAAATGCACTAAAAATTTTAAGGCTTTATTTCTCCAAGGGTATCAAAGTTTTTAATACTAAATATTTACTGAAGAGTATTTATTGATCAGATATTGTGTTGCTATAATAAAAAATTTACTACCTTATACAGAGTGTTCAAAAATTTATATTAAATAATTACTAGCTTTAAACTGCAATAACTTGTTTAATTTAAATGGAACACCCTATATATTTTACATGAATCACATGCACAATGTATTTGTCTATCAAATTGTATTATACCATTTTTTACCTATTTCTTCAAGTTTTTGTAGAAAATGCATTTTTTATAATTTAGACCTCATTTATCATTATACCCATGAAATATTGCCATTTTAGATTATTTTTAAAGATGTAACAAATTTTCAAAGAGTACAGATACTAATATTGTCGATATAGTTCGCTTATTTCATTAAAAAATAAAAAAAACTGTTTAAATATTTTTTGTTAACAAGGACCAATTAATATGATCCCAGCATTCAAACTACATTAATTGACTGTTTACCTTGATTAATAATATTTGCTCCAAATACTCAGAAACTGAATTTTGTGTGTATTAGACAGTGTGGTAAAAAGTAACACTTTATACATTTTATTTCATTTTTTGACGAATGCTTATTTATAAAAACAGAAACGTTCACCTTCATAACTTATTATTATATTGATTCTGAGCCAAATTCACACACACATTTATTTAGACTACTTTATTAATTAAACTAAAACTAATTTTTGGTCGAAATAATGGATATGTATATTTAATTGGTATACTCTTTCACAAAGATTTAAATAGTTTTTTTTGAATACCAATGGGCTTGCAATACATTTTGTACATATATGTTGCTTTAAAAAAATCTGAAATGTCAATATTCCATGAATATAAGAAAAAAAATATTCGATAAATTATAAGAAAATGCATTTTCTACGAAAACTTGAAGAGATGGGTAAAAATGGTATAATACAATTTGATAGACAATAATATTGTGCATCTGATTCACCTAAAATATATAGGGTGTTCTATTTAAATTAAACAAGTTATTGCCGTTTAAAGCTAGTAATTATTTAATATACATTTTTGGACACTCTGTATAAGGTAGTAAAATTTTTATTATTGCAACACAATATCTGATCAATAAATAATCGTCAGTAAATATTTAGTATCAAAAACTTTGATACCGTTGGAGAAATGAAGCCTTAAAATTTTTACTGCAATTTCATAAAATTGAAAATATTTAAAAAACGGTAAGGTTTAAGTGTGATAAACCTTAATCAAATTTACCTTTATTTCAATCGTAGAATCCAAAAATAGAATAATATACAGGGTATTCCATTTAAAATAATACAACTATAATATTTTTTACTTATTTGGTACACTCTGTATCTTGTAAAAGTATTTTTAAATTGTAGCTCTAATAGTCCTTCAACGAACCCAAAACTTACAATCTATAAAAATCTAATCGTTTAGCTACAATATTCCGTGTCGTATGTGGTGAACAACCCTGTATAACACACTTACATTTAAAAAAAAACATAACATCGATATTAGGTATAGAGAAATATCACGAAATTTCTTTCTTTTCACAGACAAGCAGTGCAGATATACCTACGTTGACCGTATACAGAGAGCAACTAATTCTAGTTGATAAAATACTAATATAATTTTTATCTGGAGATAAAGAATAGTTGAAAAAAGAAACATAGATATAAAAATATTATTTGGGGTGCTTGTCAGATATAACACCCTCCGAATTTTGTACTTTTTTTATATCACTCGAAAGCATACATCGAAATAAGTATTTCAAGCCAAAAAAAAGTATGGATGATCCATAATTTAATGAAAAAATAAACATCTAATTATTGCTACAACAGGCTACTTTCTATGCGAAAACTCCTCCAAATTTTGTCGGCGTTGCCAGATTCATTCATTTCTTCTTGAAAGGTTCATTAAAAAAACACGTGCTGGTCGGAAGAAAACTCGCGTTAAGAACAGATTATAAATTATTTTAAAATCAAGAAAAGGCGATCGTTTGAGGAATTGTTCCTACACATAGCTGATATTTTGCCAACGAGATTTGACTATTTATAACTACAAAGTTGCACGAAAGAGTTTTGATTGCGTTGGTTTCAACTTCTTTGGGGGTTAATCTGTTGTTTTTTTTTATATTTTAATACGAATCTGAGTGTTTTCAATGTCTTGATTTTAAAATAAGTTATAATCTGTTCTTATCGTGACAGCGCTACTGTATAAGGATTTGTTCGTCCGGCGACCGGCACGTAAAATCAAGTGAAAGCAATCAGATTCGTATTAAAATAAAAAACAAAACAAAAGATTAACACCCTCACGAAAAGGTTGAAACCAACGCAATCAAAACTCTTTCGGTTTCAACTCTTTTTTTGTATCATGTAACGTACCGTATGATCGAGAAAAAACGGCGTCAGCCCATGGCTATGAAATGAACATCGCTGTCATTTTATATGTAAAATTATATGGGGAATGTCATCGATCGTCATTTCCAAGCCAAATGGACGCCGTTTTTTTTCGATCATACGGTATTATGTATCATACAAACAAGAAATAACTTTGGCAACAATGCTTACACAGCTTACATCCTTAACAACAAATGGTGACAGACGGCTCCGGCGGCAAGTTCGAATCGAAAGAGTAAATCACAGGAGTAAATCGATCAGGCAAATATTACAAAAGATATCAGCAACTCTGTTTTTGATTTATGACTTATTAATGATTCTCAATGATTAAGTCTGACGTTTATATTAATAAAAAATGCATATAATCGTCATATTTTACAATAATTACACGCTTATACAACTTCACCATAACCTAAAAATGCACTTTTAATTTATTTATTTTTCAATAAATTGTGGTTCATCCGCAATTTTTTTTGCTCTAAAATTCTGTATTTAAGTGTATGCTTTCGACTGATTTCATAAATAAACGCTAAAACTATTTGGAAGGAAATTATAAGCACCCGAAACAATATTAAGATTTTAACCCCCTGTAGCTACGAAACAAAGCAGAATCGGACCTATGTTGATATGAAAAATAAATCTTATTTTAACGTGAGGAATCTATCCACGAGAGATGGCACATGTTCTTTTAAATACCCTGTATAAGTAGGGTTGTTGACCAGTAGGGTTTCCTTAAAGGCTTTTGGAAATTCTGGACAAGTGAACTCTACGGTATACTTACCTAAACGTGGACCGGTCTTGTGGTGGTGGAACATCTCTGTTAGAAGATTGCCGAGAATATGAACCTCCATGATACGAATTTCCATTATTTGAGTACGAATGCTGGTTTCTTTCATTGTTTTCCTGAAAATAAGCGATAGCGGCAAGGCTTACACCTATTAAAATTGACGCCCCCAAAAAAATTAACTTCAACTGAATCATAGTGTAGATATGGCTTAGATTAGTTTAGGATTAATATAAGATTGTATAAGATTTAATATATAAAAAGGTGAAAAATATCAATGTCTAGCTCGGTAGGTATTTCACAGAAATAATAACGGTTTGACAGTGCAGGCAACGTAAAACAAAAAAAACTAAGTATTCTTTTGCAAATGATAGGCAACCAGTAATACACTTATTTTTACGTTTTTATTAGCGATGGGAACTATCGAATGAATTACACTATCGAATGGTTACTGAATGAATGATTTCAACCATCGAATGGTTTTATTCGAATAAAATCATTCATTCATTTGTATACTAAAGCATATGTGACAACCTCGCCGTGCGACTAAATGGTTATCGTTGAGCCACGACTATCGAATGCTTTTGATAAATGAAATTTAGTATTCGTTTGATTTTTGTGTGCGTCAGTGCATTATTAGTTCTTCCAAATTTTTATAACTTCGCCTTATAAATACTGTGCTATTTTTGCGTTTATTAAAATATTTAAAATACTAAAATAGTAGTTTTTTTAATTGACGATTGTGTGCGTGTGCAGGTGGTCAAAATTTTTCCGAAAGTTTGTGTGATTTTCCGTAGCCCGATCTTTCAATTATTTAATTTTATATGGTATATGGTCTATTTTTTAATGGGAAATTTTGAGAAGTAGCAATTTTTAAGAGAGATGAGATGAACTTACAATTAATTTTAAAAATACATATTTGTATTTTAGATGTTTTAATAATATGAATTAGTTGAACTTAATAATTATATTAATTAATGTGGTTAAGTAAATGGTTATCGAACTCAGACTATGGGGTGAGAAAATTAAATTAAAAGTTTTACACGTGCCAATTTAAAAAAAAGTTAACGATGTTTGTATTTTGTTTATGCTAATTCTCTTACATGTAGTTTTTTGCGAAGAAATATTTCATTTATTTTTTAGTAAGTAAATACCAGTAAAAGTAAATATTATTATTATTAAATAGTAATATAAAGTACCGAATATAAATAATTTTGATTTCTAATTTTTATTTATATTTTCCTTGCATTACACTGCACGCTTAGAAAATTAATAAATGTTTATATTTCATGATTTTAAAATTTGTTGTTAATATAACAAATTAGTTCTGTAATTATTATTATTTAATAAACCAACGTTGCCACAAAAAATTGAGAGACTATATTATTTTTAAATAGGATCTAATATAAATAATTTTGACATCAAATTTGTTGTTTATATTTTGCTACTACTTAAAAAAAATGTTTATATTAAATGATTTCAAATTTTGTTGTTAATAGGTATAACAAATTATTACTGTTATTATTATTTATTAAACCAGTCTTTGCTTAAACACATTAAAAATAATTTTCCTACATCCAAAATAACAAGTATTATTGCAGTGTAACAACAGAATATTAATAAAAAAATATAAAATATATAGACATACTATCCCTAACTAACTAAAGCCAAACAATAATATTCTTTGCTAATATCAACTAATACCAATATATGGCAACAGCGCCCTTCATAATGTATTTTCTGTGTAAATACTAGCACCTCAATAAAAAAAAATAATGTCCTTATCTTTATCTGACTCCACAAAAATCAAAGATGCCGCCTTCTTTCATAGCATTGCCACCGACCGCTGTCGGGTTTCTCGGAAAGAAACCTACGTCGCCGGGCGACAACTAAAATCCAGTTAATATTTTATTATAATCGATCCTGACCAATAAATGAATTTCATAAATGAATGAATTTTATAAATGAATGAATTTTATAAATGAATGGTTTTTGCTGCCAAATTACTAGAATAAAATATTTCAAGGCAGATGACGCATCTATTCGATAATTTTTATTCGAATAGTTTTCAACGAATGTTTTCTTACTAGCTATCGAATTATTCGAATGAATTGCAACTATCGAATGTTTCGATAGTATTCATTCGATAGTTCCCACTACTAGTTTTTATTTTGAATGACCTATGATAGCTATTAAGGTTGATTAAATTCAACATTCATCAGCAGATTGAGAATAACATTTGAAGAGGAAGCTAAATCATTTTAGGTAAATTACTAATAATTTACCTAATTAATATGTTTCATAAATACCTAATATTATTTTATTTAGTAAAATATGTAGATATAAATGATTAATTTCAAATCAAATATTTTAGTGCACAGTTTACTTTATTTCTGGTTTTAGGCAACTATAAATACACTTAACGTGTATATAGAGTTGCCTTTATTAGGAGTTTAAATTTTTTAATTTAGTTTTTTTATTTTGAATAAGAAGACTTAAGGAAGGAGCATATCAAAAATCTTAGGTACACCGCGATGGGCCTCAAATATGGCCGACTTAAATTCCGGTTTATCAGTGTCGTTCTAATTTTATTTAAAAAATGTAAAACTATGATGTAGGGTAGACGTGCGGTAGACTCAATAATTTGTTGTTTTATTTTACGTTGTGAATAAATTTTGGTAGTTATTAAAATTGTTATAAAAATATATAATTCTAATAAAAATAGATAAGTTATAATAAGTATTTATTAGCACAAACATCCGAAACGCTACTGAAGCAGGTAAGTCAAATTAATGTATCTAAATTCTTTGACATCTAATCTTTGACAAGTAATAAATAAAAGCTAAAATGCAAGAAAAATATATAATTTAGTTAATTTAAGTGAATTTCATAAATAATCGGTTTACTACACGTATGTATATTATATAGTCACTTACTAGCGAAAAGTTGTTCCATTATTTCACCCTATTTTTGCCGAGATATACCGCACGCTACACAACCAACTATTTTAGAGTCTTTTTCGATAAATCGCGATACTGTCACTGTTAATTTAAGTTCTGCCACAATTTCCATCTAGATTTACTACCTTTATATAACTATCAGTAGTAGAATAAATAATAAATAACATAAAATAAGCTCCGTAAAGACTGACAAATCCACAAAATTTCAAATCAAATTCAAATGTGTCAAATGAATCGTCAAACAGAACTGTCAGAGATCCCCACCCTAGAGTGCTTTTATGGCGCTTTTTCCGCCCACCATGCATGAATACATGGATAATTTAAGTGCTGCCACAATTTCCATCTAGATTTACTACCTTTATACAACTATCAGTAGTAGAATAAATAATAAATAACATAAAATAAGCTCCGTAAAGACTGACAAATCCACAAAATTTCAAATCAAATTCAAATGTGTCAAATGAATCGTCAAACTGAACTGTCAAGGATCCCCACCCTAGAGTGCTTTTATGGCGCTTTTTCCGCCCACCATGCATGAATACATGGATAGCATTATGCTCCTTCCTTAGTCTTCTTATTCAAAGGTTTTTTACACTTTTTTAAATATTAAAATTAAACTATTTTTTACTTACGAGTACAGGTTACTTAACCATGTTTTTCCTTGTATTGCTATCAAAAAAGGTTTTTATAATACCGTATGATCGAAAAAAAAAACGGCGTCCAGTTGGCTGGGAAATGACGATCGATGACATTTCCCATATAAAATGACAGCGATCTTCATTTCATAGCCATCGCTGACGCCGTTTTTTTTCTTCGATCATACGGTATGTTATGGACCCTATCAATTTACTGGTTATAGAATAGTTTTTAATGAAGCTTGTTAGTGAATAAATAATTATTTCTTTTTCTTTTTCTTACAGAACCAAGACTTTCCAGGAGGGTAGCTAGAAGATTTATTTATCCCAGCATCAATACCTCGGATTTTAATATCCTTTTTATATTACTATGTTAATAAAATATATTATGTAAATAAATAATAACTAATAATTAAAAATAGAGTTTTATTTAACCAAAATATATACATTCTCGAAATACTGTCTAATCTTGAACAAAAAGAAAAGGTCATTTAATTATCACAAAAATAATATATCTTAACACTAAACAACATAACAAGTTGTTCTGGAATTAGACAGTATTTTATATAAAAATAATACCTAAGTTTACCTCCTCGTTCTTATGTACTCCTGATAAAAATTCCTGATATTTTAACTTTTAATAAAAATTGCACGAAAAATTATGTCTATACCTCTTCGCTCTTATGTACTCCTGATACAAATCCGAGAAAATTCAGCTTTTGACAAAGATTATTGCACGAAAAATTTTAAACTGGTCAAAAATCGCCGGTTTCTATCAGGAACGCATGAGCTTGAAGAGGTAAGGAGCAAATGTAGTACTACACGTAAATAAAGCATTTTTAAACGATATTTCTGCTATCTCTAGCACTTCGACCTCGTTTCCAAACTTCAACCCCTAATATCTCGGAAACTATAAGGGATAGAGAGGAACGGAACACGGCATTCGATAGGCATTTCAACCCTCTATAAGGGCGCAAAACGAGGGCGCGATCGGGGATGAAAAAATTTTTTGGCGAAAAATGAGGTAAGGGGTTAACCTTCCTTTATTTTCCCCCAAAAATTTTTTTTTGCTCCGATCATCCCCTAATTTTGCACCCTTATAGAGAATTGAATTCCCTATCGATTGCCGACTTCCGTTCCTCGATATCTCTTATAGTTTGGCCGTAATGGCCGTTTTTCGAAAAAATCTAACTCATTCTAACTCGTTGGTCGGGTACTCCAAAATTTGCCAGGTTGGCAATTATTTTTGGCAGCTTTTATTAAAAATGAACAGTCTTGAATTTATTTCAGGAACATATGAGTGCGAGGAGGTATTTTTCGATACCAGGAGTAAGCGGTTACATTCACCATTTAGTTAAAACTTTCTGATCAATTTATTTACGTATTGACAAACTTTTCTTAAACATCTAAAAATGCTGGATTTTGATCGGGAATATATAAATGCGAGGAGGTAAAGTATTAGGAGCAAAATCTAAGAGGTATTTAATAATTCTTTTTTTTAATCTGGGTATTAAAAATGAAAATAAAACACAGTAAATAGTTTAACTAATAGAATTTATTATATGGTGCTTTTCCATAGAGGCAGGAGTTGAAATAAAAGTCATTCAATTTTTTTAAAGATTTATTATAAATAATATATTATTTTAATAAACTTATATTTGAAATTTTACTAAACACTAACAGCGTGTGTAGTTCCAATAACCTTAAAAAATAATCTAAGGGTTTTTCATGGTCACACATATTTCCATTACACAAAAATCTACCAAGTAAACGTCTACATTATGACGAACCTATTATTTTATTTTCATCGCAAGTTTTTTTCTGACAGTTCTGACACTTTCAAGTCCAGTAAGAATAAAAAAAGCCAAAAAATTGGCCACTTGAAAATGACAGATCACATTATTTAGTATTAATACGATAAATATTTCCTAGTAAGTCTCTTCAACGAGTCAGGGAAGCTTTCTAGCTTTTGACAGAAAATCCTATTTACCTGCTAATAAAAATGACAAGACAGCTGTCACTAGCGTGCGTCCCCTTGCTGGAAAGACTATAGATATATAAAACACTGACAGTTGTTTGAAATTTACAATACAATATGATCGTAAAAAGAAACGGCGTCACAGTTGGCTTGAAAATGATAGTTGCAGTCATTTTATAAACCAACATGACGCCAGTTTCCGAACAAAAAAGCAGCATACGATAAAAACGGCGTCGAGTGACCTTAGTAACGACTGGTCGGTCGTTGAATGAATTTTACACATAAAATGTCGTCGATGGTCACTTCTAAGGTAAATCGACGCCGTTTTTTTTGCTGCCAGTGTTTTTGACTAGGGAAATAAATATCGAAAAATATATATAATCGATATTCGTATGTACGCTGCTTTTAACCTAAGGATATTTAATAAAAAAAATACATCGTAAACTGTTTTACAAAAAAAAGTTTTTAAATTAGAAAATAGATATTTTATTGAAACAATTTTTATACAACTTTTTTCACTGATAAAAATTCAATTTTGTTTAATAAACATTACATATTTATAATTTTGATTTTTTCTTTTTTTAATACACCAAACAAAATCTTTTTTTTGTCACTCTGAATCAACTAAAACTCCTTTTAAAGTGTCTTTCGATAAATAAACGTTTTGATGTAGTGCGATATGTAATAAAGGATCTTATTTTATATATACATGCAATATATAAGTAACATTTTTAAACAGCAAGCAACGCACATATACAGGGAGGTGTTTTTTGTAGCAGAACATTTAAACAGTCGATAGGTACACTTATTTTTTGTAATGTTAAAAATCGGGCGTTTTATTTTTATTTAACTTTGACATTTATGTATCTATTTTCACATTCCTATTCAGAAAACTACAAAAATTTGACTGTTTAAAAATCCGTATTGCTCCTGTAGAACTACTAGAAAAAAAAGCATTTAATATAATCTCTCATTTCCGGAAAGAGAGGATATATGTACAAAAAACGTACATAATAATAACAATGTTATGATACAAACTAAAGATAAACACAAGCTCTTCGGTCCGACAATCTTTAGATGAGAAAAAACGAGAAAAATTTACAAAAATATTCTTATTTACAGCCTTACTTACAGTCCTCGTCAAACTTTAACCTTTTTTCCGTCTGTTCCTCGTCGGGGGAATCCCCGCCCGGCCTCTTCAGGTCGTTCAACGTTGCCACGATCGGCGGCTGAATCGGTATTTCCCCGACCGACGTTTCGCTGCTGCCGGGGGAGGAGATCGACGTGGTCGTGGTCTCTTCGGGCACGGACGACGACGATCGGTCGCTAGAGACCTCCTCCTCTTTGGCGGGGGCCGGGGTGGCCATGAGGGAGCCCAGGTCGAACATGTCCGGCGGCGGCTCGCTCAGGGAGCTGCACATTTCGCCCCCCAGGGTGCACAGGCCCTCGTTGACGATGTCGCGCTCCCTGTGTTTCGGCGACGCTCTAAACATAGACAGAAACAACGTTAGTTTGGTAGGGTAAACTTCCTACATAATGTACAGGCTGTCCAATTTTCAATAATATTCCTTACCTGGATGGTTTAGTCGATTCGACGCTAGACGTACTGTCCTCCACCACGTCGTCTGTCAACATCGGCATAGAACCGATAGATCCAAAAGAACCGGGCTTTACCACGTCATCTTTCGTGGATTCTACTGTTTCTTGTAACAATGGCAACGAATCGAAAGTGTTTTGATCACTGTCTAAAGCTTTTTCGATCAACAAGGGCTCTTTCTCAATCGAACCGTTACTTTCACCCTAAAAAAACACAAGGGTAAATGAAAAAGTAACGCTTATAAGTTAAAAAAAATTTTACCCATAAAAACTATGCTCTTACAAGTAAAAAACTATTTCTAACAAGTAAAATCAAATTTTAACAAGTAAAATACTATTTTTAACAAGTAAAAAATATTTGTAACAAGTAAAAAACTATTTTTAACAAGCAAAAAACTATTTTTAACAAAGCAAAAAACTATTTTTAACAAGTAAAAAATACTATTAAGTGAAAAACTATTTTTAACAAGTAAAAACCATTTTTGACAAGCAAAATCGATTTTTAAAAAGTAAAAGACTATTTTTATCAAGTAAAAAATATTTTTAACATGTAACAAATATGTTTAACCAGTAAAAATATCTTTAACAGGCAAAAAATTTTTTTTACAAGTAAAATAATATTTTTAACAAGTAAAAGAATACTTTTTACAGGTAAAAGACTATATTTAATAAACCAAAACTATTTTTAACAAGCAAAAATATTTTTTAACAAGCAAAAAATGTTTTAATAAGCAAAAAATATTTTTAACAAGCAAAAATATTTTTAACAAGCAAAAAATATTTTTAACAAGTAAAATATTTTTTAAACAGTAAAAAGTATTTTTAACAAGTAAAAAAAGTACTTATAACAATTAAAAACTATTTTTAACATGTAAAAACTATTTTTAACAAGTAAAAACTATTTTTAACAAGTAAAAACTATTTTTAACAAGCAAAAAAACTATTTTTGATAAGTATAATCAATTTTGAAATAGTAAAATACTATTTTTAACAAGTAAAACACTATTTTTAACAAGTAAAACACTATATTTAACAAGCAAAAACTATTTTTAACAAGTAAAAAATATTTTTAACAAAAGAATATTTTTAACAAAAGAATATTTTTAACAAGTAAAAGAATATTTTTAACAAGTAAAAGAATATTTTAACAAATTAAAGACTATTTTTAACAAGTAAAACCCTATTGTTAACAAGTAAAAAATTATTTTAACAAGTAAAAACTATTTTTAACAAGTAAAAAATTATTTTAACAAGTAAAAAACTATTTTAACAAGTAAAAAATTATTTTAACATGTAAAAAACTATTTTTAATAAGTAAAAGACTATTTTTAACAAGTAAATACTATTTTTCTACGCGAAAAAAATATTTTTTACACGTAAAAAACAGTTTCTACGTTATTTTACTCCACCTACCTCCGTGACAAGGTCCTCCGTCAACAACGGCATGCTACTGCCGAAGGCCTTCTGCGACGTCGCCACCATTCCCACGGCCTCGTCCAAACTAGGCAGGACATACCCGTACGACGTGGGACTGTTAATGTCGTTCGCGCCCACCACGTTCTCAGGGATGGGCAGCGCCAATTCTATCAACCCTGCGGCATTTTGCTGTTGGTGCGCGACCGTTTGCGATATGTTCGGGTCCGTTATCGTGATGGGCAGGTCGACGTTTTTGGGAACCACCTGCGTTTTAAAGAAGTTATTAATCCGCTTAAAAATACGATTTTTTTACTTGAAAAATCGACTTTTTTTATATCCGAATAACAAAATTATTTTCTCTAATTTATATATTTATATCAGTTTATATTTTTTATTTTACGACATAAAAATGACATATATACAAAAGAAAGACAGACGATTGGTCACTCAGTGTCAAAGACAAAGATTATCAGATAGTGGAGTGTCACTGATGTGTCTTCAACAAAAATGAAGCAGATTTACTTATCCACGAAGTTTATATACTATATCTATAACAAAGGTTTTTAATGCTTTCGCAAAACTTTCACCCCACCTGGTTCAAAATCTCCGATTCGTCGTCGATCTTCTTACTGTTGGTACTGGGCACCTCCAGCGGCGTCATTATGGGCGAGCCCAGCGTCAAGCTCGTTTCCAGCACGTTGCCGACGTGCATGGGCGGGTAGAGGGGCGTAGAGACTCCGCCCCCTCCAGGACTGAGCTGGCTCTTGATTGGCGACGTTCGCACGGGCGACTGGGGTTGCTGGAAAACGTCGGTATCGGCCAAGGCCGCTGCCAGAATGTCCTGATTGGGTTTGTGGGTGGCGAATACAGGGTTGCCAGCTCCCTGAAAATCATAATTTATATTCAAATCTCGTACAAATATATTATAAGAATGCATTTCGAAGCTTTGCCGAAAAAATTAAGCTCTGCCTGTTTTGCATTAAGATTTGTTTCTAAGGAACTTAACTTGTCAGTGGCTAGAACTGTTTATTATGCACTTTTTGAGTCGCACCTCAGATATGCCCTTCCATTCTGGGGTACGTGTTGTTGCGACTCAATTTGACCGCATTTTTAAGCTCCAGAAGAGAGCTGTTCGATATTCACTGGGACTAAACAGTAGAACTCATTGCCGGGACTTTTTTAAAAAATTAAAAATATTGACTCTTCCTTCCTTATTTATATTTGAATCCGTTTGCCTAATACGTAAACATATATCAGCTTCTCAAGAAAGGCCATCTCAGACTTATCCACTCAGTAACGCGGAGCAAGATCTTTATCTACCTACCCCACGCTCAGAGTTAGTTAAAAGTTCAATATTATACAACTCGAAAAAAATGTACAATCACCTGCCATTTGAAATCAAATCCATAACATCATTTTCTTCATTTCGCAATTGAAATTCTTATTTACCAGACAAGGCTTTCTACGCCGTAAATGACTTATATTTTGATAAAGGAATTTGATCTTGTAAACACTGGTCTAATTTTTGCTATTACTATATTTACTATAGTAAACGCCACGAATGTTTGGGAGTGATTCATCGGTCGCTACCATGTGAACTAATCTGTTCAAGGTCACATAAAACTTAATTCCAGTGCCGTGGTATTTCAAGTCATATAATAATCAATATATAATCTGTTGTAATTTGTTGTTTTAACTGTCAAAGTCTTGTCAAAACCTTTGAATAAGAAGACTAAGGAAGAAGCATATCAAACAATTTAGGTAGAGCGCGATGGGGACCAAAAATGTCCGACTTAAATTCCGGTTTATCAGTGTCGTTCTAATTTTATTTAAAAAATGTAAAACTATGATGTAGGGTAGACGTGGGGTAGACTCAATAATTTGTTGTTTTATTTTACGTTGTGAATAAATGTTGGTAGTTATTAAAATTGTTATAAAAATATATAATTGTAATAAAAATAGATAAGTTATAATAAGTATTTATTAACACAAACATCCGATACGCTACTGAAGCAGGTAAGTCAAATTAACGTATCTAAATTCTTTGACATCTAATCTTTGACAAGTAATAAATAAAAGCTAAAATGCAAGAAAAATATATAATTTAGTTAATTTAAGTGAATTTCATAAATGATCAGTTTACTACACGTATGTATATTATATAGTCACTTACTAGCGAAAAGTTGTTCCATTATTTCACTCAATTTTTGCCGAGATCTACCGCACGCTACACAACCAACTATTTTAGAGTCTTTTCCGATAAATCGCGATAGTGTCACTGTTAATTTAAGTTCTGCCACAATTTCCATCTAGATTTACTACCTTTATACAACTATCAGTAGTAGAATAAATAATAAATAACATAAAATAAACTCCGTAAAGACTGACAAATCCACAAAATTTCAAATCAAATTCAAATGTGTCAAATGAATCGTCAAACAGAACTGTCAAGGATCCCCACCCTAGAGAGCTTTTATGGTGCCTTTTCCGCCCACCATGCATGAATACATGGATAGCATTATGCTCCTTCCTTAGTCTTCTTATTCAAAGGTCAAAACATATATTTGGTTATAAATATAAAATGGAATGCCCCATTGGCCGCACTACAAGCACACCGATGAACTGACGCACAAAAACGAATCAATCAAAGAAACGCGATATAGTATCGTCTTTGTCAATCACGCTAACATTTTAGAATAAGTAGGAGGAGCGCAGGCAAATTATTAGACCGGGCCTTTAAAAACCTACGTCTGCGGTAAAAATTTACGTTTTTAATGTAAAAATGATAGCGCGCGTGTCGATTCTAACTTCATCAAGCGATGAATCACTCCCAAACATTCGTGGCGTTTACTATATAAACTTACTAAATATTTTTGAATCTTATTTTGATTTTTTTTATTCTTTGACATTGTAAACATTTATAAACGTTTATTTTACACAATAAGACTGACAATGTAATTTGTGTACTTGTTTTGTATTCTCTTTTGTTTGTTTACTTTACCTTTGTCTACAAATTGTAAAATGTTTTGACAATAAAGGCATTTATTTATAATTACCTCTGGATTATCTGTTTCTGGAAGTCCCAGCAGGGCTTGGGCTTCAGCGCCTGCGTTGGTTTTGATTAAAATCTGCTGCCCATCAGCTTGAATTATCACACTGCCCCCTTCCGCACTGGCCAAAATATTTGCCAAATCCGTGGTTCCGTCCGAGAGGGATTCCAGGAATTTCTGAGTGGCTACCGGGTCTCCGGTTACTATCAATTGTTGACCACCCAAAGCAGCTTCTAAAACGTCATATATTTTTAAATTAGTTTGAGTAGATCTTGATTATGTGATAAAAAGTATAGTAGTGTAAAACAGTGGTAAAAAAACAGTGTAAACTACCATAATACCTCTTACCTTTTTTCTACTGTAAAAAATAAAAATACCTCAACTAAATCAACTTACCAGGTGACGGTTGCACAGCTTCGCTCACCGCACCCGTCAACGAAGCCTCCGGCAACTTAGCCACTTGTTCCAACACAGGTTCGGCAACCTTCGTTACACTTTCCTGCACCGCGGTCTTCTTCGGTTCCACCTTCGGCTTGTCCTCGGCTTTCTTCGGTTTCTCCACGGAGGAGGCCGAAGCTTCGACGGTAGGCGCAGCCGGCTTGACAGCGGCTACTATGCCCTGGCCTTGGTCCACCTGCAGCACTACGTTGTTTATGTCGCCCCCCAGGCCGAGACTAGGGTCCAGGGACATGAGGGCTTCGTTGTTGAGGGGCGTCAGGTTGCCAGTCTCGTCCAGCGTGACCAGCATGTAGGATTGGGGCTGGCCGTCGACAGTTTCGCTTGGTAGAGCTGAAAAATAAAAAAAAAATATGTTTTTTAACTTATATTCTGTTTTTTTTCTCTCAGGTAAGATTTCGACAGACGATGACAGAAGAAAAGCAGATGACGTCCCATACCAATCTATTTATTTTACTAAAAAAAGTTCTGTGAATCATGTGTGAAATTAATCTGGATGGGTTTAAATATAAATCAGTCACGTCTCTCTTTATTGTTTTTAACCAGTTTTATAGGTTTATTTCAAAAATGACAGATCATATTTCAATTTTATTGGTTTGACGGAACGATGAACGACAAACGGACGCCGATGCGCATGAACTCGCCTTTAGATTTTTGACGTTTGTCAAAGTCTTGCCAAATTATAGGTTATAATTTTGTGTCAACTTATGTCAAATATCTGCGTTTTGGAAGATGATGCATTTTGATTCGTGTTATTACGTGTTTTGTGTCTTTTGAAGTCAAGTGGAGGAAAAATCGAGGGAAAATTAACTGTAGACCCAGAGCACCGTTCATAGTTAATATTCGCTGCCCAGGCAGAAAGTGTTATACACCAATAAAGTTACCATCAATAAAGTTTGTATACCATCTCTGAGTAGCTGTAAAATATCGACATCACACGATAGGTAAATAATGGATTTTAGTACTGCAGAAAAATAATGTCAAAAGGTACTGGTTTAAAAAAATGAAGATTAAAGTTAATTAATCAACCTTTAAAGTATAAAATTTGGTAAGTGTTATTATTAATAAAATAGTTTGTTTTATTTATTCCTGTGGAATATTACAAATTTGTATTTGTACATAAGTTATATTAATAAATAATAAATGCGGGAATTTTTTTGAAGCTTGAAAGTAAGAAATAATTTTTTGTATTTTTATGGTATGTGGTGTTTTGTTGTTTTGTATTAACACATACCGTTTTTTTTAATAAAATAACTCAGTTACATTTTTTTAGTTTTATACAGTTTTTTATTCACAATATTTTGAAGTAATCACTTAGCAGTCAAATTTTAAATATATTAATTTCCTGCTATGCGTTCCAGTTGTACCAACTTATTTCTTTGCAAAATAAAATAAACTACCTTGAAATTAAAATGACAGACACATCTACCACTGTCAAGGATTTTGTCGTTGGACAGATTATATCTTACCTAGTATTTGACCTTCTGTTATAGTCGTCTGATTCCCTAGAGCGTCCTGTATCACCAGCTGATTCAGCGGCCTGTCCGGTTTTCCCACTTCGGCCGCTTTACCCGCTTTGACGTCCGTCTGATTCGGCGCCGTTGCCGCTTGCAGCAACGTTTCCGACGGGTTTTCCGGCGCGACGGCCGGTTTGGCAACGGTTTGTGGAGCGGGCGCCGGTTTCGGCGGAGGCGTTATAGGCGTCAGGGCCGGCACGGCCGGTTCCAGCGGTTTCGGCACCGGTTTCTTCACGATAACCTCGGGTTTCTTCATGTAGGCTCGCCTAGGAGCCGGCTTAGGGGCAGCGGCCAGTCTAAATAAAGGAAATTAGGGTATTTTATAATCTTATTATGATAATTATTATATCGATAATAATTATCATATCATCAAGTCGTCTTATCATCCGATATCATCAAGTCGTCTTACCTGTTGGTGAAATTCAAAATTTCCGGAGTTTTGTTAGCTTGCTGCTGCCTGGCGCTAGCCTTTATAGCTTCCAGCTGCTCAGCCACCTGTCTGTCCAGCTCGGCATCGTCAGTTCCCTGAATTTTTCGCACCGTCTGACCTAGCTGATTTTTGATCAGAATCGTTTTCTGAGGCTTGCCCTTCTGCACCACTTTTTTCCCTTGCACTGGGGTGGTTTTGCTGGATTTTGATACAGGAATCAACAGGCCTTGATTCAAGACTGCCGAAGAAGATACGCCTGCAAAAAACAAGGTGAGAAAAACCTGATGGGGGTGGGAGAATTGAAGATGAAACTTACTTGGAGTTGAGACTGTCGGTTTTGAGATAATTCCGCTAGAACTTGGAGAATCCACCAGGCTCTTCGGTATGCCGCCTTTAATGATGGTTTTTGTGACCTTAAAACGTTCAAAAATGTAGATAATACAGTGAGCAGCAAAAAGATCATAAAAAATTTAAAATATATATCACCGAGTATGCAAAACCCTGATTTTTGTTTGTCGGTTCTGAGACGACCTAATTTTCAAGATTTATTAACATAGAGTCGACCTTATAAAGATTTGTTGACTAAAGTAGTTGTTTTTTTTGTTTGTCGTTTCTGAGCCAACCTATCGATTCAGTCACTTTTTAAAATATAACGACACTGAGTCGATATTTTCAGGATTAGTTGACTAAAATATTAGAAAAACTCCGTTTTTTGTTAGTCGTTTCTGAGTCAAGCTGTCGATTCAGTTACTTTTTAAGATTTATCGACGTAGTGTCGATTTTTTCAGGATTTGTTGACTAAAATATTAGAAACACTGTTTTTTGTTTGTCGTTTCTGAGTCAAGCTGTCGATTCAGTTACTTTTTAAGATTTATCGACGTAGTGTCGATTTTTTCAAGATTTGTTGACTAAAATATTAGAAACACTGTTTTTTGTTTGTCGTTTCCGAGTCAAGCTGTCGATTCAGTTACTTTTTACGATTTACCGACATTGAGTCGATTTTTTCAGGATTTGTTGACTAAAGTAGTTGGTTTTTTGTTTGTCGTTTCTGAGCCAACGTGTCAATTCAGTCACTTTTTAAAATATAACGATACTGAGACGATATTTTCAAGATTAGTTGACTAAAATATTAGAAAAACTCTGTTTTTTGTCTGTCGTTTCTGAGACAAACTGTCGATTCACTTAGTTTTAACGATTTATCGACATTGAGTCGATTTTTTCAGGATTTGTTAGATAGTGTTAGAAAAACCATGTTTTTCGTTTGTCATTTCTGAGCCAACTTGTCGATTCAGTAACTTTTTTAAATTTATCGCAACTGAGTTTATTTTTTCAGGATTTGTCGATTTAAGTATTAGAAAAAAAAAGGTTTTTTGATTGTCATTTTTGAGTCATCGTATCAATTCCGTTATTTTTCAAGCTTAATCGACAGCGAGTTCATTTTTTCAAGATTTGTTAAATAAAGCATTAGAAAATTCCTGCTTTTTTGTTTGTCGTTTCTGAGTAACAAATTAAAATATTGACCTCCAGAATCCATAACAGTATTTAAATTAGACTTAGACCTTTGATCATATATAAAAAACTATACACACAGATTCATCTAGCTATAATAAGAGAGTATTTCACGTCACATCAGGGTAAATTTTATTACAATTCATACACATTACATACCTTGGTACCGCTCTGAGCATGCATCAGCACCTTCTGCTGCTGAGGCGTCAGCACCACCCTGTGTTGCTGACCGTGCTGATTCGTCACTATCATTATCTTGTTACCTACCGGCTGCTGCTGACCCACCAACTCAGTAGCTTGGACGTTTTGCTTGGCCTGGACAGCACTCTGTTTCCTCACCACCGTTTTTATAGTTTTACCCTAAAAAAAAATCATTTTAATTTTATTTTTTTGAGAATATGTAACGCGTAGAACCTGAGGTATAGTCGAGGTCATGGAGGATGGTACGAAGACGTATTTGGTGGGTTTTCCGTCAATCGAAGTACCGGTAGCTAGCAAAGCTGTCGGTGCGGGTCTGGTTATTTTGGTAGCTGAAGTAGACCCGCTTAAAATCCTGGGTTTGGTAGTTTGTTTGCCTGTCAGAGGCGTGCCTGAACCTGGCTGGGTAGTCTTGAAAATAATCTAAACACATAGACATAATTGAAGTATCTGTCAATGTCACACAAAAGTTAAAAAACCTTACCTGTTGTTTCGGTGTGACGTTCGTGACGACTTTCTTGATAAAAGATGGCGTTGCCGGCTTCTCAGGCAGTACTTTCGCTTGTACTTGCTCGGTAAGTACCACCGGCATGTTCTGGATGCTTTCTGGCGTGAGCAGGTCGTCGGAAAGAACAATAGGCATTGAATTAATGTCGAAAACCGTGTCGTCGGCGAGTGGTGTCGATTGGATTGTTGTTGTGTTGGTGGTGGTTGATGTTTGTTGTGGTTGGATGATTTCCCCTAAATTACCAAAAATTATTTAGCCTACAGGCTACAGCTATAACGCAAATATTGAGATAGAAAACCTTGTTTTTATTTGTCGTTTCTGAGTCAACATATCGATAGAGTAACTTTTTAAGATTTATTTATATTGAGTCGATTTTTTTCAGGATTTGTTGATTACAGTATCAAAAAAAAGTTTTTTATTCCTCGTTTCTGAGTCAACCTGTCGATTCGGTAACTTATTATGATTTTGCGACATTGAGTAGATTTTTTCAAAAGTTGTTTCTGATATTGTTGATTTTTGTCGTTTCTGAGTCATCATATCGATTCAGTAACTTTTTAAGATTTATTTACATATACTGAGTAGATTTTTTCAGGATTTGTTGAATAAAAATTTGTCGTTTCTGAGACAACTTTTCTATTCAGTAACTTAATAAAATTTAGTGACACCGAGTGGATTTGTTGATTAAACAATTAGAAAAACCTCGTTTTTTGTTTGTCGTTTTTGAATCAACCTGTCGAATAAATATTTTTTTTTAAATTTATCGACATTGAGTCGATTTTTTCAGGATTTGTCGATAAAGTATTTGTGTGTCGTTTCTGAGTCAATCTGTCGATTCGAGTTTTTCAGAATTATTCGATGCTGATTATTCAAGTATTAGAAAAACTGTTTTTTTTTCCTTTGTCGTTTCTGAGTAAACTGGTCGATTCAGTAAATTTTTAAAATTTATCGATGAGTCAATTTTTTCAGATTTTTTGGATAAAAGTATTAGAAAAACTCTGCTTTTTGTTTTGTTTCTGAGCCAACTGACCTGTTCAGTCAATTTTTAAGATTTATATATATATATATATATATATATATATATATATATATATATATATATATATATATATATATATATATATATATATATATATATATATATATATATATATATATATATATTGAGTCAATTTTTTCAATATTTGTTGATTAAAGTATTAATAAACCGTTTTTTATTTGTCGTTTCTGAGTCAACCTGTCAATTTAGTAAATTTTTAAAACTTAATGACGCCGAGTGGATTTTTTCAGGATTTGTTGATTGAAGTATTAGAAACCCCTATTTTTGTTTGTCGTTTCTGAGTTAATCTGCCGATTCGACAACTCTTTTAGTCTGTCTCTGAGTCAGTCAGTCAGTTAGTCCCTCTCTGAGTCAACTGGTCGATCCAGTATTTTTTTTTAATTTATCGATAAGTCAATTTTTTCAGAATTTTATTATCGTTTCTGAGTCAATCGACCGATTCAGTAAATTTTTAAGATTTATCAACAATGAGTCAAATTTTTTCAGAATTTTCCAATTAAAGTATTAGAAAAGCCCTGCTCTTTGTTTATCGTTTCTGAGTCATTCTGACCGATTCAGTCAACTTTTAAGATCTATCGACACCGAGCCGATTTACGTCCAAATCATTTCCGAAAATGTTCACATAAAAAACCTAAAACTAATAACCGTCATACTAACCTTTAGGCGTTCTGATAGTCTGTTGCAAAATTTTCGCTTTGGCGTTCGATTTGGAGGTGGCCGCTTTCGTTTTGTGACCTTTCTCAGGAGTGACTGCTATAACCTCCTTTTCTACCGATTTTCTAGCTATTTTTGGTATAACAAAGGCCGTTTCTATGTCCTCCACATCTTCAAACTGTCTTTTAACACCTTGCGGTGGAGCCTTAGGTGTGGGCGTCGTATTGGCCGGCCTGTATATATTTTTTTAAGTCAAACTTTTGCTAATATTAATAAATAAAAATACTGTACCTGATTATTTGTTCAGATAAAATGATGGGCTTGCTTCCCGACTTAACCGAAGATTTAGCTGCCTTAATGATTATTTTTGGGCCAGGTTTGGGTGTAACCACAGCCTTAGAACTCTTATTCACAACTGGCTTCGTAATCTTTTTCTCTATTTTGATGTCACTCTGTATATTAATTTTCTAGCAAAAAAAAACATACAGATTTAAATTTTAAAAAAAATTAGTTTTGTAAAAAAATGTACTCAAAAACACACTTAAAAAAAGTCAAATCAAATCTTACCTTCGGCTGTTCGCCAGGCATAGATAACCTCTCCAACAACTTGGGCGACTCCAATATCACATTGTCACCAGTGGCCTTACTAGCCAGCACTATCTGAGAGGGTATGGCATCTTCAAAATCAAACATACTACTACCCAGGACCGGTTTCTTTTTGACTGGCTGCTCAACAGTGTTCGGTTTCAGCTTGCTTTCTGAGCTGCTAGAGTCAGAATTATTACCCTCCAAGATATCCAGCAGCTCTGATTTATGCTTGTAAGCATTAGCCTTTAATGGATCTTTATCTTTCAGCGCTGTCTGAAGCTCCTCCTTCTTCGGAGACAGTACTTGATCGAAATCCATGGAGAAAGTGCCCAAAGTCATCGGTTTTTTCTCACTGATCACTTTATCTGGCGTGATTTCGACCTGAGCATCTGCCAAATCCTTCTCAGACATCACGGTGAGAGTGCCTTCGATTGGAACAAGCTCAGGTTCAGGTAGAAGAGGTATATTAGCTGGGATCAAGATGTTTTCTTCAGATTTTGCTTCTGCAAGATCTTTGACAGTTTCAGACTTATCTTCTTCAACGACAGGTTGCTCTTCTTTTTTCTTAGGCAAATTGAAGAACTCGTCTACGTCCACTTCGTTCCTCACTTCTTCTGTTTGAGATTTCTCTCCGTGATCTTCGGTGGTCTTTGGTACTTCTACTTCAATTGCTTCAGGCTGTAATAATTCAGTTGAAGTATGGTTTTCTTCAGAAGTTTTAACTTCTGGCTGGTATTCTTCCTGGTTGAATAGGAAGCTCTTCTTCTTTGCTAAAGGCGACATCAGCATATCGTTCTTCTCCAAAGCCTGAGCCGTTTCAAACAGTTTCTGAATCTTCTTTTTGGGCGGTTGAGGAATAGTATCTTCCTCTTTAGTGTCCTGTATATCAATAGGCTCAATCTTCTTCTTCTTTGGCGGAACGCATTTGAAAATATCATTAGCTTCTGTAATCTTTGAAGAACTATCTTCTGGTTTCTTTTCATCAATAACATCTTCAGACGAAGAATTATTCGTTTCTGGAACCTTTTCTAAAGATTCTACAGAGTTCTTTTTGGTCTCTTCCTCCATCAAAGCTGTCATGTCATTAACCCTTTTCGATTTCTTCAAAGGAAGAATCAACTCGTCCAAACTCCTCTCTTCGTTCATCTTTTCCAATCTATTTTCAATAGTTTCTTCCCCAATCATCTCCGTTTCTTCACTGTGATAAACGTCGTTCTTGTTCTGACTGCTTCTCCTACTCCATTTGTTCTTTTTCGGAGGCACGATCTTCGTTTGAACCTCGGGCTCTTCCTGGTTCTCGATGTGGGAATGTTTTCTAGGTCTTCCTCGACCTTTCTTGGGTCTTTCGTCTATACTCAAAGCGCCATCATTGTCCGAAGAAACAATATCACTTTCTTTAGTATCGATAACTTCCTCTTCAACAACCTGAGGCTCTGATGGGACAACGACCTCTTCTTGAGGAAGATCGGGCTCAGGTATAGCAACAGGCGTATCTTTAATATCTTGACTAGTTCTTCTGCTCCACCTGTTCTTCTTTGGAGGCACGCTCTTCGATTGAACATCGTTTTCTTCTTGATTGTCGATTAGAGAGTGCTTCCTGCGTCTCCCTCTACCTTTTTTAGGTTTGACTTCTTCAGGTTTTTCGTCTATACTCAAAGCACCTTCGTTATCTGAAGAAATATCACTTTCTTTAGCATCTTCAGACCTGGTTTCGTGAACTACTTCTTCAATAACCTCAGGTTCTGGCGGTATAACAATTTCGTCTTGAGGAAGATTCAGTTCAGGTATAGAGGCAGGCGTTTCAATGATATCTTTAACAACCTCATCAGAAGAAATTACAGCATCAATTTCTTTAATTTCTTCGTTTTGTTCTTTTACAGAATCTTCATTCACAGCTGGTGGTATTTCTAAAGGTACTGTATCTTCAGGTTCAGACTTAGAGGTGCTGTCTCTTTTCTTAGACCTTCTCCCTCTAGCTCTAATCTTTTGCTGTTCAGCTTCTTGAACCACTTCAACAGGTTCTTGAAACTCAACAACATTCTCAGAGATTTCTTGCTGTGTTTCAATAATTTCTGTTGATACTGGTTCAATATTAATAGCTTCTTGTTCTACCAGAGCTTCCCCAACAACTTCTGGTGTTTCAAATGGTACAGTATCTTCATTTTCAGGCTTAAGAGTGCTGTCTCTCCTCTTAGGTCTCCCTCTCTTGCCTTTAATCTTTTGATGTTCGGCTTCTTGAACCACTTCAATGGGTTCTGGAAGTTCAACAATATTTTCAGAGATTTCTTGCTGTGTCTGAACAATTCCTGTTGATGGGTGTTCAACAGGAACAGTTTCTATTTCTTCTAGAGCTTCTTCAACAGCTACTGGCGTATCATCGGTTTCGAGCTTAGGAGTGCTGTCTCTCTTCCTAGGTCTTCCTCTCTTACCTTTAATTTTTTGCTGTTCAGCTTCTTGAACAGCTTCAACGGGTTCTTGAAGTTGAACAATGCTTTCCGCGATTTCTTGCTGAGTTTGAACAGTTTCTGTTGATGGGGGTTCAAAAGGAACAGCTTCTGTTTCTTCTACAGTTTCTTCAAGAGCTACTGGCGTTTCTAACAGTACAGTATCATCAGTTTCAAGCTTAGGAGTGCTGTCTCTCTTCCTAGGTCTTCCTCTCTTACCTTTAATCTTTTGCTGTTCGGCTTCTTGAACCACTTCAACAGGTTCTTGAAGTTCAACAATGTTTTCCGAGATCACTTGCTGTGTTTCTGGAATTTCTGTTGATGGGGGGTCGACAGGAACAGGTTCGGTTTTTTCTAGAACTTCTTCAAGAGCTACTGGCGTTTCTAATATTACAGAATCATCAGTTTCAAACTTAGGAGTGCTGTCTCTCTTCCTAGGTCTTCTCCTCTTACCTTTAATTTTTTGCTGTTCAGCTTCTTGAACAACTTCAACAGGTTCTTGAAGTTCAACAATGTTTTCCGCGATTTCTTGCTGTGTTTGAACAATTTCTGTTGATGGGGTCTCAACAGGAACAGCCTCTGTTTCTGCTAGAGCTTCTTCAACAGCTACTGGCGTTTCTAACAGTACAGTATCGTCAATTTCACGCCTAAAAATGCTCTCTCTTTTCCTAGGTCTTCCTCTCTTACCTTTAATCTTTTGCTGTTCAGCTTCTTGAACCACTTCAACGGGTTCATGAAGTTCAACAATGTTTTCCGAGATCTCTTGCTGTGTTTCAAGAATAATTTTTGTTTTTTCAGCCTCTGTTTTTCCTAGAGCTTCTTCAAGAGGTACTGGCGTTTCTAATAGTACAGTATCATCAGATTCAGGTTTAGAAGTGCTCTCTCTTTTCTTAGATCTCCCTCTCTTACCTTTAATCTTTTGATGTTCAGCTTCTTGAACCACTTCAACGGGTTCATGAAGTTCAACAATGTTTTCCGAGATCTCTTGCTGTGTTTCAAGAATAATTTTTGTTTTTTCAGCCTCTGTTTTTTCTAGAGCTTCTTCAAGAGGTACTGGCGTTTCTAATAGTACAGTATCATCAGATTCAGGTTTAGAAGTGCTCTCTCTTTTCTTAGATCTCCCTCTCTTACCTTTAATCTTTTGATGTTCAGCTTCTTGAACCACTTCAACGGGTTCATGAAGTTCAACAATGTTTTCCGAGATCTCTTGCTGTGTTTCAAGAATAATTTTTGTTTTTTCAGCCTCTGTTTTTTCTAGAGCTTCTTCAAGAGGTACTGGCGTTTCTAATAGTACAGTATCATCAGATTCAGGTTTAGAAGTGCTCTCTCTTTTCTTAGATCTCCCTCTCTTACCTTTAATCTTTTGATGTTCAGCTTCTAGAACTACTTCAACGGGTTCTTGATGTTCAACAACGTTTTCCGAGATTTCTTGCTGTGATGGTACAATATCTGTTGAGGGGGATTCAACGGGAACAGCTTGTATTTCTTCTTGAGCTTCTTCAACAGCTATTGGTATTTCTAATGATACAGTATCATCAGTTCCAGACTTAGGAATGCTGTCTCTCTTCCTCGGTCTTCCTCTCTTACCTTTAATCTTTTGCTGCTCAGGTTCTTGGACTTCCTTTACTGATTCTTGGGATTCAGCAACGATTTCTAAGTTTTCCTCAACTGTTGGGACTATTTCAGTTGATTGTGGTTCAACAGGAACAATTTCCTGTTCTATCAGAGCTTCCTCGAGAGCGACTGGCGTTTCTAAAGGTACAGCATCTTCAGTTTCAGGCCTAAAAGTACTGTCTCTCTTCTTCGATCTTCCTCTTCTAACTTTTAATTGCTGATCAAGTTCTTGGGCTTCCTCAACAATGGTTTCTTGGGGTTCAGTAACAATTTCTGAACTTTCGGTTGCCGGAAGGTCGACAGGAAGAGCTTCAGGACCAGGAAGAGTTGGTTTATCAGTAATGTCATCAACCTTTGACTCTGGTTCAACTTCAGGTTTGGCTGGAACAGAATTGGTATCTTCAATTGGGAGAGCGTGTTCATTATTGACCGGAGCAAGTTCTTTCTTCGATATGTGACTTTTTCTAGGTCTTCCTCGGCGCGCTACATGAACCTCCTCGCTTTTTACAGGTTCTGGAACAAACTCAGATTTATTTTCTTCGATTTCAAGACCAGTATCTGTTTTCTCGTCGATTTTTTCTGGTTCTTGGTTATTTTCAACAGGAGCGTCATCTTTCTGAAGATCTTCCTTTTGAACTTGAGGCTCTTCATCTAAAATTGTTTGTTCTTCGTCTTTGATCTTTTGCTTATCCACAACTGTTTTTTCTTTCGGTTCTTTCTTACCGCGACTCGTTCTGGCCCTAACTTCAACCGGCCTGGATTCCAGCTTTTGGCTGACCGAATTTCTTAAATTTTCGATAGATATCTCCGCGGTGACTGGCCCATCGAAAGCAGCCTGCTCCGACGGCCTTTTTTGCTGTGTACTCCATCTACTTTTTCTTCTTCCTTTGGTAGTATCTTCAGGAATCAAAGATGTGTTATTCTCCAACGTTTCTTCAGTTTTTGGAGAAGACCGTGATTCTTCAACATGCTTTTTGTTCCTTGATTTCCTGCTTCTAAGGTTATCTGCGGACTTTTCTTCAATCTGGGTCTGCATCAGCTTGATGTTGGGCTCTTCCCCGTCGAAATCGAAGATTTCTTTTGGTTCTTCAACAGCGAAATGTTTAGATTCCTCTTTGCTTCTTCGGTTTTCGAGCTTCTTCTCACTTGTTACATCTTCCCTGCCCCTAGATTTTCTTCTATCCTGTTTTTCAACCTTTTCCTCAGTTACTTGAAGCGAATTTTCAGGAATATCCGTCTTTTTCCGGTGGTTTTCAGCTTCCAGTTTGCGGAAGCCAGCTTCAAAGGCGTCGAACGACGTAATAAACTTCTTTTTGGGCTGTTTGGACGTGGTGGCGGCGGTGCCACCTTTGTCAGGAAATTTTATGGTGCTGGCATCATGAAAATTTTGCTCCGGTTTCAACTTGCTGTCGATATCGTCTATTTTCGGCACGGACGTCTCTTCCATCAGCTCTTTGAAGGCTTTTTCTATGGTGTCGTCGGGTTCTGAGGAGTTTTTGGAAGGATCTTCGACGGGTTTCTCATCGGAAGTTTCTTTTTGGCTGTCTTCCGATTTGTTCGGTTCAACTTTTTGGAGGAAAGAAAATAGGAAATTTAATATTTTAATGATATTTTTTGATCTTTTATCGTAATAAAATAATTTTTTAGGCGCAAAAATGTTTTTACATGTAATAATTTTTTTACATGTTTTTACATGTAAAAAATATTTTTTTAGACTCTTTACATGCAAAAAAGTTTCTTACACGTAAAATATAGTTTATTGCGCGTAAAAAATACGAAATTTATAATTTTTGGTAAACATCCTTGGTTACTAATAATTTTATACACAAAAAAAAATTGTACTTACTTGTGTTTTCTTCTGGCTTCTTATTGTCACCTAAAGGATACAAAAAATACATTTTAAACAGTTGTATAAAAAATAATTTTATTTTATAAAATAAAATAGAAATATATTAGATAGGTATAATACATTTTTTACAAATATTTTTTTGGTAATTTAAAAATAATAATCTTTTTATTTGAAGCTTTTATCGTCAAAAAATACAAACATTGCTAGATAAAAAATCTGTACAGTGTGTCTCTTTATATTAATTAATTTTGGGATTCTAGGAAAAAAAGACCACAGTTTCATTATTAGAGATTTCACGTTAGGCTAATCACAGCCACATAGATTTTATCAAATAACAAAGATCTACTGATGCTAAATCATAAAAATGTGAATATCTGGCAAAATCTTGGTCTGAAATGTACGCAACCTTTATAGTATTTTGAAGAGATACGAATACTCCATTGAATATCGGAATAATATACTGGGTGTTCCGTTTAAAATAAAAGAGTAACTTGCTTTTAGAAGTGACCAATATTCAATATCAATTTTGTCTCACCCTGTAGAACTTTTCGGGTCAAATTTCAATTTTGGTTAACTTACAATGGTTATTTTAACTAAATATCAGATATACAGGGCAAATCCCAATTTAGGTAGCTTTTATTGAACTTATAATTTATTCTTCATTTTTAGAAAATGTTAAATACGTCAAAAACTTTACATTTTAGTTGTATGCCTCTGTAATGAAACTGACCACTATTTTTTTCCTAGAATCCGAAAAACAATTAATATATAGAGTGTCCCATTACAAAAAACACAACTTTCGATGTTTAATTTTCGTGGAGACACCCTGAAGAAACTGCATATATTTTTAAAAATGCTCGAAATTAACGTACACATACATTTACAATATTTTTAATCAAAAATAAACTAAATTTGAGTGTTTCATAAGTGTTACAAAAACTGTTTCGCTGACCATGCAGTCACACTTCTTATGGAGTGTAGAGGTAAGGAGAATTATCTTCTTCTGTTGAAAAGTGGTCATCAAGGAGGGAACAATTAAGATGGCGCTGCTGTAGCAAAAGTTCCACATTTGAAAGAAGCGTCAAAAGTTTATAGAACAGAAAATAATCAAAGTAGTGATGTGCAGATCGGAACGTGCCTCAGGGAACGTGCCCATGTTCCGGGAACGTTCCTCTAAGGTCGGGAAAGTGACTGAAATTCGGGAAAGTTGTATTTTGATGCGAGTTGGAATATTCCTCGAAACATTCCCCATTTGTCGAGAACTTTTCTTAAATTTAGGGAAAGTAAGGTTTAATAATGGGGTATATTTTAATAATGGGGTTTGAAAATCGATCTAATTTAACAAAAAACATTCAATATCTACTAATAGTGATGTATTACTATTTGCATTCACAAAATTTATTTATATATTATAATGTTTACTGCAATTAATAAACTAATATAAACTTGTCAAAAGATGACCACATGTTTTTTTAAATTATTATTCTTAACACAAAAACTATCTACATTGACTATGGAGTATTTCAGCCATATTGTAAAATATTTGCTGCATTTGTATGGTTCATAGTTTATCTGCCAAAGTATTTATTACTATAAATAGGTATATATATTGTATATATTAGCTGTATATTATGTATGTTTCATGTAAACTATATCATTTTTAAAATACAAACCAAAAATACGAGAAATATATATGTTTTCCATGTATTCTACAACATATTTATTAATCCGTAGTATCTAACTAGCGTGACGTCATAAATCTCGCTCCGAGGCCGTTCTATTAGAGACGGCATTGAGTCAGCATGGCCGCAAGTTGCTAACCTAATAAAATTAACACTAGAAAAGCCCGCGGGAACTGTCAAATTCAAAGTTTTTCGTTTAACAGACTATAATAAAGATTATCTAAGAAAGGGCGACTTTCACAAATCTAAGATTTGTCAGCATTAATGGGACACAGGCCACAGAATAGATTTTAACAATGCAAAAATTATAATAAAAGCGATAGCCTCTAAAAGAAAAATAAAAGAGGCTTTTTTAATACAATCTAATAAAAATAAATATATTGCTCATGCATCTGTAGATGTTAGCAATGTATGGCAATCGCTTCTTTGATTTTAAAGAACATAACATACATAAAAATTAAAAATAATCATACAGAAAGTTTGAAGCTTATTGGTTTTACCTTATCCATAGGATTTCTTTGGATAAGAGTTGTTTCTCCTTACCTCTACCCCCCATAGCCAAACTATATCTTTAAGTGATTTATTTTCAAAGAAAAACACATTTCTTAAAAAAAACCTCACCTGTTTCAGACAACTCCACCTTCTCAGACTCCTTATCCTGCTCCAACAGCTCGGAAATGCTCGGCTTATGCTTCTCCGGAATAACCCTGGGAATTTTCCTACCGAGCGACGCGGGCAGCATAATCTCCTCCTCCTCCTCCTCTTCATCGAAATCAAAACAATTTTTAATATCCTCCTGCGTGTTTTTCACGGGAACAGGCGAGGCGGAACCTTCGTGCTTCGAGTCAGCCTTTGATTCTTCCTCTTCATTCTCTTCTTTGTCGCTCTTCGGGGATTCCCCGTCGTCCTTTTTCTCGTCGTCGGCGTCGCTGTCGTCCCACTCGTCCAAAATCTTGCTGAAGGTGGTGGTAACCTTGGCTTTGGGCTGTCGTTTTCTCCTCTGCTTCGGCTTAGAGGGTTGTACGGCTTCAGATTCAGACTCCGAGTCGCTGGGGACCTCTTCTTTCAGTTTTGCTGGTTTTCTTTTGGTTGGTGACTGTTGGATGTCTTGGAAAAATAACAAAAATCAATTATAATTAATATACCTATACCCGGTTTTACGAATTAGAGAAGATTTCGATAGACAATGACATAGTTTACTCCAAGGATACTATAGAGATAAGGATAGTTCGATTCCTATCTTCCTGCACTGTCAGTTTTTTTTACGTCATCTGGTGACCGAGTTGAAGTTGGCGCTAAAGATTTTAGACAGTGACAGTTATTTTTGCATTTGACGGACGAGCGCACAGTGCGTTGGAAGATAAATTTAGCGGGACAAAAGCGTTTGGTTAGAAATAAGCCAAAAAATGTGTACTGTAAGAATAAATTAGAATTAAAGAAATTAATTAGAAATAGTAGACATTCCAATTGATATAAAAATGCATGAATATTCTTTGTATTTCGATACATTTTTATCAACCAAATTTGGTCGTTTTCTGCTCAGCAAGGCAGAGATCATACGAAAACAAAATATTTACAAGTGCTTATACATTTTATTTCAAAGCCAAATTATGTTGAAGATTGCCAAAGGTATGTACTTTTCTACTGTACGTATATTATTTGTTAAAATCCTTCGTGCCTTTGTTCTGCAGATATCAAACTTTGACTTTTTTTCAAATATCGATATATTGAATGATGTAGATCTTTTGAGTTACCAATAGTTACCAACACAGGTAGTCACAGTCACAGGGAGTTCAAGCTTAACAGATGAATGCCCAAAAAGATTCATTTCAATCGGATAGTATAAAAACAAAACAACTCCATCAAAAGGCACTGAGTTTAAAAAATTGTCTTAGATACTTACTATATATGAATTTACAATTACCGAGTGTTAAAATTACAATTAAAATATCTATCTTAATTAATATTTTTAAAATAAAATATAATTTTTTAAAATAAAATATAGAGGGTGTCACAAGATTACAAAGTAATTAAAAAATAACTGCTAAAGAGTTTTTTGTAAGTATTTCAACTGATATAGTCTATAAAATGAATAACTTTGAATTTTGACCGTTATTTTTTACCAACATGGCAAATATAAAATCCCTCTGTCAAAAAAGTTACTGATATTCTTTAAATTGAGTGCCTAAACGAATCAGATAGGTAACTCCTTTTACTTTCGTGAAATAGAAAAGGAAAATAATAAAACAAGTGACAGTTCTTCCTCTTCTTACAAAAATTAACACGAAATGTCAAAACGTCAAAAGTAAAATGTCATCAGCTTTTGACATTTCTAAATATTAGACTAATGCCGTTTCTAATAAAACAGCCACAGAGCGAGATTTATGACGTCACGCTAGTTAGATACTACGGATTAATAAATATGTTGTAGAATACATGAAAGAAATAATTATTCCTCGTATTTTTGGTTTGTATTTTAAAAATGATATAATTTATATGAAATATACATAATATACAGTTAATAAATACAATATATATATATATATATATATATATATATATATATATATATATATATATATATATATATATATATATATATACCTATTTATGGTAATAAATACTTTGGCAAATAAACTATGAACCATGCAAATGTAGGAAATGTTTTACAATATACAAATAATGAATCGATACATAAGATAATGGGTAAAATATAAAATATATTTTAAATTTTGGGGTTTGAAAATCGATCTAATTTAACAAAAACATTCAATATCTACTAATAGTGATGTATTATTATTTGCATTCACAAAATTTATATGTATATTTTGCAAGTATCAATGTTCGAAAAATTATATTTGCAAATAATACAATATCATAGAAAAAAGGCGTCAGTGATAGCTATGAAATAAAGATCGCTGTCATTTTATATATTGGCTGTTCTATTAGAGACGGCATTGCGTCAACATGGCCGCAAGTTGCTAACCTAATAAAATTAACACTAGAAAAGCTCGCGATAACTGTCAAATTCAAAGTTATTCGTTTCACAGACTATATCATAATTTTATGTATTTGGCAATAGTTTACAATACGGTTTTTGTGTGTCATGTACGAATAATATCATAGTTTTATTATCTTGTATTTATTTATTAATAAATTAAGTTGTTAATAAATAAATAAATTTAACCATATAGTTGCTATATATTAGACCATTTGCTACGTTCTTAGATTTTAAGTCCCAAACATTGCTCTTGAGATTTTGTCCCGCTAGATTAACCATCCGCCGCACTGTGGAGCGCTGGTCAGCGCGTGACGTAGCATTCCAGCGGCGATTTGACGCGATCGAACAGTCCTTTAGAATACATACAGTCCTTGAGTTTACTCTGGTTTTTGTATTTCATATAATTTTTCAAAAACGGCTGAAAAATATACAGGATGGTCCGAACTGTAGTCCGGAAACTTCGGCAGCATATTCTGCAGATAAAAATAAGTAAAAAAGTTCGTATAAATGTATGTCCTAAAATGCTTAGTTTCGGAGATACAGGGTGTCATTTTTATTTCGATTTTTTCCAAATAATTTCTGAAGTAACGTCAATATTTGAATGAAAATTGGGGCCTGCGGTTTTTTTGACATGAGAAATTTGATTTTGATGTCAATATGACTCCTACTTGTAGAGGGCGACACTTACGTATTTTTTAACTGGTTTGAAGAGTAATAACTTTTCGTCCGTACTTGTATAAAACTACTGAGTAAAAAAACACGTTTACACATTTACGACGTTTTTTACGTAAAAAAGATCTCTTGGTAGAAATCGCTACAAGTAATGCTTCTCGAGATATTTGGAATCGAAATTATCATCATTGTCATAAATTAAATATGCTGACTAAATAGCTTCGACTCAAACCATACATTTCACAGAAACTGTTTTATCATCCTTTTTTCGCAGAAAAAAATTATGATTAATTTAAAAAAATAAAAAGTTCCCAAATTTATTGTTTCAGTCAAATAACTATCTACGAAATGAACAAAATTCTTACAGCTTTTGGCGTATATTAATAAATAATATTTTCTTGCATTAGCTGTGTATTTTTTCTAATTTCGAAAAAAAAAATAAAAAGTAAAAAGAAAATTGTTTTGCTTGTTGTAAAGAGGGGAACCAAGCTCCACTCCCACAACCGGTTTCTGGGCCTACCCTTCATCAGGTGGGCTGTCCAGGGGCTGGTTCTCACCGCTTGGTTCCCCCCTTTACGACAAGCAAAACAATTTTCTTTTTACTTTTTATTTTTTTTTTCTCTACTTTCGATTTTTCGAAATTAGAAAAAATACACAGCTAAAGGCAAGAAAATATTATTTATTAATAACTATCTACTCGACATATTTATTTTTGCCAATAATGACATGTATTGACCAAGAACGGTAAACTATAGTCTGTCTAACGAGAAGACCCTTGACAGTGATAGATGTGTCTGTCGTTTTAATTTCAAAGTAGTTTATTTTATTTTACAAAGAAATAAGTTGGTACAATTGGAACGCATTGCAGGATATATTTAAAATTTGATTGACAAGATGACAAGTGATTACTTCAAAATATTGTGAAAAAAACTGTATAAAACTGAAAAAATGTAATCGAGTTATTTTATTTAATAAAAACGGTATGTGTTAATACAAAACAAACAAGAACAAGACACTACATACCAAAAAAAAATAAAAAAGAACTATTATTTACTTTCAAGCTTTATGAAACTACCCGCATTTATGATTATATTTATCAATATAACTTATGTACAAATACAAATTTGTAATATTCCACAGGAATAAAAAAAAACAACATAGGTAAATAAAACAAACTATTTTATTAATAATAACACCTACCAAATTTTATACCTTAAAGGTTGATTAATTAACTTTAATCTTAATTTTTTTAAACCAGTACCTTTTGACATTATTTTTCTGCAGTACTAAAATCCATTATTTACCTATCGTGTGATGTCGATATTTTACAGCTACTCCAGTTTTTAGTATGTGTTTAGTTTGATCCTGCTACCATATACGAGATGCACTTATCTACGACGAAATACAAACTTTATCGATGGCAACTTCATTGGTGTATAAAACTTTCTGCCTGGGCAGCGAGTATAAACCATAAACTGTGCTCTGGATCTACAGTTAATTTTCACTCGATTTTTCCTCCACTTGACTTCAAAAGACACAAAACACACGTAATAATACGAATCAACATACATCACCTTCCAAAACGCAGGGTATTTAACAAAAGTTGACTAAAAATTCTAACCTATAATTTGGCAAACTTTGACAAGCGTCAAAATGACAAAAATCTAAAGTGGGCGAGTTCATACGCATCGGCGTCTGTTTGTCGTTCATCGTTCCGTCAAACCAATCAAGGTCAAAATAATTATTTATTAAATAAAAAGTCGTGTCGGCGGCACGATTCGAACCGGCTACCTTCGTGTTGCTAGACGAGAGCCTTATCCCCTACACCACCAGATATCTTGACGAGAATTATATCTTTATGGTAATAAATTATGAATTCAGCCTGCTACAACGGATATGTAAAATTTATCCTAGAGGCTGCTTATACTTTGAAAATTCATCTCGTTGCAGTTCATCACAGTTGTATAATTCAAGAAGCACTAAGAAATATGACTACCTTTGAATAATATAATATGAAAAAGTTGGAGTCGGAATACAATAAAAAGCACGAGAAATACATTTGGTATTAAAAACAAAATAAAGGCAGCTTAAATATAGTTTGAAGCATAAATAAAGGAGTATTTGAAGTACTGTGTGGACGGAAGAGGGAAATCAATCGCAAAATTCATAAAATGAATTTAAAGACCGAACCAATTGTAACGTTTGAAGCAACCATACATACACGAAGAACTGTTCTGCAACCATATATACACGACGTAAATTAGCACCATCTATAGTGGGCCGAATCGTCAATTTGTAATTTAATGCTCCATAAGAGTGACTGAGCCCTGAGGGTATTTAACAAAAGTTGACACAAAATTCTAACCTATAATTTGGCAAGACTTTGACAAGCGTCAAAAATGACAAAAATCTAAAGGCGAGTTCATACGCATCGGCGTCTGTTTGTCGTTCATCGTTCCGTCAAACCAATAAAATTGAAATACGATCTGTCATTTTTTAAATAAATCAATAAAACTGGTTAAAAACAACAAGACACGACGTATGACGGATTTATATTTAAACCCATCCATAGATAACTTAAAAATTATTAGAAACTTTTTTTAGCAAAATAAATAGATTGGTATGGGACGTCATCTGCTTTTCTTCTGTCATCGTCTGTCGAAATCTTACCTGAGAAAAAAAACAGTATAATAGGATTGCTCATCCTCATAAGACGTACGTTCGCCTCTTCCCGCGCTTCAGCTGACAGTTGTGACGTCATTGTAGTCCTTGTCAAAGCCTTGTCATGATAGTGTGTATTATTAGTTGCCTATGGTAAACTTAACAGCTGAGAAATTTTGAGTTAATTATTTTGTCAATTTTAAATGTGAAAAAGGTGTCTTTAAAGTTTTTAGAGCTATAGAGTGTATAAATACGTTCATTTTGTGCTGTGGATTGTGACAAAGTGCTTACTAAGTGCCCACGATTTTGTTTATTAATTATTTTAAAGCAAAATATGGAAGTACTCTAAAAAGAATGCTTGCAAAAGGTGATGCTGCGAACTGCTGTCCTTAAAAACTTAAAAATGCATTATCCGAGTATTTAATATACGATTTATACAGTTAATTTTCTATACTGCATACATATAAGGTGTTTAAATAAATAAACTAAATAATGAACGTTTTGCATTCGGCAACCAATAATGCACGTGTGTGTATTATTGGTTGCCGGACAAGGACTAATAACCATGACAAGGACTACAATGACGTCACAAAGCGAGTAGTTTTCGCATGCACCTGGCGGACACTTTTGGCTGAATGAGCAGTCCAATTAGGTTAACTGTTCTTGTGTATTGACTATTTCCATTTTAAATATCTTGAGGTTGCTTGTAGCGATTTTTACTAAGAGACATTTTTTACGTAAAAAATCACGGAAATGTACATTTTTTCACCCAGTAGTTTTATACAGGTACGAGCGAAAAGTTATTACTCTTCAAAACAGCTAAAACACATGTAGGTGGCGCCCCCTACAAATAGGGGTCATATTGACATCAAAATCAAATTTCTGATGTCAAAAAACTCCCAGACACCCAATTTTCACCTAAATATTGACGCTACTTCAAAAATTATTTGAAAAAAATTGAATTAAAAATGAAACTTTTACACCCTGTATCTCCGAAACTAAGCATTTTAGGAAATATATTTATACAAACTTTTTTACTTATTTTTATCTGCAGAATATGCTGCTGAAGTTTCCGGACCACCCAGTAAACATTTTTTTATTTTTCTATTAATATCTCTGAAACTATAAAAAAAAATAAATAATATCTTAGGAGTATGTCAAGTGATCAGGAAGGAACCCAAAAAATCGATACAGGATGTTCCACTGAATTAAAATAAAATTTTAAAAAGTAACTAGTGATTACAAATTCCCAACAGAGTAATTGGACATTATTTATTTTAATTGCTTCTTTCTCTCTCTCAAACTTTAATTTTAATCACAATTTAAATTTGCAAAAAAATTACTTACCATCTTTAGTATGCAATTTTGTATGCAAAATCATAACCTCTATCCTCTTAGTTTCAAACGAACAAGTACCACACTGTATATATTCCTTAGGTTCCTCATTCAATTTCTTGATTTCTTCCTCGTCGCTACTGTACAGTCTGTCCTTTGCCGGATATTGCAGCATAATAAATGCCCTGAAATCGTTCTTGCCCAAGAAACGTCTATGCGTTATAATCGGCTCTGTTGAACTCTTATTCGGTGTTTCTACAACAATATATATTGTGTAAATATTTACCAGAAACATGTTTAAATTATTATCATACTTTTACTAATAGAAGACAGCTTTTTAGGAGACTTTTTATTCGGATTCTGACCGACTATCTCATGGTAGCTAAGTTTTTTCACTGGTAGAAACTCAGGCAAAGAGAGAATGTTTGGGTTCCCGTCAGTTTTTTCTTCTGCTGTGCCTATATCTTTGGGAAACTTCGACATGTGCACTGCCTTAGATCGGAAAGCAGCTATAAATCAAACATTAGCCGTATAAAAATAAATATAACTCTTTCAAAAACTCACCCATTCCTTTATTGATAAAGTCGCTCTTCTTGTCACAATTGTATGGATAAATCTGAGCCCAATTTTTGATAAATTCACTAAAATATAAGTGAAATGATACCGATATAAATAAAAATTGTTTGGAGTGTAACTTACTAAGAATCTTCGTCGAAAAACTTGACTATAACGAGGGGGGGCTTTTTGAATTGCGACAATATATCTTCTGGCATGTCTTCGGGATTTTTAACCTCCGCAGGCCACCAAAAACCGCTCAGCTTGACCCATACGACGTCCCCCCTGTTGTAAACAGGAGGGTTCTCTGGCAGGTCCGTGTCGTCGTACATTTCTCGCACTAAATCACCAGAATATTGTCCGTTCTTCAACAAGTACACTGTAAATATTTATTTGACGTCTAGTATTAATTGGGTTGCTTCGACGATGCTCATGAGTTTTCTTCGTACACATCAAAACATGGCGCGCGAGGAATTAACAGGACTTTTGCCCGTAACCTCCCGGTTTTCTTTTTCGGTATTTCTATTTCTAACTTGGAAAACTTTAGCAATGTTTATATGTTTTTAGGGAAAATGCGTAACAATGGTCACTTGTCATGGACGATCGTGATTTTCCCATAATGCCTCGCAGGTCGGCGTCGCCACGCTGCCAACTTGAAATTGTTTAAACAATTTTATCTAAAATTGTAACTATACTCTTTGTAAAGGGAAAAATGAATAACAGAGGTTTTTAAAATATATTGAGGCCGGATAAAAGACCTAAAACTCAAAAATTCTCTTGATTAATTCAGCAAAAACCTCAGAAATATTCAAAAAAATTTGTTTTACGTTGGTAGTATGTAGTTATTTTTGCTGTCATGCGGCATAAAAACAGAAAGTTTAAAATATGTAAATAAGGAATTATTTTAAATTTTAATTTAATAACCTGCGTTCTCAAACGGATATTCTATTTAAGAATAAGTATTTATAATATTTTAATTTTTAATGATATTTTTCTTCTAAATTTAAAAATATTTTTTTGGTATGTTGGTAACCATGGATTTCTTCTCTTTTTTAAATTAAAATTAAGCAGCTAGGACTATCCGGCCTCTAGATTTGTTCCAAATTTCTTCTTTTTCTTTTCTTTGAAATTAACAATTAAATCTTCTTTTTCTGAAATATGGCCACTTGCTTTTACAGCTTTTATCCAGCACCTAAAGCCAGTCTAGTATTACCCTATATCTTTGGTCAAAATTGAGAAGTGAGCAGTCAACTGTCAAAAAAAGCAATAAAATTTCTAATTTTCAATAAAAATTCTAAATTCGGAATATTTTTGATATTTTTAAAGGAAGTTTATAGTGATAAAAGATTTTAAACCGTTAAATATACAAACTAAAAAGGACTGGATAATATGTGTTATTAAAATATTCGTTTAAGTGTTTATTTTTGTTGGCAAGTCGTAGTGTTTACAAAACTTGACAAAACGTCAAAAACCTACTTTTCATGTTTAAAAAACTGTATTTGTTAAATAACGTTTAATACTTTTTTGTTTATCCAAGCGATTGTTCGTTTTGCACCGGTATTAACATAGCAAATTGTTTAAATAACTCGTATTCAACGAAATTTGTTATCATGAATTCAGTTTGAAGTACGATTAGTTACCGATTCGAGACAAAATGCAGAGCAAAATCGTGATTACGTGGACAATTTTCCTATTTTCTGGCGTAGTTTTTCCTAGTTCTAGTACGGGTGCACCTACAGAAAACAAGAGTAAAGTGTCCGAAACTATGTACGATGCTATAGCGAAAAAATGTCCGGCAGTAGAAGTAACTAACCTAAAAAATAATAGCACTATTTTCACGAAAGATTGCTTAAATTGGGACAAAATTAATGCTACAAATGTATTTAACGATGAAACAAAGCAAGACGTCCTATGTCTGGTATATTATGAAAGTTTAGTATCTTTCTGTACAAAGTTGGGCGAAAATGCACACAAGTTTAAAGGTCTGATAACACCGAACATCGCAAAGGAGAAATACAACGTTTGTGCGGGAAACATATCGATATACCCTAAGAATAACACAAAATCGGAACACGATATATCTAAACTCTTACCGGATTACACAGGATGTTTGAAATTATGTTGGGACGGCCAGGAAATCAGAGACATTTGTAACTTGGCCTATTACTTTAACACATTTAATTTCACTATGCTTGACAGTTACATAGCCTTAAAACAAAAAAGTAATAATGCAGCAACTTTGATACCACAAGTTAACTCAAATACCAAAGAAATTAGCACTGTAGTAGAAAAACAACCCTCTGAGGTGGGTAGTAGTAAAAATCCAGCCCCTGTCTTCGAAACTATTCCTGTAGCAAGTAATAAAAACCCTCAAGCCGATCCTAAACCAAAACTTACAGTACAGGATGTGAAAAATGAAAAATCACCTGAAGTTTTGAACGAAAAACCCAAAGATATAGTTGCTGTAGAAAATTCCTTGGCGGAGCCTGAAAAACAACCGGCAAAAAAAACTGAGAAACCTCCAGAACTTGTAGCACCTCAAAAAGTTATACCTGTTCATGAGGAAATGGATAAAAATAGTGAGGTTAAGGAGACCCAAGTGAATCCAGTTGGGGAGGACAAACACGTACCGAATGAAGATCAGTTTGAGGAGCAAAATATCGAACAGCAAGAGCAAGAAGAAGAGGATGAAGAAGAAGGCATCCCTGAGGAACCCCTGAGGAACAATGGTATGTACTTAGGGATTTTGTATTGTTGATTCTTTCCTTGTGTAAACATTTATTATCTTAAACTATTTTTCTGAGAAGTCATGTACTATATTTTCCTAAACTGTCAGGATAAACAAACAAGTCTGTGAAGGAAAACTTTCATTATCTTATACAGGATATTTTTTATGGTGTGGTCAACATTCTAATATTTAAAATGCTCCATCTCAATGAGTATTATGCTTTGTTTGTAGAAGAAAACCTGGAAAAGGACAAGAAAGTAGTGAAACCAGATATGGTGGAGGAGAGCCCCATAAGTAGTTTTGCTGTTACCGATGAGGATATGGATGGCAATTCTTATTTCTTTTCGTATTTCACTGTCTTGATGTGCCTGTGTATAGCCGGATACGTGGGATATCACAACAGACAAAAGGTAGGTCATCTTGAGCGTCAAATGCGTCATCTTGAGCCTTGCTCTATTTTTTGAAAGTCCCTGTATATTTACAAAAATCGTCATAGATTTAAAAATAAGTTTTTTTACCTTATAAAACCTGAGTATTAAAATTAAAATTAAAATATCTATCTTATTTATTATTTTCAAAATAAAATATATTTTTTAAAATAAATTATAGAGGGTGTCACAAATGACAAATTAATTAAAAAAAAACTGCTAAAGAGTTTTTTCATATCATAATTTTATGTGTTTGGCAATAGTTTACAATACGGTTTTTGTGTGTCATGTACGAAAAATATCATAGTTTTATTATCTTGTATTTATTTATTAATAAATTAAGTTGTTAATAAATAAATAAATTTAACCATATAGTTGCTATATATTAGACCATTTGCTACGTTCTTAGATTTTAAGTCCCAAACATTGCTCTTGAGATTTTGTCCCGCTAGAATAACCATCCGCCACACTGTGGAGCGCTGGTCAGCGCGTGACGTAGCATTCCACGGCGACTACGACAGCGGCGATTTGACGCGATCGAACAGTTCTTTAGAATATATACAGTCCTTGGTTCTGGCTTACTTTTTTGTAAATACCGTTGTATAATATACAGGGTGATTCTCTTTTAACTTGGAATAAATTCAGTAAATCAATCATTTATTTTAATTTTTCATAAATTATACTCGAACCTGTCGATTTGTATTTCAAATGGCGCCCATTTTGACGGAAGAAAACTTTATACAGGTTGTCCCAAACTTGAGATATAACGTCATGAAAAAAAATTTAAATGGCAAATCAAATTTTTGTAAACTTTTTTTTATAGATTTTGGCCCTTATCCTTGAAGGCAAGAAGGGCAGGAAACCTGGCAGAGGGAGAAGACCCAATTCTGCCAACTATCACAAATTGGACAGTAATTTGGAGGAGGCTATGTCGTCCTCGTGTCCTAAACCGTCGTCCAATGTCATTTACTGAAAATACAGAGGAATATAAAAAATAATTTTTTTTTGAACGCGAATAACCCTTTCTAGTAAAAAGTTGTTTGTAAAAAATGTACATATAAAGTATTATTTGGTTTAAAATTTCAGACAAGTCTAGAATTTTTAAAAATTCTCCGAGATATTATGTTTACTTAACTTAAAATTAATCCTCAATAAAATACCACTAATGTATTTATTTGTATTTCTAGAAATAAACGTTTTTTTTTCTTAAAATATATTTTGTATTATTTCAAATCCAAAAATATCTTGTGATCGAAAAAAAAATGGCGTCCTAACCTCGCCAAAATTATCATAGATTGCCATTGCTCGGCCTTCTTTGACGCCGTTTTTTTTCGATTGTATGGTACCAAAAAAAAACGCACTTTTTAACAATCTATCTAACATTGTGTATATTTAGTTAAAAAGAACAAATAATATATAAACCATTTTAACAAAAAATAAATTCTTAAAACCCTATCATCACAGTTTTTCCCTCAATTTACAAATTTTTTAGCCTATATTTTGATATAAAATATGATCAACAAAAAAAAAACGGCGTCGGCGATGGCTATGAAACGAAGATCGCTCTCATTTTCTATGTAAAATTATATGGAGAATGTCACCGATCATCATTTCCAACCTAACTGGACGCCGTTTTTTTTAAGGTACAAACCTAAATCATATATATACAGTGTGATTTTCTAACTTACTAAATAAATTCAGTAAATCAAAGATTTTCGTTTTTTTTTTCAGAAATCCTGGCACACGTCGATTAGTATTTGAAATTGCGCTTTTTTTGTGTAAGAAAATTATATACAGCACAGTGTTATTAAAAAAAAACGTCGATAACCTAACATCTAAAATTTGGGACAACCTGTATAAAATTTTCTGTGTATCTGGGCATAGTTCTGAAAAAAAAAACGCGATATCTTTGATTTTACTGAATATACTCCAGGATCAATGAAAATCACCCTGTATACTCTATGATTGAAAAAAAACGGCGTCATGCTAACCGCAGAAATGTTCTAAGGTAACTTGACACCGTTTTTTTTTGTGTACCATATAGCGCTTTTCAAAATTTTTTAAATTCTATCTAATATTTATTATACTATGTTTGCTAAAGGTTGTACTAAATCACCGGTATATGCTATAAAATAGCCTCTATGCCCATCGACCATAACAGAGGCCTGTCAGTGCTGACAGTGACGTACGGTTCTCCGCTGTACGTGTTGGAAGTGCTGACCATACCCCCAAAATTAAGCGTACTCTTATCTAAAAATATGTTCCTCTAGGTTAACTTATTTTTTTGAGAATATTTTTTGCCTGTTTAATTATGTACAGGGTGTGTCATTTTGAAATCATACGGTATCTCCGTTATTAGCGTAGATAGAAGGATGCGACTACGTACCTAAATTCCATTTTAAGCCTGTTGTAGTAACTATACAGGGTGCTCCCATTGGAATCAAAGCGCACCATTCCTTGTCTCTACGCAAATTTTCCGGTATACTAATTCTGTGATTCCCAGCTTGCAGTAACCAACTGATTGAGTTTGAGGCTATCTGATATATTTTTTTATCGCCCAAAAATTCACTCGCCTTGTATAATGTGTTTATGTTGGCGATAATCTGGTCAAATCTACCAGAGGTATCGGCAAGTACAAATACCGTATCTACCTAATGATTTAAACATATTTTTTTTTAACAAAAACCGAATCGGATAACAAAAATTGAATATCGGAGTAATATACAGGGTGTTCCATTAAAAAAAAAAGAGTACTTTTAAGTGACTAATGTTCAATATTAATTTTGTTTCACCCTGTATAACTTTTCAGGTCAAATTTTAATTTGGATTAATATACAATGGTTATTTTAACTAAATATCAGGCTATACAGGGTAAATTATAATTTAGGTAGCTGTTATCAAAATTTAAAGTTTATTCTTCATTTTCACAAAATGTGAAATATCTCAAAAACTTTACGTTTTAGTCATATGCTTCTTTAATAAAACTCACCTTTATTTTTCTCCTAGAATCCAAAAATTAATTAATATATAGGGTGTCCAATTAAAAAAAAACAACTTTGATATTATGTAACTTTTTTTGGGGACACCCTGAAAAACTCTGTATATTTTTAAAAAATATACAAGCTCCCAAAATTTCATTTTAATACAAACTACCGTTTTCTTTGCAGTCTCATATGAGAGGCGCCACCCTGTATATAAATTCATATTACCTCAATTAAATTTTGCTCACAGTGAGTCTTTAGCTCTCTTAGAGCTTTTGTGAAGTCTGTCTGGTTCTGATCGGGCGTTCTGATCACTTTTGAACCTTTTTCCTCAAAAAAACTCAATAAATGAGGGGGTAGTGAATCCATATCACCTGTGATCAAATCTGGAGGTTTTACCGTATTGTTAGTTTCATATTCATGTGCCTCTAGCCATTTTAACCACCTCCTTGTCCCACCATCCACCGTGATTCTTAGTTTTGCTAAATACATGATAAACTTAAAAAATTATTAAATAAATTAAGAAAATTACTAATATTTTACCTTTGGTCCATAAGTTTAATAATTTTCTGTGATCGACGTTAAGGTCGATCCTACAATTAAGCACTACAACGGCATAGTTTTTCTCATAAAAATTTCTAAGAATGTCCTCACATGGAGTCCACAGGCTTTCATGGCAGTCTATGTTGTTCATTTTCAATATCTGTAATGGATATAAATCTGGGTTAGTTTCGTTTTGATATCTAATAATATAATTTATCCACAATCTGTAATCGAATAAACGCGTAATAAGAAGATAAGATAAAAAAATAGGAAATAGGCATAATAACAACTATTCTAAGTTTCTGAAGCATACTTACATTGAATTTGATAAAGATAAATAAAGTGTATATCGGAAGAAAAACAATTACAATTAGAAACTTATTAAAAATAAGCTATTATTAAATACACTAGGACATTTTGAAAAGTAAAAAAAATTACTTAAATTTTGAGGTTAACATTAATGCGTGTTTTTGTACATTAGACCTACTATTATTTACACTTCGTATTTTTTTCATTATTCTACAATTATTATCAAAAGTTTATATTAAAAACAAATATTTTCATAGTTTTTCATCCCCTGTGCGACCGGTAATTTAAGGAAATAAGCTTTTATCGAAAAGAGAAAAAAAATTTTAGATCATACATTTGGTCTACTCTGGATTTAAAAAAATCAAAGAATTTTTATATTTCTTACCATCAATTAACAGCAACAAATAAGTAATAAAGCCTGATAAAGCACTCGCAATAAGAAGATTTCCTAGAATAACGAGCGAAGCAACAAATTAAACTTATTTTTCTTAGAATACTCATAAAAAATACAGGATAAAAGAGTGATAATTTTTTTAGAGTATTAGCCACAGCCTTATATTTAATTACTATTAAATTAAATGATGAAATCGTTGATTGCTTTTATGCATTTGTGTTCACTTATTGACTTACAATTTATCATATTATTGTATAAAATGTATAGAAATTACCTTATCTTTTAGAATCTTTGCGCGATTTTTTATCATTGCGATTCCCTTAATTGTAACAACATAAAAATACATATGGAGGATAATTGTTTTTAATTGAACAAGAATAAAGATAAATACGTAACAATTAATTAAATTTGTTATGAAATATTACGTAATTAAATACATTATGCAACATAAAATACAGGTAGAGTGTAAAACTGGTTGCCTAAGATAAAAAAAATTAAAATTTTGAGGTTAAATTTTTTTGACATTTACCGAGTGACACAAAATACGACACGTCTACTTTTTGTTTATTTCGCCCGAGTGGCTGTTTTTTCCACAATTAGGCCTAGTTTTAATTGCTAATTACACTTAAACTAGTGTATGTTTATTTATTTATCGTCTTTGGACCTTATACAGTCTAAAAATGACGAGCGTCGAACAGCCCTGTTACACCCTGATCAATGTGTCTTCGGATACAGAGCCCTACAACGAGATGCATTTGAAAAGCGATCTCGGTAAGCTATTTTGGAGGATTACCAACTTAATTTTCATCCATTGTTTATTATTTTAGAGAAGGGCGATACAGACCAAAAGGTCGAAGCATTAAAGAAGATAATTCGAATGATCTTGGCAGGTGAAAGATTACCTCCAGGTTTCCTCATGATGATTATTCGCTACGTTCTTCCTTTGCAAGACCACACAGCTAAAAAACTCCTACTTATATTCTGGGAAATTGTCCCTAAAACTACACCCGATGGCAAGCTTCTGCAAGAAATGATTCTAGTTTGTGACGCTTACAGAAAAGACTTACAACACCCTAACGAGTTCTTACGCGGTTCCACCTTGAGATTTCTCTGCAAGCTGAAAGAACCAGAGCTTCTTGAACCTTTAATGCCTTCAATAAGAGCTTGTTTAGAACACAGACATAGCTACGTTAGGAGAAACGCAGTGCTTGCTATTTTTACAATATACAGGAACTTTGAGTTTCTTATACCCGATGCTCCAGAACTGATATCAACTTATTTAGATGGAGAACAGGATATGTCTTGTAAAAGAAATGCGTTTTTGATGTTGCTGCATGCCGATCAGGATAGGGCACTGTCTTATTTGAGTTCTTGTCTCGATCAAGTCACTTCTTTTGGAGATATTCTTCAGTTAGTTATAGTGGAGTTGATATACAAGGTGTGCCATTCAAATCCCACAGAAAGATCAAGATTTATCAGGTGTATTTATAATTTACTTAACTCAAGTAGTGCGGCTGTTAGGTATGAAGCTGCAGGTACTCTTATAACTCTATCCAGTGCACCTACAGCTATTAAAGCTGCTGCTTCATGTTATATTGATCTTATCATCAAGGAAAGCGATAATAATGTTAAACTTATTGTCCTGGACAAACTAGTAACTCTAGGGGAACATCCAAACTATAACAGAGTTCTTCAGGACTTGGTAATGGATATTTTAAGAGTTTTATCTAGTCCGGACCTGGAAGTAAGAAGAAAAACCTTAAATCTAGCCATGGAGCTGGTTAATTCCAGGAATATTGAAGAAATGGTCTTGTTCTTGAAGAAAGAAGTATCAAAAACCCTTGGTAAGTCTAAATAATTTATATATTTTTATGATATTATACGTTTTAAATTATTTTGAAGACTCTGAGCATGAAGATACAGGAAAATACCGACAACTCTTGGTCAGGACCTTGCATTCTTGCTGTATAAAGTTTCCTGATGTTGCTGCCACAGTTATACCGATTTTGGTAGAGTTTTTGTCAGATAATAACGAGCTAGCTGCCGCAGATGTGTTAGTTTTTGTAAGAGAGGCCATACAAAAGTTCGAGGCACTTAGACCACTTATTATTGAGGTATAGATGAATTTCTAAAGTGTTCCGTTGATATATCAGGTGTTTTTAGAAACTTCTTGAAGCTTTCAAGGATATAAAATCAGTGAAAGTCCATAGGGCTGCCCTGTGGATTCTTGGAGAGTATGCTACATCGGTTGCTGATATAGAGTCAGTCATAAAAGAGGTAAAATTGTATAATTTTTACATAAATATAATCTATAATGGTTGATTTTTAGGTGACATATACATTGGGCGAGGGTTCTTTTGTTGTAGCCGAACACAGACTCAATCAAGGCGAAGTAGACGAAAAAGAAATAGAAAACATAGGAAACGGTCCTGTCGTGACTACTCTAGTGACGTCAGACGGTACCTACGCCACTCAGTCGGCGTTTAACACTGTTCAGAAATCGAAAAAAGAAAGACCGCCTTTAAGGCAGTACCTTATGGACGGAGATTTCTTCATTGGAGCTTCTCTGGCTTCAACTTTGACCAAACTGGCTTTGAGATTTGGTCAGCTGGTTTCTGCAGAAAGAACCAACAGATTCGACGCAGAAGTCATGTTGATTATGGCGGGGATACTGCATTTGGGCCAATCAGGTGAATAAACAAATGAATTAGGTTGTTATAAAGTTCAAATGGTGTGTTTTAAATGAAGTAGTTCGTTTGTACCGATGTTTTACTTATGGTATTATGTGTTTCTGACGTTATTTGATTATTTTAATATTTAAGGCGTTAAATTCTTGTTTATAAAGGGTTTTTAACAAATCTCTACACTCAATTTCATTTATAAGCGAGTCAGGACGTTATAAAATGCAAGATGAAGTTTTCTACGAGTTCAGACAAAGTAGGTCATTTGTACCATAAAATAATAAATACAAGAAGAAGTGTCAAGTCAATGTTAAATTATGGAAACAGCGTGGCTGCCTGGGTAACTAATTTTCAGATATGGCGGCTGGGACATTTGACATGACAATTTCAATTTTATGAAATTTATTTCCGTTTCCGGTTTTTAATGGCGGGCTGTTCAGGAGGTTTAAATGAGGGTTAATATACTTTTTACTCTTTCTAGTAGTAAATAATACAACAAAATTACTCAAAAATATTTATTTGGAATTTAGAACAATGAAAATATGCAAATCAACATAATTAAAGAGCTATAAACCAATAAACTACTGTATCAATATCAAATATTTAAATAATATCAGAGATGCTGTGTTAAAGTGAATTAGTAAAATAACAGTGCATTGACTTACAGAAACTTGAAGATAAATAAATGTTTTCACAGCTTCACGGGCATAAAACTAAATAACTGGAAGCAGGAAAAAGGCAACCGGAACCCACACAAAACCTGGAATCAAAAAAAATATGTAAAAATCATAAATATAGGTACATAAGACTTTTGTGAATTAAATCAAACAGGACTTGAATGAAAATAAAATGAATAAAAAATATGATACATATACATCTAATACCTCATTTGTATTTTAAAAATAATCTACATACATAGATTTATAGCATTATTGCTATGAAAATACATAATAGGTACCTATGTGATATGTAATTACGCATTTCTGTTCATCTTGTAGAAAATTAATGTAGGCTAATAATAGTTCAATAATCATAATTTACCTTGTATAACTTGCTTTCAATTGCTCAAAATCACCGATCAGTCTTTAAAGTAGAGATACGGAAAAATCCTTGGCAAAGAATATCCCAAGATCCTTGGGTTTAAAGTTAAAAAAATATAAAAACAGTTAATATATTACCTATTTTTACATATAATATGGCCCACACCTACTACACGCAGAAACGTCGATTTCATCATTTTCTTCATGTAATTAATCATATATACTTTATTAAAGTGTTAACAAGGAACTTTATATCAAAAAACATCTTTGTACTTATAAATGTCAGCCGAAATATCAGAAACAAACTTCCAATCAAATCTAAACGGCAAAAATTAAAATGGCGCCCGACCTTGCCAGAGGCCTCGGGAGCTGACGCTGACACACAGACAAAAGACAAAAGAACAGGACGCCGACGTGCATAAAAATGTTCCGTAGCAGAAATTGACAGAAATCATATAGAAATATTCAGATTTTTGTCTAGGACAGTCTAGAAGGCCATGCTTTCTGCCTGGGTAGAACCGCGCCACAACTGTTTCCAATTTTCCGGTTTACTGCCACCCCCCCGATTTGTACCATCGCGTTCTAGGCGCTCCAAACGGCAAATTCGCGAACTATAAATTCGCGCCATATTTTAAATTTATAATTACTTATGATATTGTGTATTATTGAGCTTATTTGATTATTTTAGCTAGAATATATCGTATACAGGGCGTCAAATATTTGTTTACAAGTGTTTTTTCGACAGGCTTGCCAACCAAATCGATCACAAACGACGACAGGGACCATATCTTGCTCTGCCTGAAGGTAGTCTCTGACAGATCGCCTGTCATAGTTCAGATCTTTACCGACTATTGTAGGAAGGCCCTGAACGACATGCTATTGGCCAAAGAGCGCGAGGAAGCGTCAAATCAGAAGGCCAAAGAAAAAACAGGTATGATTGGCAACATTGTAAAGATGTAAACATGTATTTTAAATGTTACGAACTACATTATAGTTAGTATTTTTTATAATTTTAGGGCACAAAATTCAAACGGACGACCCGATCAATTTCATTCAGTTGGAGACTGATAAGGGTGGCGAATTGGGGGAAAATGTATTCGAAACGTCGTTATCTCAAGCTCTGATTGGAGGAAGAGCCGCAGGCGGGGACACTGGTTTGGGTCCAAATAAACTGGACAAAGTCACCCAACTCACAGGTAATACATGGTTTGTTATTATGTTTGATATCATATATAATTTATATATGATATTTTTATGTTTGATGGTAATATGTAAATTATACATATATGATCATATATAAATTATATATGGTTATCATATATAATATACTTTTCTAGGTTTCTTACATGGTTTGTTATTATGTTTGATATCATATATAATTTATATATGATATTTTTATGTATGATGGTAATATGTAAATTATATATGATGATCATATATAAATTATATATGGTTATCATATATAATATAGTTTTCTAAATTTCTTACATGGTTTGTTATTATGTTTGTTATCATATATAATTTATATATGATATTTTTATGTATGATGGTAATATGTAAATTATATATGATGATCATATATAAATTATATATGGTTATCATATATAATATATTTTTCTAGGTTTCTTACATGGTCTGTTATTATGTTTGATATCATATATAATTTATATATGACTTTTTATGTATGATGGTAATATGTAAATTATATATGATGATCATATATAAATTATTTACGGTTTTCAGATATAATCATTTTTCTAGGTTTCTCAGATCCGGTATATTCAGAGGCGTACGTTCACGTGAATCAGTACGATATCGTCTTGGACGTACTGATCGTGAATCAGACCAACGACACGTTGCAAAATTGTACTTTAGAGCTGGCAACGTTGGGCGACTTGAAGTTGGTCGAAAAACCTCAACCCGTGGTTCTGGCGCCTAAAGATTTCTGTAACATCAAAGCAAACGTTAAGGTTAGTAATAATGAAGTACAATATTTTAATTTTTATCTCATATAATTCATTTTTTTTTCAAGAAGCTTGCTTTCACATCAGTAAATCATTCTTTTTCACAAACTTTTTTTTTCTTCTTCAGGTTGCTTCCACTGAAAACGGTATTATTTTCGGCAACATTGTCTATGACGTCACCGGTGCCGCGTCTGACAGAAATGTGGTGGTTTTGAATGATATACACATCGATATAATGGACTACATAGTACCAGCGAGTTGTACCGACACAGAGTTTATGCGCATGTGGGCGGAGTTTGAGTGGGAGAACAAGGTAAGCCAATAGGAAAGCGACGTTTGTATTTGGGCGTGGCAAAAATAGTTCATACGTATCTGCGTCTGTGCGTTATTTATCGTTTCCTCACTCCAATCATATTGGAATATGATCTGTCATTTTTGAAATAAACCAATAAGACTGGTTAGAAACAACAAGAGACGGATTTATACAGGGTCTTTTAAAAAACATGTGCCATTTGTCGTGGGGAGATTCCTCATGTAAAAATAAGATTTTTGAACACCCTGTATATGAACCCATCCATAGTTAACTTAACAAAATATTAGAAACTTTCTTTCCTGACGTCATCTACCTTTTTCCTGTCATCGTCTATCGTAATCTTCCGTCAAATGCGTAAAACGAAAGAAAGTTTAATTTTGCCATGAATTAAAATGACAGATGCAACTGTCACTGTCAGGGATCCTCCCGTTGGACAGACTGTATACCGTTTCTTTCCATTTTTTCTATTTTTATTTGAAAATTTTTGAATTATTCTTTTTTTCCCTAGGTAACTGTCAACACGTCGTTGACAGATCTGAACGAATACCTGAAACACCTGATCAAGAGTACCAACATGAAGTGTCTCACGCCGGAAAAAGCGCTGTCAGGCCAGTGCGGTTTCATGGCTGCCAACATGTACGCCAAATCTATTTTTGGTGAAGACGCTTTGGCCAATTTGAGTATAGAAAAACCCTTTAACAAACCAGAAGCTCCTGTACAGGGTCATATCAGGATAAGGGCCAAAAGTCAGGTAAAATATTTTTGAAATATTTATATGTATAGGTTAAGTTATCTTTTAGGGTTCCGTATCCAAAGGGTAAAAACGGGAACCCTTTACTAAAACTTCGCTGCTACTAAAACCCTTCGTGCGCGAGTCCGACTCTCATTTGACCAACTTTTTTTTTTCTAGGGTATGGCTTTGAGTTTAGGAGATAAAATAAACAGTAGTCAAAAGGCTGGACTTCAAACTAAAGTTGCGGCGGCATAATAAAAATAAATATTTTGCATAAATTGTATAAGTGAAATAAATTGTATTATTACTGTTTTTAGTTGATAGGCTTATATATTATATTCCACGAAATAAAATTAATATAGTCTATAAAATGAATAACTTTGAATTTTGATCGTTATTTTTTACTAACATGGCAAATATAAAATCCCTCTATCAAAAAAGTTACTGATATTCTTTAAGTATTCTTTAAATTGAGTGCCTGAACGAATCAGATAGGTAACTCTTTTTACTTACGTGAAATAGAAAAGGAAAATAATAAAACAAGTGACAGTTCTTCCTCTTCTTGCAAAAATCAACACGAAATGGCATAATTGTCAAAAGTAAAATGTCATCAGCTTTTGACATTTCTAAATATCAGACCAATTCCGTCTGTAATAGAACAGCCTCGGAGCGAGATTTATGACGTCACGCTAATTAGATACGGATTAATAAATATGTTGTAGAATACATGGAAAACATAATTATTCCTCGTATTTTTGGTTTGTATTTTAAAAATGATATAGTTTACATGAAATATACATAATATACAGTTAATAAATATAATATATACCTATTTATAGTAATAAATACTTTGGCAAATAAACTATGAACCATACAAATGCAGCAAATGTTTTACAATATACAAATAATGAATAGGTACATAAGATAATGGGTAAAATGTAAAATATATTTTAAATTTTGGGGTTTGAAAATAGATCTAATTTAACAAAAAACGTTCAATATCTACTAATAGTGATGTATTATTATTTGCATTCACAAAATTTATATGTATATTTTGCAAGTATCAATGTTCGAAAAATTATATTTGCAAATAATACAATATCATAGAAAAAAAGGCGTCAGGGATAGCTATGAAATAAAGATCGCTGTCATTTTATATGTATAATGGTTTTAAAAAAAACGTTTCGGCTAACATTATAGCCTTCATCAGTGTTGTGTCATATAAAAATATAGTGTCGAATATAATCCAAAAAATTGCATATAAAATATTCACACCAAACCAAACCACATAATGTTTACTGCAATTAATAAACTAATATAAACTTGTCAAAAGATGACCACATATTTTTTTAAAATTATTATTCTTAACACTAAAACTATCTACATTGACTATGGAGTACGATTTCAGCCATAGTCAAATATAAGGAATAATTATGTTAGCGTGACGTCATAAATCTCGTTCCGAGGCTGTTCTATTAGAGACGGCATTGCGTCAGCATGGTCGCAAGTTGCTAACCTAATAAAATTAACACTAGAAAAGCCCGTGGGAACTGTCAAATTCAAAGTTATTCGTTTCACAGACTATATCATAGCTTTATTACAGCCTTTACTGTATTTGTGTTTTATTTTTATATAGCCCATACCAAATAAACATTTAGTGACGTGATTAGTATGAAAAAGGTGATCGAAATTCGAAAAAGCAAATGTGTTTAAGATTTCCCAAAAAAAGATAAATGATAAGTTAAATCATCTCTGCCATGAATGGCGTTGCTATGGGTGTGTTTAGTTGCATTCATTTGTTTCAACGAAACGTCAAAGTTGTTACTTCTCACAGATAAGAGCAATAAGAGGTAAATGGCTAAATTTTATGTTTAAAATTATAAATTGTTGTTGTTCTTGTGCTCTTTTTACGTTTATATTGTCGTTTTGATTGAAAATGGCTCAGCAAGCTGCAGGTATGTATTCTAAAAAACCTATTATTTATTTTGATATTCTCTATACTAACGATTTTTTTTGCAACTAAAAGTTAGGCGTTCAGAAAATTTGATTAAATTTGTGACATTTTTATTATACTTAGAGATTTAGTTGCGCATTTCGAAGAATTCAGCATATTGTCTATATACGTTTTACTTAGTATAGTCTGTAAAACGAATAACTTTGAATCTGACAGTTCCCGCGGGCTTTTCTAGTGTTAATTTTATTAGGTTAGCAACTTGCGGCCATGCTGACGCAATGCAGTCTCTAATAGAACAGCCTTGGAACGAGATTTATGACGTCACACTAGTTAGATACTACAGATTAATAACTATGTTGTAGAATACATGGAAAACATAGTTATTCCTCGACTTGTTGGTTTGTATTTTAAAAATGATATAGTTTACTTGAAATATACATAATATACAGTTAATAAATACAATATATATATATACCTATTTATATTAATAAATACTTTGGCAGATAAACTATGAACCATACAAATGCAGCAAATGTTTTACAATATGACTGAAATCGTACTCCATAGTCAGTGTAGATAGTTTTTGTGTTAAGAATAATAATTTAAAAAAATATGTGGTCATCTTTTGATAAGTTTATATTAGTTTATTAATTGCCGTAAACATTATAATATATAAATAAATTTTGTGAATGCAAATAATAATACATCACTATTAGTAGATATTGAATGTTTTTTGTTAAATTAGATCGATTTTCGAACTCCAAAATTTAAAATATATTTTTCATTTTACCCATTATCTTATGTACCACCTATTCATTATTTGTATATTGTAAAACATTTGCTGCATTTGTATGGTTCATGTTTATTAGCCAAAGTATTTATTACAATAAATAGGTATATATTATATTGTATTTATTAACTGTATGTTATGTATATTTCATGTAAACTATATCATTTTTAAAATACAAACCAAAAATACGAGGAATAATTATGTTTCCATGTATTCTCCAACATATTTATTAATTCGTATTATCTAACTAGCGTGACGTCATAAATCTCGCTCCGTGGCTGTTCTATTAGAGACGGCATTGGTCTGATATTTAGAAATGTCAAAAGCTGATGATATTTTACTTTTGACAATTATGACATTTCGTGTTGATTTGTGGTAGAAGAGGAAGAACTATTACTTGTTTTATTATTTTCCTTTTCTATTTCACGAAAGTAAAAAGAGTTACCTATCTGATTCGTTCAGGCTAGTTCAGGCACTCAATTTAAAGAATATCAGTAACTTTTTTGACAGAGGGATTTTGTATTTGCCATGTTGGTGAAAATAACGGTCAAAATTCAAAGTTATTCATTTTATAGACTATAAACATTGGGCTTTCATACAGTAAAATAAAATACTGCGACTTTTTGCGACTTTCTTAATCAACTATATTGATTCTCAACTAATAAACACTAATTAGACCTTCTAAGGATATCAAAATATTTACTTTTTTACTTTTAGAATAATCAAATAATAAATTTTTCGTATACTCTACTATTTAAACCCGTGTATTTGTATATACTAGTTGTTTACGATGTTCTCTGATGGTGGCAGCACCGGCACATATTACATCCCCTTGTATTAGCGCCACGCTATGCTGCTGATTTTATTTATGTCTTGTAGGCATGTATTCACTAAAAATTCGAAAAATACTAATATAAACGACAATGACAATTCTATTCTTTATTTTTCGGAACAATTCTATACAGTAACACATTTCTTTAAAAGGATTATTATTTTCTTTCCTTGTAAACCTTCCCACATTTCTTCTTTTATCTACAATAATTTTAAACAAAAGAGAAAACAACGTTTCGCTTATTCCTCTTCTTCCTCCTCCTCCTCTTCATCCTCATCATCTTCGTCATCTTCCTCTTCCTCATCAACCTCTACCTCTTCTTCTTCAAGATCCTCCTCTTCATTCTCTGCGGCAGGTTGAGGCTCTTTGATGAGTTCATCCACTTCGTCGTCAACAGCTTTAGCGATTTCTTCCTCTATTTTATAAGATATACATTAATGAAATATTTAGTTTGAACTATTATTTTCTTTATTTTTAATAGCTTTTATAAAAATGGATAATTGTATAATACCACACGATCGAAAAAAAAACGGCGTCGAAGAAGGCTAAGGAATGACAATCGATAAGAATTTTTGGCGAAGTCAAGCCCTAGACGCCATTTACGTGGGGCGATTTGAGTTTTTTTCTACCGCTATATCTCTTGAGTAAAGTGTGGAATGTATGCAACTAACAATACAACAGGTCCTAATAATACCGAACAATTCTGTTAGGATTAGTGTATTACTGGTTGCATAAATATGTGTATATCATGCAATGACTAAAGAATACAGGGATATGTAATGCCCATATACGGGCTGCAGCAGAATTTGTGATGTTAGACGCCATTTGTTGGTTGTAACAAATGAGTCATCACTCATCAGCGACAATTTTAGCGATTTTTAATAGTTTGTGTGTAATGAACTTTGTATAAATTTTATTACAATGGTGATTAGTTGTTCGACTTTCAAATGTAAAAGCAGCAGCGATAAGAAAGAGCCAGGAGTTACGTTTCATAGGTAAATAAACAGTTACTCCATCTTTTTAGCTTTTTCTTACTTTTCTTATTGAATTTGGTAATTATTTTTTTGATAATATATGTATTTGATATGTGCTAATACGTCGATACTAGTTTTGTACCTTTTGTTAATATTTTAAAACGTTTTTTTCGTAATTAATTAGTATGATATCACCGCATACACCATAAGCGTAGTCAAAACTTTTATCAAAAATATAAATATCTCTTAAAGCAGCTAAGTTAAGAAAAATATGTGCCACGGCACTGTTTGGTGTTATGGTAACAATTGGGTCTCGAGTGTTATTAGTCCTTGTATTCTTTAGTCATTGGAGTTAAGTGTAGAATATATACAACTAACAATACACCAGGTCCTAATGATTCTGAACCAATTTTCTTTGGATTAGTGTATTACTGGTTGCATAAATACTCGATCTTCTGAACGTTAGTTGTTTGTTACTTTAGATAATTTGTTTGGACTTATTAATAAGTGTTTTTTTACCTTCTGGCGTGTCTGGATCTCCAGGTTTTTTACCTGGACGTTCTCCACACCATTTTGGCAATCTTCCTAAAAAAAACATATAGAACTACTTCCTTAACATAAAAAATAGCTTACTTCTAGGCCTGTGGCTAAATTCATCCATTTTCTCCCTCCAATTTTTCTCCATTTGCTCCAGAGCGACCATGTCGAATCCCTAATATACAGGATGTGTACAAAAGTACCAAAAAAAAAGGTTTTCAATAAAATTCTCTACTTACTCCTTGAAATAACTTTTGTTTGTCATCGAACGATCTTATATCGACTCTCCGCTCATATTTTGAGGCTAGTTGAATTTTAGGCTTAAACAAAGTATCAGTTAGAGCAACGTTTTGTGTTTAAAACAAACCTCTTACTGGATGTGGACCTGTTAATGCTTCTGGATCGAGTCCTTTCTTCAGAGCCTTGTGTCTCAGTTGTTGTCTTTGACGTTCTTTCAATTCCTTAAGCTGTCAAACAGATGTAGAACGAACAATTTTTTATTTGTAATCTTTGAATAAAAAGGTTTAAACTATTTTTATTTATGAATAGAGTGTTGTGTCCTCTTTAGTTAGATGATTTTGGTACTTACATCATATTCCTGTCGTTTTTCTCTCTCTTCTAGATCGTATTTCTCTGTTTCCAGCTTGACTATGGCTTCCCACAGCTCCTGAGCCCTTTCTTTCAGCTTGTCCGTTGACATACCATCCAGTTGTAGAGGTTTGATGCGGATGGACAGCGAAATTTTCTTCTCTTCTTCTAATTGTTCTTTGGTTTTGGTCCTTTCCAGTTCTGCGTCGCTTAAACTAGCCTGGGGCATGGACAAAAATTGATATTTATGTGGTTAAGAGTTCATTTTAACGTTTTATGTAAAACTGGCTAGTTATTTTTACAAAAATGAAGAAGGAAATTAAAGATAAAGGATTATACTATATCCATACCCTGCCCCTGACCAGGGTTCGGAAAACTACATGTTACTTTTAAAAACTACATAAACTACATTACATGTAGTTAATGTAGTTTATGTAGAGGGTGTAGTTTATGTAACTTATGTATGTAACTTTCAAATATCAAAGGTTTGAGGTGAGGTTTTAATAAGTTGACGCTTTAAAAACACATAATGTATTTAAGAAATCAGAAGAAATATGTCTTTAAATATAATATTTACATCATATTATCTCTATTACACCTCATACAAAGGAAAATTATTCATAATATCAATACATAGTTTATTAACGTAGTTTTCATGTAGTTAATGAACGGGAAAAGACGTAGTTTTTGAAGAATAACTACACGTAGTTAGTCAGGTAAATTACGTCTTAATTAACTACTTCCGAACCCTGCCCCTGACTCTTAACTCTGGAATGGCTCTTACCGCTAAAGCCTTCTTTTTGACCACAAGATTAAGAGTTTTGTTCTTGTGTTGCTCTTTGAGTGCGGCCATCATGGCTTGACGTTTTTTCTCGGCCTCTATGAGTCTCTGTTTCTTTTCTTCAGCCTCTCTCACTTTCTTCTCCTCTATTTCTTTGACTCTTCGTTCTTCCTCTTGTTTCTTCCTTTCCGCCGCTGCTTTTTCTTCGTCTGCACGCGCGACTTTCCTTTTGGCTTGTTTTTCCTTCAATCTAACGAAAAATATAACAACATAACGTATATCTTAAATAAGTTTTAAAGAGATACATTCTACATTGTGCGTGCATTAGAAGTTTCCAGAGAACTACAATATCTAGATCATTATTTTACAACGAGATCTATCGATTAAAAATGTTTTTAATATGGCGGCACTTCCGGAAATTACGAAGCATTTTTTTATACCTTGGTACCACTCGCTTTATTTTTACTAGAATTTCATACCTTTTTAGCTCTTCTTGTTCCTTAACTCGTACCATCCGCCATTCCGCTATATACTCCTTTAATTGTTCGTCCAGTTCTGATCTTTTCTGTTCCTGACGCTTAATAAACTCTGGATCTCCAGTATCTTGTCTGGAAAAAAACGTAAAACGTTCATTAAGCTGCCTATTTTCTATTTTTTTTATTTACTCTTCTTCATCCATGATATCTGTCGGTTTTTGTTCCCCGTGCTGCTTGAAAGTGTGATATCTTTAAGGTTCTACTAAGTACTGAGGTCCAATCTATCTAAAACTATTGAGAATTGTGTTTGATGGCCAACCATTCGAAGAATTTGGATGGGAAGCAATTAGTTGCTTCTATTTTTAAGTTTGTGGGTCAAATTTTTGATGTTAGTCCATCATGTATCGATATATAAATAAGATTGATTAAGATATAATGTTTTAATTATATAGTTGTAACACAATCGTTTTAATATTATTTAGAATTTTAGTAGTACTACATTTTGTACTACTATTCTTTGCAAAAACTTAAGGTTTAGAAATTTGAAGACTGAAACCAAAAAAAAATATTGTTTTTCTTTTTTTTTCCATAGTAACTGTTAAAATTGCCTTGTATCTATCAAAAATAGTAGATAAAATAGTACTTTAACCGCAAGAGTAGATTAAATGATACTTTAACAGCCAGGATAGATTAAAAACTTTATTTCTTCTCGAACGTTTTTTAATTGCTTCCATTTTTGAAAATTTGTGATGTTAGACGCCATTTTTTTGGTTGTAACAAATGAGTCATCACTCATCAGCGACAATTTTAGCGATTTTTAATAGTTTGTGTGTAGTGAACTTTGTATAAACTTTATTACAATGGTGATTAGTTGTTCAACTTTCAAATGTAAAAGCCGCAGCGATAGGAAAGAGCCGGGAGTTACGTTTCATAGGTAAATAAACAGTCCACTCCATCTTTTTAGCTTTTTCTTAGTTTTCTTATTGAATTTGGTAATTATTTTTTTGATAATATATGTATTTGATATGTGCTAATACGTCGATACTAGTTTTGTACCTTTTATTAACATTTTAAAACGTTTTTTTTCGTAATTAATTAGTATGATATCACCGCATACACTATAAGCGTAGTCAAAACTTTTATCAAAAATATAAAAAACGTTGCTCTAACTGATACTTTGTTTAAGCCTAAAATTCAACTAGCCTCAAAATATGAGCGGAGAGTCGATATAAGATCGTTCGATGACAAACAAAAGTTATTTCAAGGAGTAAGTAGAGAATTTTATTGAAAACCTTTTTTTTGGTACTTTTGTATACACCCTGTATATTAGGGATTCGACATGGTCGCTCTGGAGCAAATGGAGAAAAATTGGAGGGAGAAAATGGATGAATTAGCCACAGGCCAGTCTTACTCGTCTCTTTATTTCAGCTGTTTGGTTTTCTTTTTTCAGTTTAATCATTTGTTCCAGATATATATACTCTTCAACTTGTTCTATTTTTTCTTGGTTTATTCTGGTTGTTATGTTTTCATCTGTGTTTGTTATGATTTTAGTTTTAGTGTAGTTCATATTGAGGCCTATTCTTGTAGCTGCTGTATCCAGTTCTTCCAGCATTTCTACCAGTTCCTCTTTCTTTTCTGTTATTAAGGCGATATCATCCGCATATCTTAGGTGATTCAAGTATTGTCCACATATTTTGATACCTTTTTCTTCCCAGTCTAAATTTTTGAAAACGTCTTCTAATGCCTGATTAAAGAGTTTAGGGGATATTGTGTCACCCTGTCTGACACCTCTTCCTATGCGAATTGGCTTTGTTCCTTCGTGGATTTTAATTGTTGTTGTTGCTTCGCTATATATGTTGGCTATTAAGTGCGTATCTGTAGTCTATCCTGCTATTTATTAAGGAAGTTTTACTGCCCAGTGCTCAATACTATCAAAATTAATTTTCTCTTAGAGAAAGAAAATTTAGTGCATCCTACTCCCATATCGATCTTTGTCCAAAGGCAGTCAAAAAAAATTCTATGTTAATAGATACCGTATGATCGAATAAAAACGGCTTCAGCCATTTCGATCAATGACATTTCCCCATAAATTTACATATAAAATGACAGCGATCTTCATTTCAAAAGCCTTCGCTGACGCCGTTTTTTGATCATACGCTACATATAATTATACAAAATTTGCTTTCTTCAAATAATTTATTGATCTTATTTTAAAACAGTTAATAATTAACATATAAATAAACAATAGTAAGTAATGTTTAAAATAAAACTCACAGACAAGACGGTTACATGTAGGAATATATCTTTATTTATCAACAGATTTTAATGATTAACAGAATAAAATAATGTAAGTTTAAACTTAAAAATAATAAAAATAAGTTTATTGGAGGTCCACATTGCTCCGGGTCTTGGGTGGACATATATATTGAAAAAATCCTGAAAAAAATTAAAACTAAATTAAAAAAAAAAAAAGAATGCCTACTATAGTCTGTGAAGCGAATAACTTTGAATTTGACAGTTATCGCGGGCTTTTCTAGTGTTAATTTTATTAGGTTAGCAACTTGCGGTCATGTTGACGCAATGCCGTCTCTAATAGAACAGCCAATATATAAAATGACAGCGATGTTTATTTCATAGCTACCACTGACGCCTTTTTCTATGATATTTATTATTTGCAAATATAATTTTCGAACATTGTTACTTGCAAAATATACATATAAATTTTGTGAATGCAAATAATAATACATCACTATTAGTAGATATTGAATGTTTTTGTTAAATTAGATCGATTTTCAAACCCCAAAATTTAAAATATATTTTTTTACCCATTATCTTATGAATCGATTCATTATTTGTATATTGTAAAACATTTCCTGCATTTGTATGGTTCATAGTTTATTTGCCAAAGTATTTATTACCATAAATAGTATATATATATATTGTATTTATTAACTGTATATTATGTATATTTCATATAAATTATATCATTTTAAAATACAAACCAAAAATACGAGGAATAATTATTTTTTTCATGTATTCTACAACATATTTATTAATCCGTAGTATCTAACTAGCGTGACGTCATAAATCTCGCTCTGTGGCTGTTTTTATTAGAGACGGCATTAGTCTATATATTTAGAAATGTCAAAAGCTGATGACATTTTACTTTTGACATTATGACATTTCGATGTAATTTTATTAAGAAGATGGAAGAACTGTCACTTGTTTTATTATTTTCCTTTTCTATTTCACGAAAGTAAAAAGAGTTACCTATCTGATTCGTTCAGGCACTCAATTTAAAGAATATCAGTAACTTTTTTGACAGAGGGATTTTATATTTGCCATGTTGGTAAAAAATAACGGTCAAAATTCAAAGTTATTCATTTTATAGACTATACTTAGAAGCTGAACAAATTAGGCAAAGAAAATAAAATCTAATTAAAATAATAGATATACAGGGTATCCCAGGCTGAGCGTGCATTTTGTTTCACAACGAGATCTATCGATTAAAAATATTTTCAATATGGCGGCACTTCCGGAAATACCGGAAGTTGACAGTAAGTTTCTTATTTTAAACGGGTGCCCCATTTTTTATTACATATTTAAATTCAGTCTAAAATTTTATGAATTTTGGTATCACTAAACACTCTATATCTAACATTAACTGTTTTTGAGAAAAAAAAATATTAAACATTTTTGAAGGAAAAAAAAAGTGCCTGTCAAAAAATTTTTTATAGCCTAAACGTCAAAGTTAGTGATTTAGTTTTAAAGCGTATTTTTTTCTTGATTTTATTTAGCTTGCCAACTTCCGGTATTACCGGAAGTGCCGCCATATTGAAAATACTATTAATCGATAGATCTCGTTTTGAAACAAGGATGTGCAAAAAATCTCCAATCTAGATCTCTAAGGCACGCTCAAAAATCTTCTGTATAACAAAATATATTCACCTGACGTTTAGAGGAAAGCTTATTCTTCTTCTTCCTCCTCCTCTTCCTCATCCTCTTCCTCCTCTTCTTCTTCAACCTCCTCCTCTTCTTCCTCTTCTTCTGGTTCGGGTTCGAAGACTGGTTCTTTCAGGTCTTCATCGTCTACCACCTGTTTTTCTTCCTCGCCTTCTGGAGTCTCGGGTTCGCCGGCTTTCTTGCCCGGGCGCTCGCCGAACCATTTGGGCAGGCGTGCTGTGGACGTACAACACAGTGCGTAATTAAGAACACGTAATCGAAAAACTAGAAGGAAACGACAGAATACAGAGGCCAAAACGCTAGAAAGATCCGGTGACGTCACGAAAGTAGGGCTGGACGCGCACAAAAAAGTCAGTGGCGTACATGCTTTCTTTAGAAAAATATTCCAGGGATTCTGGTGAATATGTCGACACTTTTTTAGCTTTAAAAAGTGTCGACATATTCACCATAATGGTTTAAAGCTGATTTCTGAAACTATTAAAATATATTTACTCATATCTTAGGATTATGTAAAGTGGTCAGAAAGGAAGCCAAAAAAGCAATAATATGTGGTGTTCCGTTTACAAAAAAATTATCCGGTTCCACCACACTTTTTGAGCCACTCTGTAGAATTTAAAATATTTTCCTTAAATACATCCTAGTACGTATTTTAGGTGTATGTTCACTTAAACAAAATTCTCAAGTTTTTTTATTCTAGGAGCTACAGATGCCCGACACACTTTTGCCGGACCCTGTATATTAGTTAAGTTGGTCCACTTTCGTGACGTCAGTTTAGTGGTTTTCTCGGGCCTCTCATAGCATAAGTAATGCCTAATTAGTTAAGGCGGGAATTCTATAAACTAGTTTCAGGTTAAGGTAGTTAGGCAGGAATTAAAGAATAAGATAAAAAATATGAAAAAATTGTCAAAATATTTTTAGAGCTTAATAAGATCTTTAGTATAACGAAAAAAAAAATCTTACCCTTCTGTCTGGAATCGAATTGTCCCAATTTTTCTTTCCAGGTCTTTTCGTTCAGGTCTTTAACAATGTTTTCATATCCCTGTTGATAAAAGAAAATGAAAACATCAACTAAAGGTAATCAACTAAAATTAATTTAACAAAAGGGGTATAAAAATAAAAAAAAAAATTTTTTTTTGAAACTCACGTTGGGTACAAAATATTTCTTCTCTTTTTAACCAAAGATTATTTAGTCCTTCGAGATATTTAAAAACTGTTCCCTTAAATAAAAAATTTCTTGAGTAGAACTTTTATCGTCGTGTATAAAACAATATTTTTTCCCACAGCGAGTTAGGTTTTAAAAAATATTCAGAAATTATTATTTCAAGGAATTTATTGCGAGTAGAAAAAATATTGTGCTGGGTTGGCGTTGGTTTCTATGTAATTTGATAAATAAATAAAGCTGTCTCGTTAATTGTCAGTTTTGAGTCAATATTTTTTAATTCTCTTTCGTGTCGATTGCTGACTGAATTGGAGGCAGAAATGGCTCAAAACGAAATAAGTAAATTAATAACAGATATTCAGGCTGAGGATTTAAATCCCGAATAACTTATGAAAAGGAATACAAAAATTTTCAAAAATGAAAGCAATTAAAAAACGCGCGATAAGAAATAAAGTTTTTAACCTATCCTCGCTGTTAAAGTATCATTTAATCTACCCTGGCGCTTAAAGTACTATTTTATCTACTATTTTTGATAGATATAAGGCAATTTTAACAGTTGCTATGGGAAAAAAATGAAGCTATTGTATAGGGAGGTCCACTTTTTGGTAGTAGAACTTTTTAAAAATGTTTTAAAAAGAAGATTTAACGTCAAAGTATAACTAGGTACTAGGTACCCAAGGACTGTATACAGGTTGTTAATTTGTTTATTACTCGCGGCAAGAGCTTTATGGTTTGAAATATGGCCTTCTCGGCCCCGCTCGTCGATGACGACGCGACAGGACGAATCGGCAGAAAAAATCAATAATGCATGCGTTCTCAATAGGCAGTGTTGCCATTCTGTTCCCCTATAAGTAACTGTCGAGTTAACAACCTGTATATTCTAAAGGACCGTTCGATCGCGTCAAATCGCCGCTGTCGTAGTCGCCGTGGAATGCTACGTCACGCGCTGACCAGCGCTCCACAGTGCGGCGGATGGTTATTCTAGCGGGACAAAATCTCAAGAGCAATGTTTGGGACTTAAAATCTAAGAACGTAGCAAATGGTCTAATATATAGCAACTATATGGTTAAATTTATTTATTTATTAACAACTTAATTTATTAATAAATAAATACAAGATAATAAAACTATGATATTATTCGTACATGACACACAAAACCGTATTGTAAACTATTGCCAAATACATAAAATTATGATATCAAAAAACTCTTTAGCAGTTTTTTAATTAATTGTAATCTTGTGACACCCTCTATAATTTATTTAAAAAAATATATTTTATTTTGAAAATAATAAATAAGATAGATATTTTAATTTTAACACTCGGTAATTGTAAATTCATATATAGTAAGTATCTAAGAAAATTTTTTAAACTCAGTGCCTTTTGATGGAGTTGTTTTGTTTTTATACTATCCGATTGAAATGAATCTTTTTGGGCATTCACCTGTTAAGCTTGAACTCCCTGTGACTGTGACTACCTGTGTTGGTAACTATTGGTAACTCAAAAGATCTACATCATTCAATATATCGATATTTGAAAAAAAAAGTGAGGAGTTTGATATCTGCAGAACAAAGGCACGAAGGATTTTAACAAATATATACGTACAGAAGAAAAGTACATACCTTTGGCAATCTTCAACAAAATTTGGCTTTCTAATAAAATGTATAAGCACTTGTAAATATTTTGTTTTCGTATGATCTCTGCCTTGCTGAGCAGAAAACGACCAAATTTGGTTGATAAAAATGTATCGAATACAAAGAATATTCATGCAATTGGAATGTCTACTATTTATTCTTATCAGTACACATTTTTTGGCTTATTTCTAACCAAACGCTTTTGTCCCGCTAAATTTATCTTCCAACGCACTGTGCGCTCGTCCGTCAAATGCAAAAATAACTGTCACTGTCTAAAATCTTTAGCGCCAACTTCAACTTGGTCACCAGATGACGTAAAAAAAACTGACAGTGCAGGAAGATAGTAATCGAACTATCCTTATCTCTATAATATCCTTGCTAGGTACCATATTTTAAAATACTTTTGTATATGAAAATACTTACACCTTCAAATAGATGCTTCTTGTCAGTGTACGACCTAGTGTCCACACGCCTTTCGTATTTGGAGGCTACTTGGATTTTAGGCTGAAAAACAAAAAAAATCAGAATTTATGTAAATTTTATGTAACGCAAAATATAGAAAATAAAGTGTAACTTACTGGGTATTTGCCTGTGGGCTTCAGGGTCTAGACCGCTTTTAAGGGCCTTGTGCCTCAGTTGCTGTTTCTGTCTTTCTTTCAGTTCTTTAAGCTGAAATAAATAATAAGATTAAAATTGAATTATATACCTTAGGAAACAGCGTTGTTAATTTTTGATGTACTTAGTAACTTTATTTTTCAAAACTATAATTACGGTGCATTTCAGTTGATTTAAAAAAATTCCGAGCGCAGCCATTCAACACTTCATGTTGATCGCATTAAAATAATATTGAAATCATTGGCTTTGTCATAATATTTAAGTATTTTAGTTTTTTGCTAGTGCAGTTATTGAAACTATAAAACACTCAGGTACGAGGTTTGTGTGATGTAACGCTGTTTCGGGTAGTAAAAAATAAATGAAAAGAATTCGAACTAGGCGTCGTGTTGTAACAATTGCAAACGTTAATAAAATTGCCCAAAAATGTTAACGCCTAATGGAAGCGTAATTAGGGCGTTGTTGGGTGCAATAACATTCAATAACACAACTTTCCCGGATATTCAACTCTCCCGAAACAACATTTTATAGCTTCATAGTTTCTCACACCGATTTGATCAAAATCAAAAACGGATTCAAGCAGTTCGACGAAACAAGTGAGTAAACAAAGTGCTCGTTGCATATCCAAAAAAATAAATAGACATATACTATGAGAGGATGAAATATAATTTGTGCTATATTAATGGTATACTTTTTTTAATCAACTAGTGATTAAATGTTTTATGAACATCTTCTAAAATTATAATTATGTCCTTTTGAAAAATTTCGTTATAGCCGAAATAGACGACACTTTTAGAATCATTATACAGGCTTATTCACCACATACGACACGGAGTATTGTAGCTAAACGATTAGATTTTTACAAATTGTAAGTTTTGGGTTCGTTGAAGGACTATTAGAGATACAATTTAAAAATAATTTTACAAGATACAGAGTGTCCCAAATAAGTAAAAAATATCAAAGTTGTATTTTTTAAATGGAACACCCTGTATATTATTACATTTTTAGTTTCTACGATTAAAATAAAGGTAAATTTGATTAAGGTTTTTATACTTAAACCTTACCGTTTTTGAAATATTTTCAAATTTGTGAAATTGCAGTAAAAATTTTAAGGCTTCATTTCTCCAAGAATTATCAAAGTTTTTAATACTAAATATTTACTGAAGTTTATTTATTAATCAGTTATTGTGTTGCAATAATAAAAATAATACTACCTTATACAGAGTGTCTAAAAATTTATTTTAAATAATTATTAGCTTCAAACGGCAATAACTTGTTTAATTTAAATGGAACGCCCTGTATATTTTACGAGAATCAGATGCACAATTTAATTGTCTATCAAATTATATTATACCATTTTTTGCCTATCTCTAATATACCCATGGACTATTGACATTTTAGATTATTTTTAAAGATGTACCAAATTTTTAAAGAGTACAGATACTAATATTGTCGATATAATTCGTTTATTTCATTAAAAAATAAAAAAAAAACTGTTTAAATATTTGTTAAAGAGGATCAATTAATATGATTCCAGTATTCAAACTACATTAACTGACTGTTTGCGTTGATTAATAATAATTGCTCCAAATATTAAAAAACTGAATTTTGTATGGGCATTAGACAGTGTGATAAAAAGTAACACCTTAAAAATGATATTTCATTTTTTAATAAATGCTTATTTATAACAACAGATACTAATTTGATAACTTATTATTATAATGATTTCTGACTCAAATCCACATTTATTTATAATAATTTATTAACGAACACAATTAAGTATGTAATTAATTAGTATATGGGCGGAAATAATGGTGTTATATTTAATTAATGGTATACTCTTTTATAAAGATTTAAATAGTTTTCTTTTTGCATACAAATGGGCTAGTAATATTATCGTCTTGCTAAAAACGATAATATTACTAGTCTGTACATTTTGTACATTTGTTGCTTTAAAAACAATCTAAAATGTCAATATTCCATAGATATATGGATAAATTAGGTCTAAATTATAAGAAAATGCATTTTCTACGAAAACTTGAAGGGATAGGTAAAAAATGGTATAATACAATTTGATAGACAATTTAATTGTGCATCTGATTCTCCTAAAATATACAGGACATTCCATTTAAATTAAAAGAAGTTATTGCCGTTTTGAAGCTAATAATTATTTAAAATAAATTTTAGACACTCTGTATAAGGTAGTATTATTTTTATTATTGCAACACAATAACTGATCAATAAATAAACTTCATTAAATATTTAGTATTAAAAACATTGATACCCTTGGAGAAATGAAGCTTTAAAAATTTTACTGCAATTTCACAAAATTGAAAATATTTCAAAAAACAGTATAATAAACCTTAATCAAATTTTACCTTTATTTTAATCGTAGAAACTAAAATGTAATAATATACAGGGGTGTTCCATTTAAAAAAATACAACTTTGATATTTTTTATTTATTTGGGACACTCTGTATCTTGTAAAAATATTTTTAAATTGTAGCTCTAATAGTCCTTCAACGAACCCCAAACTTACAATTTGTAAAAATCTCATCGTTTAGCTACAATACTCCGTGTCCTATGTGGTGAACAACCCTGTATAATAAATTTTTGGTATACTCGCTGTTTAAACCCGTGTATTTGTACTATACTAGTTGTTTACGACATTCTCCGATGGTGGCAGCACCGGCGGAGAATACACCAAGCCTACAAAGGTCCCGTTTTTTCCTTTTAAGGTTTGGAACCCAAAAAAAAAACTATTCTTAGGATTCCTAGGAACTTACATCGTAGTCCTGGCGTTTTTGCCTTTCTTCCAAGTCGTACTTTTCAGTTTCCAGCTTGACGATGAGGTCCCACAGTTCGGTGGCTCTTTCTCTGAGTTTATCCACGCTCAAACCGTCGATGTTCAAAGGTTTGATACGAATGGAGAGGGAGATTTTCTTTTCTTCTTCCAGCTGTTCCTTGGTCTTGTTCCTTTCTACTTGAGCGGGGCTAAGGTTAGATCCCTACAACAACAAAAAATACAATTGAAATAACGGAGTAAATATCTTTAAGGAAAATAATATATATTTCAAATCAAATTAAACTTTTAGTGGCACTGTTCGGTTTTTATATGATTCAAAATAAAAAATATATAAATTGTAAAATTAGTAATTTTTTAATGGCCATAATGCGTTCTTTCAAAATCATCGAACAACTAAATCATTTCCATAGATCCAGTGACGTACCGTGACTTTGAATTTTAAGACCAAAAACTGATAAATAATTCGTCAAAAAAATCATATTACAGCTATATGTTTAATTTTGCATAAAAATGTTAACTAATAAGTTAGAATAATTATATTTCTTTCCAACTAAGTGGTTTTATCGCTAAATTTAACTAAAGCTAAGTACAACACAAATCTTAAATACGTGGACTATTTTAACAACAAATGCATCGTAAAAGACTATTTTCATTCTGAACGAGGATTCAAGTTAAACTTTTTAGAGAATAATTTAAAGGAAAAATGAACCTGCTCGCAGATGCTTGTTCCGAGTAAAATCCTAGAGCTCTATGATTTACTTTTATAAACTCTGGCACATGATGCAGAATTGCATGAATCTTTGGAGTTATATTAATACCTAAGTTGAGTATTTCCAATCTAAATTGTTCGATGTCATGTTCAAAATGTTTGTTTAGTGTTTGACCAAAACAACTCGAAAGTACTTGATTGAATGCAGAAAACACTGCAATATATTTATTTCCTAAAAAAAGATGTTTAGATTTTTGCTTGTCAAAACTTTGAATAGGATTCTTTACCGGGCGATATCGTCTTCAAAATATCCACTTTCTTTAAAAGTTGTCTGGCGTTATTTCCGTTACATTTTCCATAATGATCTAGTTTCAATCCCGCTTTTTTATCCATTCTGTTGCAACATTGGTATTCTCCAATTCAAGACAATCAAATAGTTTTTGAACCACACCTAACAAAGGTGAAGCTCAGGAGGGGAATATACTTTAAGACAGGTGTTTCTTCGTCGCCAATGATTAAAGTATGTTTATACAGTTTTCTAAAAAATAATTGCCCTTTTTATATGGTTCATTGAATAACAGTTTGAAAAATACAAAAAAAAAATATTTCAAACAAAAAGCAGCTTACTAAAATCTTTGGATTTTGTTATATTTCCTCAGATTGTTGCCATAAATTTGTATTTTCTGTAATACTTTTTATAGTTCTGAATGATCCTTTAATTTCCATTTCCTTTACATTTACATCATCCATGGGCAAGTGTGAGTGGATGAATTTGACTGAAGACCAAGGAGAATCATAATAAGCTTAAAGTCAGCGGCAAAAGTATAGGAACAAATTCCACATATGGACTGCAGATCTAACGTCTCAAAGAGGCTTTTAATGTTAGCATAAGATTCAGACAACTTTGGTCCTAAGCCAATTATGAATAGTTTATTAATTCCAGCAATTTTATGTCTTGAAATATTCGGGATCGTTTTCAGGGAGCACATTCAGACAAACTTTCAGTGATCCACCACCACTATCAATGCCAATTTTGACATGAAAATCTTCAGATAATTCTCTAATTTCCAAAATATATGATAGAAGACCAGATAAATCTGAGCAGTATACAAAAATTAATATTAACTGAACATTTTTCCTTTAAATTATTTTCTAAAAAGTTTAACTTGATTTCTCGTTCAGAATGCTATCAAAATAGTCTTTTACGATGTATTTGTTGTTATAATAGTCCACGTATTTAAGATTTGTGTTGTACTTAGCTTTAGTTAAATTTAGCGATAAAACCACTTAGTTAGGGAAGAATTATAATTATTCTAACTTATTAGTTAACATTTTTATGCAAAATAAAACATATAGCTGTAATATGATTTTTTTGACAAATTGTTTCAGTTTTTGGTCTCAAAATTCAAAGTCACGGTACGTCACTGGATCTATGGAAATTATTTAGTTGGTCAATGATTTTGAAGGAACGCATTATGGCCATTAAAAAATTACTAATTTTACAATTTATATATTTTTTATTTTGAATCATATAAAAACCGAACAGTGAGTGGTGCGATTTTTAAATACGTTATTGCCAACCATGGACATATTCGGCGCCAGGCTGACTAACTGGAATTCAAATTTCGCGCTGGGGATTCAGGTATATGTGGGAAGGCAATGTGCATAATTTAAAATTATTTTAAAATGTACAGGGTGTGTCAGTACTAAGATCCATACCAAAGTTATATTTTTTCTTATAGAACACCCGGTATTTTATTTCATTTTTGGATTCTTGGACATAAAATAAGGCATTTATTATTAGGATTTAATATGTTTAAAAGCTTAGGTTTTTGAGATATTAAAAGATATTTAAATATGCATACTACACACACCGGAAAAATCTAGGGATATCATTTTATTAAAGTTAAAAATAAATGTTTTGAATAAACAACCACATATTTGTAGGCCGATTCTTTCTACTTCGATTGAAACGACATTTGCAGAAGTGTTTGTGCATTTTTTGTCAAATGTATAAAAAGCACCTAGCATCAATTGTTCGAATTTAACATGTAGTGGCTATGTTTTTATGATAACTGGCCAGAATTTATTCAAATAACTCTGTTTAGTATTAAACGACATTATGGAGCGTAGACATCTTAACAGAGACGAAATGCTAAGGGCCATAGGTATGCTCGAAGCTGGAATGCGCCAAATCGACGTAGCTATAGCATTAAATACAACGTAAAGTGTAATATCGCGATTAAGTGCACGCTACCGTGAAAGTGGTGATGTTGCTGAAAGGCACACAGGGCGACATCGCATTACTACCCCTCAGCAAGATCATTTTTTACAATTAAATGCTCGACGCCGACCGACTTTTACAGCACCAGAGCTTAGTTTAATTCTCCAGGAAACACATAATGTAACCGTTGAGTCCTGACACTGTTCGCAATAGATTAGAGAGGTCAACTTAAGCAGACGCCCTGGAAGCTCCAACCCTTAACGAGAGGAAATCGAGAGAGGTACGATATTTACAATGGGCTCAAGATCATGTTCGGTGGTCGAATGAACAATGGGCCAATGTTCTCTTCACGGATGAGTCACGCTTTGGAATTCATCCGGATTCGAGAAGGTTTAGGGTATGGAGAGAACCGGGAAATCTTATTCGGTTAGATCATGTTCAGGAAGTGCACCCTTATCAAGGTGGAACAGTTATGGTCTGGGGAGGAGTCCAGTTAGGCAGAAAAACCGATCTCGTTTTTCTTAAAAGGTTTCTAACAGGAATCACATATCGTGATTTAATTCTTGAGCCTGTCGTGTTACCATATGCCAATGATTTTGGGAGAAACTTCATTCTCATGCATGACAATGCACGGCCGGTTTATCATTGCTCATCAATTAAACATCTTACCCTGGCCGGCACAGTCTCCTGACCTCAACCCCATCGAGCACGGATGGGACTCGGTCCAAAGAAGAATTTTGAGAATGGGTATGCCTCGTGAAACTCGTAGGGATCTGGTTCGGGCCGTGAATGCAGCGTGGCAGAGCTGTACCGAAGTGATCGACAACCTGATCAGGAGCATGGAGAGACGATGTAGGGCTGTAATGAATAGTAGAGGAGGCCATACCCTTTATTAAGTAAAAATGGGTTTATCTTTTCTTTTTTTAATTCACAGTTTAGAATAAAAAAAACGTGTGTATTTTTTTGAGTTCAATAAAAATCAAGGTAAATTTTGCATTTTTATTTTCAATACGTCCTGTAAACTATTTGTTTGTTTTAATTTTATTATATCAGAAATGCAAATAATAAAATTACTGACGATGGCTGGATAAAATTGTAATATCCCTAGACTTTTCCGGTGTGTGTATCTAAGTATATTTAAATACCTTTAAATATCTCAAAAACAAACGCATTTAAACATATTAAGCCCTTATAATAAATGCGTTATTTTATGCCCAAGAATCCAGAAATGAAATAAAATATCGGGCGTTCCATAAGAAAAAATATAACTTTGGTATGGATCTTATTTCTGCCACACCCAGTACATTTCAAAATAATTTTTAATTATGCACATTGCCCTTCTACATATACCCATAAAATAATTTGTTTCTACATCTTTCAGTTTTCGTATAATCAACCGAGGAGAATGAGGTGCGCCACCCTGTATAATCAGATTAATAAGAAGTAATTACCACAACATCAATAAGAAAACCAGTTAATTTTCAACAGATTTCCCTGAATTATCAGACGCTTTCCCGGCGCACAAACTTTCCAGTTAATACAGATGCGTTTAAGCGCGTTCCAGTAATTTCCCTGTACTGATTATAAGGGCTTGGGAAGGGTCCTGAAGGAGAAGGGTCTCATTAAAAGTTGGCGAGTTTAAAATTAATTAACCTACGAAAGTAGGGGAAATCGATTAGTTATTATTTACCAACTGGAAAATGATTTATAGAGAGCGAGAATTTCGAGTTTAGCTAGCTCTGTCTCAGAGAAATAATGAGACCTAGATGAATAATGTCTATCGTTTCATTTCTCCAAAAAATCTTTTTTTTGCCACAGGAAGAAAATCTGTACCATAGACTTAAAATAAAATATAGACTACACTATTTACATCTCAACGCGGACAAACAACCTTTTTTGTACACATGTTTACTTCTGGGTACAGTCGACCGAGCCTTCCTCATCCAGCCTATGTTGTCACGTCTTTAATATTATCAATATTTTTTTTTTCTTGTTATACACATATATTGAGATATTAATACTACAGTTTAATAAAGTAGGTTTTAATATTCCATAGATGTATTAAATAGTCCTTATACTACTAAATTATAAGTCGGATACTGTTTAATAAGGATAAGTTCTGTACAATATGACAACACCGATTAGAGGCAGAGGCCTATTCATTCATTTATTACCTTGGTACGTGTCGCACGTGTGCGGTAAGCTTTGTTGCCGCTATCTCCCCGGCTGTAATTAACGCATTTTCTTAGCTTGTAGTCCTTAAGTGTTTATTTTATTGACTTTTTTTGTTCAAAAACTATAAAATATGGTTCGCCAGTGCCAAATTTGCAAGAAATTTGACTTAAATAATCCATTTAAGTCTTGAAACGACTTTGACCGGTAGGCAACTCTCAATTTACCCATTGGCAGTCAGTGGCGTTGTTGTAGAAAGGCGCTTATTTAGATAATATTTTAGTAAAATGTAAAATCTGAATTTTTTCTTTTACATTACATTATTTACTTACTTACATTGTAACAAAATCATAATTATAACCCCGTTAATAATTAATAATGTTTTTATTAAAAATATATTCCGGTTTATTCTAAAATTATCTTCAGAATCTAAAATAACATACAAGAATTTTAAAATGATATTACATTATGAAACAATATTTTTTAATATACCGGGTCGTCTCAAAAGTGGCTCAATCCTATAACTTTTTTATTTTTCAGATAAAAAAAAACAGATTTGTATGTTAGTAGGTATATGACATAAATTAGGATTTATTGACGTATTCAATTGTTTTGGTCTCTTCCTGTTTTTACCGAAATGATTACATCTTTTTTATTTTTAAAGACACCCTCGGTATATTGCTACTTTATTCGATAAAAATGACACTCTGAATAGAATGACATATCATATGTCAACTTTTACATTGTCGCTTAAAACATATCCTATTTTAAATTTCAATCCAGTTTTTTCAATCCATTAAGTTTTTAATCAAAGGAGCCTTGGAAAAATAGTTTCGATCGTCTAATAGGTTTCGTGTCTTGTCTAGGCCGGTTAAAGATGTACAAATCGTATTTTTAATCATACATATGTCAATTTTCTCATTAGCATATTTGGAAAAAGCATTTTTTTATGAATATATTGATACCACACACTTGGTATTTCGAGTCAAATTGTCGTTATGAACCGCGTGTTACAATTACAATTAAACCATATGCGAAAATGTCAAAAGTTGACATATGATATGTCATTCTATTCAGAGTGTCATTTTCTATCGAATAAAAGTAGAAATATACCGAGGGTGCCGTTTAAAAATTAAAAGTTATAGTCATTTCCGGTGAAACAAGGAAGTGACCAAAAACAATTGAATGCGTCAATCAATCTAATTTATTTCATATACTAACATACTAAATCTTGTTTTTATTTGAAAATATAAAAAATTATGGGGGATGAGCCACTTTTGAGACGCACCCGGTATAATAAAGACAGTACCGAGTTAAATAAATGTAGTTTTATTTTATCCACTTCCTATCACCTTCCTTGCTTTAATGGAACAGATTTATGTTTTCTCTAATTTACATAATAAGACATCCACTTAACCAGAAAAAATTACAACAATCATATTTTTTTTCTCTCCCTGTCGCCGATTCTATTATATCTGTGGAATAGATCCTGTTTTGATTAATATTAGGGGTTGTAAATGTTTGACTAAAATTAATAATTTATTATTAATTTCAAAATTACCTAATTTCGATTATAAAATTTCTTCTATAACGTGTATTTTACTATTTTATCCTTTTTGTACTCTAAATTGTTTTCTAAACTTTTATTTAAAAAACCTGTCTAAATCATAATAAAATATAAAAAAAGTTTAAATACGATATATTTTTAATTTAATTATAGCTTCATTAAAATAAAAAATTACCCGGCTATGATACGGAGAGTTCAGGTGTACTTGAGAAACGAAAGACAGTGTTGTGTTTCTCGGCAGAGTCGTCAGGGAACGACCGTTACGACAGAGACAACCTATCTATCGCTCGTGTCGCACTCGTTATAACCTAAAACAATAACACAACAATAACAAGACAGTGTCTGACCGCATGTTCCAGCTATTTATGAATGAGATGCTCAGTCTATATTTTATTTTAAGTCTATGATCTGTACTAATACAGGGTGGCCCATCGAAAACGTTCCGCAAGGCATAACGGCCAGGGCAATCTTTTTTTCAGAAAATTCAAAAACACGTCAATTTTGTTTGTGAGGGGGACAACTTTTGTCCCAAAAATGATTGCAAATAGTTGGCAACAATGAATTTAAAAATCGTGCCCTCGATTAAGACTTACGGCTACTTCCTTCTTGGATACGGTGTAGTTGGGTCCTTTCCTGGAGGCAGCGTTCAAGGCTTGCAACGCTTGACGCTTCTTCTCCGCTTCTTCCAAACGCAACCTCTTCTCTTCGATCTCCTTCTGTTTCTTCTCTTCAATTTCGCGTTGGCGACGTTCCTCTTCCTGCCTCTTGCGTTCGGCGAGTTTCTTCTCTTCCTCGGCACGAGTTACCTTGCGTTTAGCCTGTTTTTCCTTTAGCCTACGATCAGAAATTAATTTTGAAGCGAATTCGTGTTTTACTAGGGTCGTCTTTTATATCTATACTAATATCACAGACTAATCTATACTAATATACAGGGTGTTTCAAAACAAATGCGAAAAACTTTAGGGGGTGATTCCTTGTTCAAAATAAAGGGTAGTTTGCTTTATAAACGTTGGGTCAAAAGTCAACCATTAGGGAGATATAGCGGTACAAAGATGGCGGAAAAATAATGTTTTTATTTTTTATCTTGAAAACGAAAGGATAGACTAATAAAATTTTATGGAAGCATTACTGTTATGAAAACACACTTTCAGGTAATTTTTTTAAAATGAGTGGAAGGGGTTGAAATAAACTACCCCTATCATTCTTGTTAACGAAATTTAAAGAAAAATCTTATCAAACACATGCAAATGCTTTAATTTGGATAGTTTAGTTTGTTTAGAAACTTTTTTACCTCTTGTGTTTTTTTGATAAAACTCACCGATTGGAAATTAAAAAATAAAATGTAAAGCATTACATGTCAGGACAAAAAACATTTTTAGATTAAGAATCTAGTGATAATAACGATAATAATAATCATCTAGATAATAACGTATTGCAGTAGAGTAATGTCAAATAAAATAATATTATGAACATTCTAAAAAGTAACAGCGGCCCACTAGATTTTATCCTAAAAAAATACAGCAGCCCACTAGATTCTTTATCAGAAAATGTTTTTTGTCCTGACATGTAATGCTTTACATTTTATTTTTTAATTTCAAATCGGTGAGTTTATCAAAATACAGAAGAGATAAAAAGTTTCTAAAACAAGCAGAAAGTTTTGCATGTGTTTGATAGATTTTCTTTAAATTTCGTTAACAATAAGGGAAGAGGTAGTTTATTTCAGCCCCTTCCTCATTTACAAAAAGTGAAAAATTGCCAGAAGTGTGTTTCCTGTGTCTTCCATAAAACATTGAATCTATCTCTTTTCGTTTTCAAGATAAAAACAAAAACGACTTTTCATCATTTTACCGCAATATCTCCCTAATGACTTTGACAGCGTTTATGAAACTGCCTGCTATTTGAACAAGAATCACCCAGTTTCGCATTTATTGAAGCACCTAATAAAATCACTTAAGTGACTGACATACTGATTAATCACGATCCTGCTCAAACCACTCAACGTAAGAAGCTCAATTTTGGCATACAGGTTGATTCTAGGGTGTAGAGGTTCGATAAGAAGGGATTTTTCGAAATTCCAGTTCCAAGAGGGTGAAACCACCCCTCATATATTACAATATTTTTTATTTAAAAAACGGTCAAGTTTCCGAAAAAAACGCTTAAACACGGATATTTTATTTTGTTTTTTTTTACATATTTTAAGATTTTTTAAAAATGTATAGAGGGTGTTTTGAAAAATCTGGTCATTGATTAAAATCATGATCCTGCTTAAAGCGCTTGACGTAAAAAGCTGATTTTTGGAAAACCGATTGACTTTAGGGTGTAGAGGTTCGATAAGAAAGGGATTTTTCGAAACTCGAATTCTAAGGGGGTGAAACTATCCCTCAAATATTAAAATATTTTTTATTTAAAAACCGGTGAGTTTTTCGGAAAAACTCTTAAACACGTATATTTTATTTTGTTGTTTTACATATTTTAAGATTTTTTAAAAATTTATACAGGGTGTTTCATAAAATATGACCATTGCGTAATCACGATTCTGCTTAAACTGCTTGACGTTTAAAGTTGATTTTTGGCAAACGGATTGACTGTGGGGTGTAGAGGTTCGATAAGGAGGGGTTTCTCGAATCTAAAATTCCAAGAGGGTGAAAACGCCCCTCAAATATTACAATATTTGTTATTTAAAAAACCGTTAGTCTCTCGGGAAAACGCTCGGACAAGCATAATTTATTTGTTTTTTTTACATATTTTGAAATTTTTTAAAAAATCATACAGGGTGTTCCAAAAAGTTGGGTAATTGATTAACCACGATTCTGCTTAAACTGCTTGACGTAAAAAGCTCATTTTTGGCAAACGGATTTTTCGAAAGTCAAATTCCAACGAGATGAAACTAGCCCTCAAATATTACCAACTTATATAATAATATCGCCATATTTTTTTTTCTTATGCTGACATAAATGTGAGAAAATTTTATCCAGTTTGTATGTTAATGGCAATTCTTGGTTTGCTTTATCATCACCATTACAAACGATTAATTCGACGCGAACGAAGTCGCGGGTACAAGACAATCATCGTATTTATTGTGTTTTGTGACTGTGATGGTTCACGATTCACAGTTTTGTGATACCATTCTCACCTTTTCAATTCATCTTCTTCCTTGGCACGCTGTTTGCGCCATTCGGTGATGTATTCACGGAGCTGTTCATCTAAGTCGGATCTTTTCTGGTCAGTTTTCTTGATGAATTCTGGATCGCCGGAAGTTTCCCTACACAAAGAACAAAAATATATATAAAACAATAAACATTTTCAAAGAAAATATACAGCATTCTCGAAGAAAATTGACCCTATACCAAAAATAAAAACGTATTTTACATTATTCAGCATTCTTTGTGATTCCATACTCAAAATAAAAGACAGAATTTTTGAAAATTAGATTCATGTTTGAGCAAATTAGTTGTTTTTGAACAAAATATGACTTGTAAATTGAAATTTGTTAGTTTTTATATTATATGCTCAATTTTCTTAGCCACGCTGTAAATATAAACCTATAGAAAAACTGTAAACTATAAAGGGTGTGTCTTAAATAAGTGCAGATATTTTAGAAGGTGGTAAATCTGTCCAAAAAATAGTATATTGTTCTTTTAGGACCGAAAATGACGAGGCTGTACTTTTGACATACAGCTGAGGCACAAAAAATCATTTTTACTCCAATAGAACATGCTATTTTTTTTTCAAACGCCACAAATAATTTTTTAAACGATTTCAAACGTTCCAAATAATATAAAAAGATTTAAAAGTAATACCTTGTATGTAATTATATCGAGAAACTATGGTTACGCTCGTTGAATTTGGCACCTTATGTCAGTTTAATAATATATTTTCGTACTTTTGCCTAGGCGTTAAAATGACTTTTTTATATTAATATTTTTGTGACATTTGAAAAAAAAGCGAATGAATAAATTTTGAGAACCACCGGCTTTCAGTTTATTCGAAGACCAATGTTGCCACATTGACAATATACAGGGTGGTCCGAATTGTATTCGTGAAACTTCGGCAGCACATTCTGCAGATAAAAATAGGTAAAAAAGTATAAATTTATGTTCTAAATTGCTTCGTTTCGGAGGTACAGGGTGTAGAAATTTCATTTTTATTTCGTTTTTTCACAAATAATTTCTGATCAAACGTTGATATTTGGATGAAAATTGGTGTCTAGAAGTTTTTATACATAAAAAAATTGGTTTCAGTGTCAATATGACTCTAAAATATAAAACGTTTAACATTTTTTTGGGAAAAAAATGTATTTCTTGTATCTTGCACTTATTTAAAACCTACCCTGTATAAAAGACAATTTTAGTAGAGAAAAATATTCTAAAGATCTAATAGAAAATAAACGTTCTAGAGACTAGAGAATTTCAGCTGAATGTAATTAACCTAAAAATAGGCAAGGCAAAACGTTTTTTTGCATATGGGGCTTGAAAATAGCTCTCTCAGCCAAAAGCCAAGAATAATAATAAAAGATGGTAAAATAAGTAAACAAAAGCCAGCACTGGCTGCCAAGCTATTATTATACACAGTTATAAAATAGACTGCATATTGGTAGCCCTCTTTTTTTAAGCGTTTTTATTAATACCAGGGCTGATCAAATAATACAGTGAGAAGATTTAAAAAAATAAATTTAGTAATAGAAAAAAACAAAAAAGAAGTTTTCAATATTAAATCTGTGACAGTTCTGTCATCATCCAGAGCCAATTTGATCATAAGACTTTTTAGTTATATAGGTACAAGGAGTCTTAAAAACTACATCATCCACGACAATGTCATAGTTATGTCATGGTATTTTTTTAATAATAAAGAGCAGCATGGGGTGGCCCATCGAAAACGTTCCGTAAGGCATAACGGCCGCCAGAGTATTTTTTTTTCCAAAAAATCCATAAACACGTCAATTTTGTTTTGCCCCAAAAATGATTGCAAAATCTTCAACCCTCTGAGCGGGAGTGTCATCCCCCCATTTTTTTCAAATGGGAAGGGGGTCAAGAGGTATCGCAATGAAAAGGGCTTTCTATTATCTACAGGGTGAGTTTCTTACGATGTTCTCTATGGGTATCTCGGAAACTACTGGAGATAGAGAGTCAGTTAAATAGGGAAAGAATTGCAGTTTTATGGGGTCATAAATATGCGCCTTTCAGATTTTTGAAAAAGTTCATGGCTTACTAGATATTTCGAAAAAAACAAATTTTGGCTATTTTAAAAATTGTCCCTAATTCCATTATAATCTATTTTAGAGAAAAAGTTTTCAGATAAAAGTTGTAAATATTCACATCCCTAATGAGATTGTGTTCTCCGATTATTTCTAAAGCCTGTCATTTTTGACATATGACACAAACATATGTTTTTTTAAATGGAAACCATAGTTGGCCATGACTTCATAAACAGCGTCATTTTTTAAGCTTTTCAGCGATATAAGCTATAATATGTTTCTTTCACAAAATTACTGAGTTATAGCCAATTCTTATCTTTCTTGACTAATTTCACTTAGTTAGCCATGGAAACAAGTTCAATCGTCGTTGCTCTCAGAAATATGAAATTGTCATATTCAATCTGTGTGAATTAAAATAAACAAAAATTGTAAATAAGAGTTTTTCAAATGAAGAAAAGCGTGTAGGATTATTGGTTCAACTTTTCTTGGCCATACAGTTTCGAGGATACGTTGACCGGTGAACGTTACTTACGTTTTGTAGAGAAAGGTTTTCAAGTAGGGTTTCCAACCGTCCCGGTTTAGCCGGGATTAACCAGGAATCAGAAAGTTTGTCCCGGCGAAAGTTTTGTCTTGGCCGGGACCTGGTAACTAAAAAAGTGTGTACTACACACATAATATTTTTTTTCTCTAATATTTAATGTTTTGTTTCAATTATTTAAAAGCTTAAAGATAATTGTCCCGGAATCGCCGATGCTCAAGTTGGGAACCCTATTTTCAAGACATGTTAGAAAAGTTAAATTTATTAATACTCGCCCATTAGTAGAGTGGTTCCAACATGACTTTTATTATGACACACCAACCCCAATCCCCCCACAAACACACAATGAAAGAAATGTTAAAAATTATTTATATCATAATTATCTAGACTCGGGGATAGAAAGAGGTGGACCAAATTGCATGGGTCTCCTCGGTCACTTGACCTATCCATTTTAGATTTTTTTATGCGGTATGGTTAACAACAAGGTTTACAGAAGAACTTATGAATTAAGAGAGGCACTCGAAGAGGCGGAACGGGAGAAGTTTAATTAAGTCGACCGGTCGTTCTGTGAGAATAGCTAGAAATTCAGTTTTAAAAAGGTGCATTTATGTACCCAAAACAATTGCGAATTTTTTGAAAATTTTCTAAAATAACTTTATAATATAGATTAATAATATATTTTGTCTTTTTATAAGTAATAAATTATAACAAAATTAGAACACCATTGAAAACCGTTCTCTAAAAAAACGTAAATAACTTTCACTGGTCAACGAACGTATCCTCGAGACAGTATGGCCAAAAAAAGTTGCACCAATAATCCTACACGCTTTTCTTCATTTGAAAAACTCTTATTTACAATTTTTGTTTATTTTAATTCAAAAATATATGTGACAATTTCATATTTCTGAGAGCAACGACGATTGAACTTGTTTCCATGGCTAACTAAGTGAAATTAGTCAAGAAAGATAAGAATTGGCTATAACTCAGTAATTTTGTGAAAGAAACATATTATAGCTTATATCGCTGAAAAGCTTAAAAAATGGCGCTTTTTATGAAGTCATGGCCAACTATGGTTTCCATTTAAAAAAAACATATGTTTGTGTCATATGTGTTTATATGTGATTATCTACAACTTTTATCTGAACACTTTTTATCTAAAATAGATTATAATGGAATTAGGGACAATTTTTAAAATAGCCGAAATTTGTTTTTTTCGAAATATCTAGTAAGCCATGAACTTTTTCAAAAAATCTGAAAGGCGCATATTTATGACCCCACAAAACTGCAATTCTTTCCCCATTTAACCGACTCTCTATCTCCAGTAGTTTCCGAGTTGCCCATAGAGAACATCGTAGGAAACTCACCCTGTATACTTTCCCGCTTCGTTTTTGAAAATCGGTCGAGTCATTGAGAAAATCTGAAGGATTAAAATTCATACATTCAATCCTTCATATTTTCAATCCCCTCACAGACAAAATTGACGTGTTTTTGAATTTTCTGAAAAAAAAAATTGCCCTGGCCGTTATGCCTTGCGGAACGTTTTCGATGGGCCACCCTGTACAAAAAAATCAAGCGTTATACAGGATGTTTCAGATAATTAAAATAAAAGGTTTTCTTAGATTAATTATAATTTTAGTAATTCTTAGGGAATATTTTTAAACTGTTTTTCATAGATGTAATTTGATTTATCACTCTATACAGGGTTGTTCACCACATACGACACGGAGTATTGTAGCTAAACGATGAGATTTTTACAAATTGTAAGTTTTGGGTTCGATGAAGGACTATCGGAGGTACAATTTAAAAATAATTTTACAAGATACAGAGTGTCCCAAATAAGTAAAAAATATCAAAGTTGTATTTTTTTAAATGGAACACCCTGTATATTATTACATTTTTTAGTTTCTACGATTAAAATAAAGGTAAATTTGATTAAGATTTATTATACTTAAACCTTACCGTTTTTGAAATATTTTCAATTTTGTGAAATTGCAGTAAAAATTTTAAGGCTTCATTTTTGCAAGGGTATCAAAGTTTTTAATACTAAATATTTACTGAAGTTTATTTACTGATCAGTTATTGTGTTGCAATAATAAAAATAATACTACCTTATACAGAGTGTCTAAAATTTATTTTAAATAATTATTAGCTTCAAACGGCAATAACTTGTTTAATTTAAATGGAACACCCTCTATATTTTACGAGAATCAGATGCACAATTTAATTGTCTATCAAATTATATTATACCATTTTTTACCTATCTCTTTAAGTTTCCGTAGAAAATGCATTTTCTTGTAATTTAGAACTTATTTATCAATATACCCATGGACTATTGACATTTTAGATTATTTTTAAAGATGTACCAAATTTTTAAAGAGTACAGATACTAATATTGTCGATATAATTCGTTTATTTCATTAAAAAATAAAAAACTGTTTAAATATTTGTTAAAGAGGATCAATTAATATGATTCCAGTATTCAAACTACATTAACTGACTGTTTGCGTTGATTAATAATAATTGCTCCAAATACTAAAAAACTGAATTTTGTATGGGCATTAGACATTGTGATAAAAAGTAACACCTTAAAAATGATATTTCATTTTTTAATAAATGCTTATTTATAACAACAGAGACTTTAATTTGATAACTTATTATTATATTGATTTCTGACTCAAATCCACATTTATTTATAATAATTTATTAACGAACACAATTAGGTATGTAATTAATTAGTATATGGGCGGAAATAATGGTGTTATATTTAATTAATGGTATACTCTTTTATAAAGATTTAAATAGTTTTCTTTTTGCATACAAATGGGCTAGTAATATTATCGTTTTGCTAAAAACGATAATATTACTAGTCTGTACATTTTGTACATTTGTTGCTTTAAAAACAATCTAAAATGTCAATATTCCATAGATATATTGATAAATGAGGTCCAAATTAAAAGAAAATGAATTTTCTACGAAAACTTGAAGGGATAGGTAAAAAATGGTATAATACAATTTGATAGACAATTTAATTGTGCATCTGATTTTCCTAAAATATACAGGGCATTCCATTTAAATTAAAGAAGTTATTGCCGTTTGAAGCTAATAATTATTTAAAATAAATTTTTAGACACTCTGTATAAGGTAGTATTATTTTTATTATTGCAACACAATAACTGATCAGTAAATAAACTTCAGTAAATATTTAGTATTAAAAACTTTGATACCCTTGCAAAAATGAAGCCTTAAAATTTTTACTGCAATTTCACAAAATTGAAAATATTTCAAAAACGGTAAGGTTTAAGTAAAATAAACCTTAATCAAATTTACCTTTATTTTAATCGTAGAAACTAAAAATGTAATAATATACAGGGTGTTCCATTTAAAAAAATACAACTTTGATATTTTTTCTTTGTTTGGGACTCTCTGTATCTTGTAAAAATATTTTTAAATTGTAGCTCTAATAGTCCTTCAACGAACCCCAAACTTACAATTTGTAAAAATCGCATCGTTTAGCTACAATACTCCGTGTCGTATCTAGTGAACAACCCTGTATAACGGTTTAAATTTCTAAGGAAACACCCTGTATATGTGGAAAAAATCTCAAAAACGTATTAAAAAAATAGTAATTATAGCGGGTGTCTCAGTACTTCTGTTCCAATAAAATATGTCAATTGGATGAAGACAAAGAAAAAAGTTAGAAAAAATAACTTTTTATTTCGTAGATTTTTTGTTATTTTAGGTATTAATTTAATATAAGGTATATTTCAAAGGTATCAGATATGCTTTAAGAAAGTATTTTATTGTAACTTCAGTACTATATGAGAGACGGTTGAAAAAACTCAAAAACTCTAAGGGTAAGAGAATGACAAATATTAGGGACAGATTCGCTTGCGGCAAAAATCTACAAAAGCCAAGAGGGGAAACTTACTCGACTCTGGTGGTTGTGGTTGTGGTCCTACGAGGGTACGTAACATCACAAGGGTGAGAAGCAACAGGGATCACGAAAAAAAACGGAAAAAATCAAATAAAAAGTGAACTATGTACAATAAAATCAAAATAAAAGCCTCTGTAAGTGTACGATGTTGCCTAGATCATTTTTATACTTTGGTAGATACTTTAACACAGCGTAAACTACTCCTAGTACGACGTCATACTAGTGGTCGAAGCTCATAATACTAATTAAACACTTTTTTAACTTTAAATTACAACAAACCTCTTCAGCAAAACACAATATAGGAAATCTTATTGACTCCATCTATTGATGTAAAATTGCTTGTAGACTTTTAGGGCTCGAACTCACTGACGACCAGGTCGCAACGACCTGGCCGTCGGCTGGCCGGATGTATTGCGTTTTTAGCTGCGGCCAGATGAACGACCAGTTTCAACAGAGTTGTCAAATCTAACGATTTTTTACGTTTTACCGATTAGAAAATATTGTTTCAGAAATGTTAAAATATCCGAGTTAACTAAAAAGCGAAGTTGCTATTAAAAACAAACAAAAAGCATTGTGTACGCGCGACCGACAAAAAGGGAGATATTCTGTTTCTTTTTTCTACTGATACGGCGCCCTTATCGACTTTACAAGTAAACATATTAGGGCGACCGTAAAAAAAGATCGTCAAACACTGGCTCTAAATATAAGCAGGTAGAAAGTTTAGCCACAAATTACCTATAGCAGATGCGAAAGAACACCGAATTACGCGTTCAGGTTTCTGTGACCTTCAGAAAGAGTTCATAGACAATCCGCATCAATGTATAGTTTGGGTGAAAATAATCTGCACCAATATGTTATCGAGGCATATAATCTCACAGTAATTTAATAGATTGCTCGTCATATTATATCAGTTCGTAGGAGATTAGAAAAAAAAAGATATTTATAGTATAAAAAATTAATTTATTTAACAAAATTTAATTAAAGATGTGACAAAATAGTTACTTTTCTATTGGTTCTATCGGACTTTTTTCGACTATATAAATCTTTATTTTTTGTAAACTTTAATGCATAAAATATTTTCAATCTAATAAATAATTTAATGATGTAAATAAGAGGAAATTTCTCACATGGGTGGTCAAATTCTATAGTTTTCATTATATCAAACAGCCTCTGAATGTTTTTTTCAGTGCAAAACTCATCAAAATTTAATATAAATACAAATAACAAATTTTTCCACTTTCATGATCAGGCTTTTAAATGGGTAAATAATTTCGAGTTATCCAGAGATTCGGATTCTTTTGCAAATTTTAGACAAATATCACATTGATGTATTTGAAGACCTTTTTAATTGATGTAGTCAAACATAATTAAAGGCATTTTGAGTTGAAAACATTTCTCAGAGGCTGTTTGATATAATGAAAGCTATAGAATTTGACCACCCATGTGAGAAATTTCCTCTTATTTACATCATTAAATGATTTATTAGATTGAAAATATTTGATGTATTAAAGTTTACAAATAAAGATTTATATAGTCGAAAAAAGTCCGATAGAACCAATAGAAAGGTACTATTTTGTCACATTTTTAATTAAATGTTGTTAAATAAATTAATTTTTTATACTATAAATATCTTTTTTTTAGAAATAACAGTTCAAAAGTTCAACAAAAATCCTACACCCTTTTTTAAAAAGAAACATATAACCACGCACTATGTCATTCCAGCAAGCGAATACGACACAGCATAGGTTTCCGGACTAAACGACCGGTGTATTTACACCACTCAATGGGCGTGTGGGGTTTGCCAAGCGGTTTCCGATGCAGTCTCTTTCTTTCGCATCTGTTATAGGTAATTTGTGGTTTAGCTTCCAGTTATTTCAATGTTTACAATATAATGAAGAATCTACAACGGTAATTACTTCTATTTTTATGAATGTTTAAGTTACTTTCTTAATTTTTTTTTCAAAATAATGTACCTAGTAGAAATATAGTCTAATGAACCCTGAAACGTTAAATTAAATATAATATTTAAATGTATATGACTACAATACAACTAAAAAAACTAATTTAATCAAAAAATATCAAGTGGTTGTAGAAAAACTTTAAATATTATTTTTTTTATTTTTTAACATCGAAACTCAAACGTATAATAACAGAGTATCATACCAACCATAAATAGAGTAGGTATGTCATATAAAAATGTTTTGAGTTTTTACTAGAATCGACCCTTGATAAAAAAAGGGATTAGATTTAAGTTTAGCTTTGATCCAGTCTGAATACTATTTCTTTGGATTTTCTGCACGTGTGCAAAAACTACACTAAAACACTATATCTTATAGAAAATAAAATATTGTACCTTGAATTTAAGGGATTTCATCTGAAAAATTATTAATTTGGAAGAAAACCGGCAACAAGCGGCAGAAAATTTCCGTGCAGTCTTCTGGTCGCAACGACTAACGGACGGCCAGGACGTTAGTGTGCGCCATATCATTTGATTTAATGGCTTTTAGAGGTAGCTGCGGCCTGGTCGTCAGTGTGTTCGAGCCCTTAAATTTAGTTATATCAACGAAAGTAACATTATGATCTAGGGTATTTTGTTTGTTAATTAATAGACCACAAAAATAAATGGATTCCTTTATACAGGGTGAAAAAAAAACTAGTGTATCAAACCTCAGTGAGCGATGCTTTAGATTCTTAGTAACAAATCCTATAAATCCCACTTTTATCTGTATATCTGTATAGTATCACACAGTAAAGTTTGGTACATTATTTATTTTACACACTGTATATGCATTACTGTGAATAGATATACAAAAAACTGCTGATGTACTGATTGCACAGTCAATTTATTTTTTATGTCTATTAAATTTTACTTGCTGTTCTTTGTTTCTCAAAATATAATTTTTTGTAATTTTGAATATATGTATTATGTTCAATAATTGTTTGAGTATTGTTCCAAAAGATATAGGGTGTCTCCTAAATAAATGCAAACGTGAAATTACTTGATCCTTAATAAGAGACACACCCTGTATAGAAAAACAAGTAAAATGTCGTCTAGGTGTGTATATTTGTTTTAAATATTTGTATAATACCGTATAATTTTAAATAAACGTATGAGTAGGTCAGGATATACAGTTTGTCCCCCGAATTGTCTTCACTAGATGAAAATCTTTTATACAGGGTGTCCCATTTGAGATGAATACAAACCAACATCTTGGCTTGTATCCATCTTAAGTGGGACACCCTGTATATGTTGTTCTAGTGGACCGATTTTGATTATTTTTTAAGCAATTTGAAGTAAATTATTTGACTATATGACTGTCATCTGTCAATTATACGAGGGAAAACAAAATGTTGATATTTTGGTAAAATTTTGAAACACCCTATGGAGTGTATTAACAAAGCAAGGAATTTAAAAATAATTTTATCATCTAGATGCATCTTTTCTCACTAGTTTAATTTTTTTGGAGATTTTAAAAAATAAAGAAATAAATAAACGATACAATCCGGGGACTTACTGTATATTATTTTAATTTCGACGACAGTGTTAGTAATTATATTTATTTATAATCATACTGTATAATAGAGTCTGTAATATACCGGGTGTTTCAATATTAACCTTTCCTCATTGAACCACCCGGTATAATGTGTTAAGTATGTGATTAGTAAAAATTTTCTCATATGGTAATGTTTATTTTTTGTTAAATTATACTAGATAAGAAATTAAAACTAAGGTAAAACATATAGTGGTGAGTCACAAGCTTGTTCCTATAATACGGGGGGTGTCGAAACACAGACTGGCATCTACTTTACACAGGGTGGACTAAAAGATTTTTGGTTTCTGTACAAATCACGGGGGTTGGATGGGTTGTGATAAAACTTACGTTTTTCTGTAAAATAGAGAAAGAAAAACATGAAAATAGTAAATTGTATGTTTTTTTATCAAGTTCTTTCTCGAAATTTGGAATTTGGACTGCTGCAAGTTGAACAGGACTGTTTTTTTTAGAATGCCAATGTAATATTCTGATGGGGTTATGAACAATTAATTTTTAGGATTTTTTTTATGTTAACTTACGTTTCAACAACTTCTTCCTCCTCCTCTTCTTCGCTGAAAGTTAAATAAATAAATAATGTATTAATAAAATATAACAAATAATTAATTCTATATACAGGGTGGCGCCTCTGATACCACGCAGATGCTCAAAGGAGAACGACAGTTTGCGTGTTGAAATTAAATTTTGTAAAGAGTATGTAAGAGGTTAATTTACATGACACCCTTTATATTATTTAATTTTCAGGTTCTATAGAGAAAAAATAAAGGTTAGTTTCTTTAGAAAAGTCTATATGACTAAAATGTAATCTCTAAATAAAATAATCGTCTAAATAGGAAGAATAAATTTTAAATTTCAATAAAAGCTACCTAAATTGGAATTTACCCGGTATAGCCTAATGTTATGTAGTTAAAATAACCATTGTACATTTTCAATCAAATTAAAACTTGACTTGAAATGTTATACAGGGTGGGACAAAATTAATGTTGAACATATGTCACTTTTAAACGCAAGTTATTCTTGTATTATAAATGAAATAACCACTATATTATTCCGATATTCAATGGAGGATTTATGTCTTTTCAAAATACTATTATGGTTGTCTACCTCTTAGACAAATATTTTCGTAGATATTTTCATTTATGTGATAAGAGGCGCCACCCTGTATATGGTACATATACAGTAATGGACTAATTATCTAAAACATATAAGAAATGTAGAATTAATTTAGCATGCTCAGAAACAAATAAAAAAAGAGTTTGACGGATGACAAATGACAATTGTTATGGCGCCAAATTCAAAATTTATCGTTTAAATATGTAAAAATCATGCGAGATGATTAAATATCGAAAAATATCAAAGACGAAAGTTGTTTAGTACGAATTTTCCAAAGGATTTAAAAAAAAAATGTTTTCACTATATAATTTTTGATATAGTCTCTCCAACGAAAGAAGCCATGAGAGTGACAGTTGTGTCTGTCATTTTAATTCACAGTTAAGTTGTTATTTCCCTGGCTTGTTGAATAGACTAACTCAATGATAAAAATAATCAAATCGTTACTTTTTAGGTCACTGTATAAAAGAAAAATAAGCTAAATGTACTTACGAGTAGACCTCTTCTTCATCGGACATGATGGCAAGGGTTTATAAAACCTAGAAAAAAAAAAGATTTATATTTAGACCTAAATATGAAAAGAAATAAGAAAAAGAAAGAATAAGAAAAATGATGACGTCTGTAGAATACTTTTATAGGTTGTTTATACAAGGTGTCTTGAATCAGTGCAAGTATTTTTACGTGTAGCATATTTCGACACCAGAAATATACCATGAAGTTTATTTGTAAAAGTAAATTGATAAAAAAAATATATTCCATTTTTGAAAATGTTTGTATTCCTTTTCATAAGTTATTCGGGATTTAAATGGAAGTATTTTGGATATGGCGTTTGTGTCGCCTCAGCCTGAATATCTGTTGGTAATTTACTTATTTCGTTTTGAGCATAGACAAACAAATAAAAAGAGACTGGCAAATTAAATGGCAAAGAGAGGGACAACGTTCCCGTAGCGCACCTCAGAACGCAAAATTTCGTTCTATTTTTGTTGATCTGCGCATTGCGTCTATTGGGCCCACTATCTCATTCTAATATAACAAGAGAGAAAGAAGCAGCCATATAAAACGTAATTTCTAAATAGAAATTAGAACAATATCGCCTTTCGTTTTCGTCATCATGACAACCAAGATGACAACATCATGACAATTTGTCACGTTTGTTAATTTTTCGTTTCGTGATTTACCTTTTTTTCTAAACTCTCCATTTTATTGACTTATGAATATGGATAGGGAACAAATTCCTTTGTTCCATATAGGTATTTATATTTTGTTACTTATAGTTTTAGGTTATACTATTTGTTATTTTATTTGCTGCAGGAGCCAGTATCATCTATTTTCTATATGTATTGGTGCCCTCTTTCTCTGATAGATATGTTAAAGACACCCGGTAAAATAAAAGTAAGTAGTTATATATTTATCATCTTATTAAGAAAAAAGTAGAAGTATAGTAGTGTCAAAAATATTTCGAACCTCTCTTAAGAGAACAAATTAATACAATTAATTTTTTTCATTTTTTGGGTAGGTAGTTTATAGCTGGTATAGTAATCAGAAACTTTATTCATATACCTATTTTACTTTTGTTTTAGGATTAAAACTGGACTTGAAAATGATTCAGGATCAGTATTCTCGTAAAGTCTTCTTTGCTTGGATATTCACTTTGTTATTGCAATTAGGCAGTTTTTTCGAAAATGAGATTTTTAATGCCCTTTAAAAAAATTGGCCGATCGTTTCCTGCAACGGTCAGTTCTTCTGCAGTTAAAATTGGTAGGTGGGTGGAATAAACACTGTTATTTCTTGTTATTATATTATAAAAAGTTTATTTATTTTTATGTATAAATAAATATGTTTATAAAACAGTACAATTTTTGCTTTTTTATAATTTCCCTTATAATAGTAGTATTCTTTCGTTCTGAAAGAAACTGCAAATTTTCACTTAAACTGATTTATTCCCTACACCACGTTCCCTTTACGTGGTATAGGGAATAAATCAGTTTAAGTGAAAATTTTCAGTTTCAGAATGAAAGAATACTACTAATAATGGCTAATTTAAATTTTCCGCCAGCCAGAATGTGTCGTAATGTCTTATGATACGTTTTATACCTATCTCTTTCATTTTCATATAAAGCACACATAATAAAGAAAGATAGCAATAAAGACGTACGTCCTGCCATGATCCTGCTAATTGGTTTCAAAATTGTTATTCTGGGTTGCGCTACGGGAACGCGGTCCCTCTCTTTACCATGAGATTTGTCAGTCTCTTTTTATTTGTTTGTCTATGGTTTTGAGCCATTTCGGGCTCCAATTCAATCAGCAATCGACACGAAAGAGAATTAAAAAATATTGACTCAAAACTGACAACTAAAGAGACAGCTTTATTCATTTGTCAAATTACATAGAAACCAACGCCAACACAGCACAATATTTTTTCTACTCGTAATAAATTAATTGAAATAATAATTTCTGAAAAATTTTTATAACGTAACTCGCTAAGGAAAAAAATATTGTTTATACACGACGATAAAATTGCATTATCGTCTTGTATAAAAAATAACTATTTTTTGCCTTTAGATGTGTATTTTTTTTCTAATTTCGAAAAATCGAAAGTAGAGAAAAAAAAATAAAAAGTAAAAAGAAAATTGCTTTGCTTAGTATAGTTGTTAGTTAGTATTTCCCCATTAATGCGGACAACGCCTACAAAACTATTTTTCCGATTTTTTTTCGAAAAACGATGTAAAAATATCTGTCGATCACACAAGCGCTGTGCTAATTTTAGATCGGGAAATCGTTCGTGCTGCTTTTCCGAAGACGAAAATAGCCGAATCGAGACACGTTGCCAAATAGAGACAGAGAGCTTGAATTTCATCGGGTTTTTCGAAATCCTACTCATTTTCGTGGGAATAACATCCTGGCTAATTGAAACGCTTGATTTAATAACTTTACAATGGCTGATTACAGGTGAAACTCGATATTTAAAAAATCTACCAAATAAAATAGTTATTTTTGGTAGACACTTCTGCGTTAAACCTGAACGGTCGCTGTTTGGTAGAAGTTGTGTTTACAGTTATAAAAACTTGCCCAACAAAGAAAAAAATGCTTAACGTTTCGGAAAGTTTTCTCTTTCCGTCGTCAGAAGCAAAAAATATAAAGAATCAAGAAAAAAACTATTTAAAATATTTAAATTGAACTATTCGAGAACACTTTTAAAACAGATACATCTACAAGAAATCGTTGACGTTCTGTTATTTTATTTTTTATGGTTAATCCAGTCCAGGACCGTTCCTGGCGAGCGTGCAGTGCGTGCACGCACGTAGGCGCAACATTTTGGGGGCGCAGAATCAAAGGGTCAATCAGTACTTTGTAACAAAAAACCGATACGCTTTCTTGCCAATTAACAAATACTTAAACCATCATAGGATAAAGGTTGCTTAGCGTCTTTTTTGCGTTGGCCGCACCGAATAAACAAGTCTAGGGCAATCTGTTGGCAACATATTGATTCCATCTATTTATTTTTCATTTTATTCATTTTATGGAAAGCACTGTTCATTAAAATGTTGTATCCTATGTTATAGGGCTTGTTTCTCTCTACAATTTCCTGTCTCAAATTGTACAGTTTGTGTCGGGGAAGGGATCATAGTTTCATAGTTGTCGATTTTCGAAAGATATCAGTACATGTATATTATTTCGTATTTTTTTCATTTTATTGATTTTATGGAAAGCATTGTTCATTAAAATGTTGTATCCTATGCTATAGGGCTTGTTTCTCTCTACAATTTCCTGTCTCACAATGTACCGTTTGTGTCCGGGAAGGGTTCATAATTTCATAGTTGTCGATTTTCGAAAGAAATCAGTACATGTGTATTATTTCCGAATTTTTGTTTTTTGTTTTTATGTATTTCATATAAAATGGGTCAGTTTTTTTCTTTAGGGTACTATTTTTGTTACTAAATGTTTGTGGTTTTGTTTGTTTTATTTATTTAGTAAATGTTTTTATACTTTAATTAGAATAGTTTTTTTTTACATTTCCAATTACATATTGCTCGTTTGTCGCAGAATATAAATTCTTTAAATTTTTGAGATTAAGATTAAAATATATAATTGATTTAAATATTAACCGCACGTAGGCACCAGACACCCCAGGAACGGGCCTGATCCAGTTTATATTTTTCCAAATTTCCATACCGTTTTAGAGAAAATTAAGAAAAACATGGAAATATGGTTGATTTTTTTGTGCTAGAACCTATAGCTAGAACTTTTTTTGTAGTGCTAGAAAGCTAGAAAATACACATTCGCATACACAATACAAATTCGTTTTCATTCTTTGATAGATTGTTATACATATAATTTTAATTAGTGTAATATTTTTTGCTGCTTTAATGTTAAACAAGTATAAAGTTTATTTAGTTTGTGTAGTATGTTTGCTTAATTTTCTCTAAAACGGTGTGGTAATTTGGAAAAGTATAAACGGGATTAACCATTTTAGAACATGCAAACATTTTTATGAAGACTGCATTTTTTTGAAAATCTCAATAATAAAAAAGTTTTTTTTCCTCTTGTAAAGACAATCCGGGGACGTACTGTATATTCTGTTCTGGTGAGCCGATTTTGATGATTTTTTAAGCATTTTGTAGCCAAATTATTTGACTTTTTAGTACTTCTCTCTAAATTAACAACGAAAGCTCTCATCTGTCAATTATACGAGGGAAAACAGAATGTTCATATTTTGGTGCAAGTTTGAAACACTCTGTGGAATATATTACCAAAGAAAGGAATTTAAAAATCATTTCACTATTCTTGACTAGGACCAAAAGCAAAGGCATGGTTTCAATGTAAAAATTACAAAAAAATGTCAGTGTATTCTTCAAAAGCCAATATCTCCAACAAAAATAAAGAGATATTATTGAGATGAACCAAAAAAGAAACTATCGAGAAAGGATGTATCTAGGTGACAAAATTATTGTTAAATCCCTTGCTGTCTTAACATATTCCACAGTGTGTTTCAAACTTCACCAAAATACCAACATTTTGTTTTCCCTCGTATAATTGACAGATGGAACATTCATTTTTAATTTAGGAAGATATACTAAAAAGTCAAATAATTTAGCTACATATTGCTTAAAAAATCATAAAAATCGGCCCAATAGAACAAAATAAACCTTAAAAATACATCAAAATTTTAAGGTATCTCTAGAAATTTTGTTTTCTTTTTTGCCACAATTTTTTTCCTTAATTTTTAAGAAGGAACCGAAAATTATCTGTCAGGAACACAGAACTATACAGAAGGTTACCGAAAAAGCCGTTTCTTAAAATCAATATTGCATCAGTCAAAAAAAAATACAAAAAAATACGAATCTTAAATAATTTTCTCTAAAAATAAAAGCTCAAAAACTACAAGAAATAATTCCGGAACATTTGGAGCTTAAAAAAATATTTTCTCAAACAATGCAAAGCTTAGATATTATTTATAATTGTTTATAACAGAGTCGCATAGTTACTTGAGGAACATTTTTGTCTTTGGAGACTAGAGCAGGTATCAAGAGACTATAAAGCCAGGGTAGGACACGTAGAGCCATAGAGATATGGAGTTTTCTCTGTATTAGTAGGGCTTAGGGGCAAAAACATTTGCTATCAGGGCAGCAGAAAGCTAGAAAGGGCTCTAAAGGGTAACTGGATAGTCTGTGTTGGATTTTGTATGTTTCTTTTGATTCTAAATTATTTTTTTTTGTATATATTGTATTCTACGACACATTTATGTTTAAAACAATCATACTAGTTTAATTTTCAATTGATATTATTAGTATTTCAGGCAAATTGAACCAAAAAAATGGTGTTATATGTTAATTTTTCTCTACCAACAAGAAACTGAAAAGGAATCCACACATTTCTCGAAATAATCTGGCAAAACAGTTTTTAAAAATAGCATCTTCTACATTACAGCAGCTATGACGTCAGGACTGTATAGCTTGAAACCAAATTTAGTAGCCCACACATTAATAATATTGTTTTAGTTTAGTTAATTTTGCTAAAATTACATCTCTACAGGGTGTATACAGTTAAGGTTGTGATGAATGAATTTATTATATTAACAATAATGAAAATAAAATAGTTCCTATAAAATGACACCAACCAGCTAAGGGGCTCATGGAAAATTATTTGGCAAGATTGTTTCATGACACACCCTGTATAAGAAGGTTTATGTTGAAAAACAGTGTAAAACAAAAATAAAATAAAATTGGCTAAGGATTCTAGCTGTTTTTGGTTAGTTTTAGCTGATGCAGAACATACTACAGGGTGATTCTGAATAAGTATCCGATATTTTACAGGGTGAGTTTTGCAGTATTTTAAAGGTAAGAAATTCATATAAACAAAAATTCTAAAATGCTTTGTTTTCGAGATACAGGGTGTCAAAAATTTAGGAAAAAAATCGTTTTTTTTATTATATCTTCGGAGCCATTACAGATACTTTTATGAAATTTGGTACACGTTTTTTTACCATTAGTTGGCATTTTTTGATGAAAAATAGTTTACCAAATAATCACCAGTGACGTTCGTACGGGATATCAATTAAATAATTTTGGGAAAAAAATAGTACACCATGTTTTTTCTTAAAATAAAAATTATTTTTGTAATCCTTATTCACTTAAGAACAAATTATGACTCTCAGCTGCTTTTGTTAGACCGCACCGTTTTTGCGTAAAAAAATAAAAACCATTTTAATGCATATATGGCAAAATTGTAACGCCATCGCCACTGGAAAAAAAAATGATCTGGACTAGCTCCAAAAATATTATAAAAAAAGCGATTTTGTTCTTAAAACTTTGACACGCTGTATCTCGTAAACAAAGCACTTTAAAACAAATATTTATATAAACCTTTTACCTTAAATACACTTGAAAAAACACCCTATCGAACACTTAGCTGCTTTCGGTTAGTTTTAGCTCATACAGGACAGACAAAAAAGCATTTTTACCACACGTACGCCACTGAAGCACACACAAACCACCGCAAAACTTACAAAAATCAAGAAAGGAACGTGTGGCGAATCCAGGAGCACCACTTGACTCGGTGAGCTCGCAGTGACTGCTGACTGAGTCAAAAATTCCCGAAAAACCCGCAGGAAGACAACAGGCAGCTCAGGGAACCTGAGGAGAAGGTTTATGATGCGCATGTCCGGCTCGGCGCTATTTTAGAAATTTCCACTTATTATGCGAGGAATTATGGCGGCCGGGGAGATGCCCTGGACATTTTTGGCCACGGATTTGACCTGCCAGAGCGAGTCGAGTTGGCCCAGTTTTTGTTTAGCATATAGATATCATTCTATTCAAAACAATAATTCTCTTTTAAATCGATTTAAAGAACATAAAGATTATTGAAAAAACGAGCGATTTTTGCAAATCTAAAGCTTCATCGAGAACCTTGCAATTAGTGGTTTCAATTACACTTTATACTTTTTTTTTCATAGCAACTGCTAAAATTGCTTTATATCTATCAAAAATAGTAGATAAAATAGTACTTTATCCGCAAGGGCTGATTAAATGATACTTTAACAGCGAGGATAGGTTAAAAACTTTATTTCTCCTCGCACGTTTTTTAATTGCTTCCATTTTTGAAAATGTTTGTATTCCTTTTCATACACAGAAAAAAAAAACTTGTGTAGATTAGATAAAATACTTAAGCACTATAGGGACAGACAAAACTTAATTTACCGTATCTAAATATGTTGACTAGAATTTCTCTCCTAATATAAACAACCCTATTATGTAATTTATAAAATATTAATTGTTAAGAATTAATAAACATTTTTGTGTTTGAAATGAAGTCCTTAGTTTGTTCAAATAAAATATTATGTACTATACAAAAGAAAATTTAGTAGTTGAAAACAGATGAAAAATATAGTTGTGTGTGATAAACAAACGTTTTATCAAAAAATGAGGAGGTAATTCACTAAAAGCCCCATACTCACACTTCGCTCCTTCCTCGCCTTACTTCCTCGCGTTCCTTCGTCCCTTCGCTTCCTTCCTTCGTCTATTCGATGCTTGGAAATTAGTCAGTTAGGCAACAACACACCACAAAATATTTTTAATATAGCAGCTACATGTTTAATACGAAATATCTAGTAACCTCTAAAATTTTTCAAAAATCCGAAAGGCGCATAATTTTTATTTTATAAAACTGCAATTCTTTGTCGTATCAAAAATAAAAATTGAATTTTAATAATATATTTTTTTTAATAAATCCGAATATTTCAGTATCATGTACAAGGTATATCAGTATGAATGTACAAGGCGAGTCAACAATAGAGTAAAGTTTATTATGTAATTTATATCGAAACCATAAAATATGACATACTAATTAAACATTAATCATGTCCATTTCTTCAGATATTTTGTAAAAAGGCATCATGCACATTATTTCTATTTTTTATTTTTGTCGCTACGATTACATAAATATGGACATGCATTTTTCACAAATATGAAGACAGTATTGTTTTTTTCTTCCATTTTTTAGACTATTGTGTGTGAATTATTTTTATATCGACTGGCGATTGCTAGATGTACAGGATGTCCCATTTGTGTGTGTTTTATTGGGTTTCTGGTTTATGAGTCGAGATATAAAGATGCTGTTTTTCACATCATTGTTCTACTTATTATGAAACTAAATATATGCTACATAAGAAATAAGTGAACTAGAAGGTTAGGATAAATATGTATTTATCCTAGCCTCTTAGTTCAAAGTTATTTCTTATTTCTTTTTTACTTTTTATTTTTTAATTAGTAGAAATTTTTGCATTTTTCGATAACCTTTGTATCTCGATTATCTTATAACTTATCGAAAAGGTGAAAAGGGTCAGTGATGGGCGGTGGGTAAGTACCCAATGTAGTATATTGTAGATAAATAAAATCTGGGTATATATGTATATACCTGTAGATTTAGATGAACATCCTAATTTTAATAAAAGGAGTTTCCGACGACCGCATAGTAAATACCCGGTATAATACCCCGGGAATAGAAATATACCAATATATATATATATATCTACATATATATATATATAATATATATCTAGATATACTCGTATTCCTGACATTACTGGTATTATATCGGGTATTTACTATGCGGTCGTTGGAAATACCTTTTATAAAATTAGACTGTTCATCTAAATGTACAGGTATATACCGGATACCCTGATTTTTTGTTTTGTTCTACCTATTGAGTACTTATCCACCGCTCGTGTCTCGTTTTTCAGGTAGAATGGCAGTGACGAAAGTGGTTCTTCGTTGGGAGCTGTCTATTTCGAAAAATGACTCAAACTTATGTTCTTTTTTTTAAACAGGACACTCTATATATTATTGTTATGAGCTTTCGAAAATTATAATATACTCTATATTTATTTATTTAGGTACCGCTAAACTGCTAAACGGCTCTTATTTTATTTAACTTAATTTTACCAGATAATTTTTGCTTTGCATCGTGATATTTTGATAAACTACACGGAAACTGAACTTGTGCTGCTTTTAAATAACATGCCAATAACCAACATTTTACGTCGAATAAATTAGTTGATTGTTTTGATTACCTAATTTAAACCGGCCGACTATGTAATAAAGTTAAATAATGCATTTTTACCCCGTTTATGAAAATAAGTATTTTAGAAAGCTCGTTAACAAGGAAAATAAAATAATATACAAAATATCGTATTTAAAAAACATATAAGTTTTAGTCAATTTAAAAAAAGACAGATTCCAACGAAGAAATAGTCACTGCATTCTACCTGAAAAACTGTACGGGAGACCGTTTTCACCTTTTCGATAAGTTATGATACAAAGGGGATCGAAAAATGCAAAAATTTCAGATTCGCCCTGTATTTTAGGAAGTAAGAGGGCTAGAACATATCTGTATGTAGCATCTTTAGTTTCATAAAAAAGTAACAGCGTAATGTGAAAACCGCATCTTTGTATTTCGACTCATAAACGAGAAAACCTGCAAAACACACGAAAATGGGACACCCTGTACAGACGTACTGCCAAATCAAGAAATCAACTACGAATGAAATCCAAGATCGATTTATATATTTTATATATTTTAATATTTTTTGTGTTCGTTCAATTACTATAAATAGGTATATATTATATTGTATTTATTAACTGTATATTATGTATATTTCATGTAAACTATCATATTTAAAATACAAACGAAAAATACGAGGAATAATTACGTTTTCCATGTATTCTATAACATATTTATTAATCCGTATTATTTAACTAGCGTGACGTCATAAATCTCGCTCCGTGGCTGTTCTATTAGAGACGGCATTGGTCTAATATTTAGAAATGTCAAAAGCTGATGACATTTTACTTTTGTCAATTAGGACATTTCGTTTTGATTTTTGCAAGAAGAGGAAGAACTGTCACTTGTTTTATTATTTACCTTATATCATATTTAAAATACAAACCAAAAATACGACGAATAATTACGTTTTCCATGTATTCTACAACATATTTATTAATCCGTAGTATCTAACTAGCGTGACGTCATAAATCTCGCTCCGTGGCTGTTCTATTAGAGACGGCATTGGTCTAATATTTAGAAATGTCAAAAGCTGATGACATTTTACTTTTGTCAATTATGACATTTCGTTTTGATTTTTGCAAGAAGAGGAAGAACTGTCACTTGTTTTATTATTTTCCTTTTCTATTTCACGAAAGTAAAAAGAGTTAGCTATCTGATTCGTCGATTCGAGATTCGTCAAATTAAATATAAACCAACGCTAACCCAGCACAATATTTTTTCTACTCGTAATAAATTCCTTGAAATAATAATTTCTGAATATTTTTTAAAACGTAACTCGCTGTGGAAAAAAATATTGTTTTATACACGACGATAAAATTGCATTATAGTCTCCCGAAATTAATTTCCGAAATTAGTTTTCAGAATAACTCAATCAAATGAATTTTATCAAAGGATTGAAACCACCACACCTCAATATCTATGTCAAATATGAATTCCTTGGCACACAGCTTCGAAATTGTTTGTTCGAAAGCTGTTAACTGGGATATTTAAATCACAAAAACTATTTTCGTTTTTGAAAAACGACATACTCGTTTATTAGCTCATGTTATAGAAAAGTTGTATACAAAAATAAGACACATCACACAGGCACAATACACACAATCAACACAATGTGCATTACATTTTTATTAATAGTGCCACAGAAAATATTTTTTAATATACATGGTATAAAAGTTGGTACATCTGGACAAAAGAAACATATTTTCTATTTTGACATTGTTAAAATAAATTGAAAATAACCGAGTTATTTAACTTTTTCTGTAATTTTCAATTTTAAAATACTTATTAAAAACTTATTTAAATGGCACCCTGTATAAATAGTCAATTATTTTGTTCTTTTGGTACCAGATTTAGATAGATAAGAAAAAAGACTCTGCTCATTAGGTTTAAGTGTTTAGTTGTTTTTTCTTGTTTCTAGTGAATTTTTCTTTTTTATTTCATAGAAATTGGTACTAATAAAGGAACATTTTCTTCATATGGAGTGTACCCGATGATGTACTGAGGTACGTTTCTGGAGAGTATGTATTTTTCTTCTTTTGTGTGCTGGAAAAAAAGAAAGTAATTATTTCTAAATATTTTTTGCGAATAAAAATGCTACATGTTAGATAAAATTTGTCAGAAATTCAAATGTATAAAAAAGTCTATTACGCTGGACTGTTCGGGTCGCTGTCAGAGGTCGGGTAAAGCGGGTGTGTGGCCGAAGGAAATATATATTATATTTCAGAAATCTGACACCAGCATAAATTTGAGCATAGACGAGGAGAAGTTTATTCAAATTTAGTCAAATTCATTCGGCATTTCAAAAAATTATAAAATATTATTACTATTTATATTTATATGCAAATTTTTATATTTTATCCTTTATGATGGAAATTGATATTATTTAGATCTTAACCAAATACACATTAATATATTTAGATCTTAACAAACCACATAAAATTAGTGAAATAGAGTGGAAGATGGGGATTAGAATTTTAGAATTTAGAATGAGTGGGAGGGGGGTTAATCACTTCGACCTTACAGATCCATTGTGTCCCCCTTTCTTGAATCATAACTCATCATACAGTCCCAGGGCATTGACAAAAGCCAGTATCTGGGACGGTTTTATAGAGGGTAGTTCTCCATCTCCAATATCAGTCGTACCAAAATTCATGGCACGAATGGTTGTCGTCTCGGCGCACTCAGTGATGAGGTGTACTGGTGTTTCACCATCTTCCCCACAGAATCTGCATTCGCCGTTTCTTCTTAGTTTCAATCTACTGAGGTGTTCATTGAGGAGACAGTGTCCTGTTAAAAACCCCGTGACAATCCGAAGATTGTTCTTACTCAGACCCAGGAAGATCTGTGATTTTTCTTGATCATAAGCCCTCAGAAACTTCTTCTTCGAGTGTCTTAGACCATTGCAAGATTTCCATTCCAGGTTGCGGATGGAATCTTCCAAGTTCTTGAGTTCCGCCTTGAGTTGGTTACCACTTGGAAAGCAGAACGGTTCTGGTCCAGTTATGGAGTGTTCGCTCCTTTCCTAGCTAGATTATTTCCTTTTTCATTGCCTTCTATCCCTTGGTGAGCAGGCGCCCAGGGTAGGAGGACTTTGTTTTCTTTGCCTAATTTATTCAGCTTCTCTATGCATTCTTTGACCAATTTCGAATGGATTGATACTGAGTTGATCGCTTTTAACGCTGCTTGACTATCAGACAAGGTGGCTATTTCTTGTTTCCGATAGTTCCTATCTAAGATAAGTTGTATGCATCTTTCGATAGCGTAGATTTCTGCCTGTAGGATACTAGGGTAAGTGCCGATTGGTTCGGAGTATTTAGCTCTCGGCCCAAACACTCCGATCCCTGTTCCCGTATTGGTTTTGGAAGCATCAGTATACCAAGTTATGGTATGGTCTTTTAACTGCTGGGCAAGCGTTTCGCTCTTCCAATCCTTTTTATTGCTCAATACTACATGGAGATGTTTCTCAAAGTTGTACGTTCTTAGCATATCGTCCACTGGGAGTTGCAGGAGTGGTATTTCCTTTATGAGGGTGTTCCAAGCCCCTGATCTGACAATTCTCCCAGTACTAATTCCGTTAGTGACCATTCTAATCATTGTCGCATTGGCATATCTACCAATGACAATGTGCAGTGGTGTTAGATCTAGAATGACCTCCATTGCTGCTGTTGGACAGGTTCTCATGGCTCCTGTGATGCAAACGCATGCTAGTCTCTGGACTTTGCATAGGTTTAGCCTTGCCGTTGCTCTAGTTTTGTATACCAGGCAACTGCTCCATAAGTAATCATGGGTCTTACTATCATGGTATACATCCAGCGCAAAATGTTAGGGGAGCAGCCCCATCTATTTCCGGCCAGTCTTCTGCATATCATGAGAGCCTTTATGGCTTTGCTGGTAGTGTTCTTAATATGCCTGTTCCACAGTTCCAAGATGGGGATAAAATATACTACATGACTCTTAGCTTGACCGATTTTAACAAATTTGGTATAACTCAAAAGGGTTTAATTTGTTCTTTAAAAACAAAGCTAGATATGAAAAATAGTCAAATAGAACTTCTATTTTTAGTTTTTTAATCTAAATAAATGTCATTACAAACATTTATATATAGCTTTTATTTTAAGTTTTTAAAATCTTTGTTTTAAGTCAGTAGTAAATAAAACGAAACTTGTATTTACATTTTGTTTAATGATTGACGTTTCGACCAATTTTAATTCGGTCTTCTTCAGAATCTATAATATACGTATAAATAATTTTCTACGTTTGTGGTAAGAAAAAATTATATATTAAACACATTGTTAGTGATAAAATTGTATTGTATATTATAGATTCTAAAGAAGACCGAATTAGAATTAGTCGAAACGTCAATCATTAAACAAAATGTAAACACAAGTTTCGTTTTATTCACTACTGACTTAAAACCAAGATTTTAAAAACTTAAAATATAATAAAAAAGTCAAAGAAAATTGAAAAAAGTAAAAATATCAATAGTTTTTATAGTACCGTATTATCGAAAAGGAACGGCATCAGCGACGACCATGAAATGAAGGTCGGTGCCATTTTATATGTAAATTTATATAGGAAATGTCATCAATCGTCATTTCCCATTCAACTGGACGCCGTTTTTTTCTCTCATACGGTAGATATACTTATGTACAAATATTTTATTCAAACATAAATATTATTTTCTCTATTTGTACCTTTTACGGAGCGATCAACATAGTAACATAGGATGACTATTTATCAGCTGTTATTACTAACGTCAAAACAAACCAAAAATTAAATAATATGATAAGTTTTTTGACGATATTTAAATGCGATTTTCAAAATAATGTGAGATAATCAAAACGAGATGAGAAATAAATGGGTTTAATCGGAAGGTTTTCTAAGTCAGTTATTGAATAAGTGTAGTAAACAATATAGGTTACGTGCTTGTACGAAATTTTTATAAAAAACCGCATATTAAGTATGATATAGTCTCGTACACTTTCGATTAATAATTCATCGGACATGTTTAATGTAAAACCGCTCCACTAAAAACAGTCGCTCGGCGACTATTCGCCCTTTCCCATGCATTCTCTGATTTCGCCTGATGGCGCGAGTACCGCCGATAGCTCGAAGCGCACCGAGCGCACCGATCTAATGCGGCGCGCGGGCTTACATTTATTTCAACGTAAACTGAAAATTACGTGTCGCTCGCTCTCGCCGATACCTATTCAGTGCGCGCGGAGCTTTTATTAAACCACACCCAAAATTCCAAACACACGTGCTTGGATTAAGGCTTGATTAAGGTTTGCAGAGCTTCAGCATTTGCCATAAAATAGCGAGTAATTTGTTACAAAACCAAATAAATTATATATCACTGTAATCACAAAATTTCAATCTATTTGCGTATTGTAACGGAATTTTAAATTATGTCTCTATTTTCGAGAAAATTTAGTCCAAACATACGGAATATTTCGTTGATGTTTGACCATCAAAATCTTAAAAATAAAGAAGAAATAATCCTTTATCTTTAATTTTCTTCTGCATTTGTGTCAAAATACCTAGCTAGTTTTACATAAAACGTTAAACGCCGAACGCTTGTTTTGCTACTCAAACCTCGCCAAAATTATAATCGTCATTTCCCAGCCGTCTTTGACGCCGTTTTTTTTTCGATCACCGGTTATAATAATAATAATAAATCATAATTTTACTTTTCTAGGTGATTTGCATGATCTTCTCGGCCTTTTATGTTTGAATCTCTTGAACGATTTTCTTCTGAGGTAAAATTGGAACAGATCTGTGGCGTGACCTTGACGAAACATTTCGACAGCAGTCCTGTAACAAAAAATAGGAATAAATATATACAGAGCGTTCCGGGGATAAAAATATTTCGCGCTACATACTCGTTTTGGACTTTGCAATAATTCGAGAGCAGCTCATTTGTGGTGCAGGGTTCAACACAACATTCTTGGGCTATGGCCCTTTTTCTTCTACTATACGGATCTATAATCATACGAAAATGTATTAAAAATAAATAATAGTTATTTTTTATACAAGACGATAAAATGGTGAAATGAAATCGCGAGTGAATTGATTGCGGGAGACGATAATGCAATTTTATCGTCGTGTATAAAAGAATATTTTTTTCCATGGTGAGGTACGTTTTAAAAAATATTCAGAAATTATTATTTCAAAGAATTTATTACGAGTAGAAAAATATTGTAATACGGTTTCAGAAGCGGAAGATCATGTACAGATAATATCTTTGCATTGAAACAGATCATCGAGAAGAAATCTGCAATGAACCAGGAAGTTCATATAACATTCATCGATCTACAAAAAGCATATGATACAGTGCCAATAATAAAATTATAGGAAGTATTGCACGAATCAAGAATTAACGCAGCTCTGATAAAAGCTGTACAAAATCTTTACCATGGAGGAAAATCACAAATAAAAACGGTCAACGGTCTCTCAGAGGAAATTTCTATCACTAAAGGGCTCCCATAGGGTTGCTGTATATCACCAACACTATTTAAAATTTATATTGCCAAGGCCTTACATCTATGGAAAAGAAAATGTAACGGAATGGGTATAGCACTAAATGACATATGCCTATACACCTTGCAATTTGCAGACGACCAGGCCATAATTGCAAACGACAAAGATGACATGGAATATACGGTGCGGAAAATAATTGAAGAATATGCTAAATGGGGTCTCACAGTAAATACAGAAAAAACAAAATACCTTCCAATTGGAGCTAATACAGAAAATCTTATTATCTTTTGAATGTACAGGCTGTCTCATTTTTGTGTGTTTTGTAGGGTTTCTAGTTTATGAATGGAGGTACCAAGATACGATTTTCACACCTCGCACATTGTTGCATTTTTCGACCCCCTCTGTATCTTGGTTATCTTAAAACTTATCGAAAAGGCGAAAACTGTGTCCTGTAGAGTTTTTCACGTAGAATCCAGTAGCATAATCAGTTTTTAGCTGGGATCTGTCATTTTTGAAATAAGACCCAAACTTTTTTTTTTAAATTGGATACCCTGTATACTTTTATTTTATTTGCCTTTTTATGAGCCTATATAAACTTTAAACTAAAAAAGTGTTTAATACTTACGTTGGTATGGGCTGTAGCTTTCAATACAAAGCGCTGAGAATAGAGAAGTTAAAGTTTCCCCACACAGAACCAATTTCTCATCCATAGTCCTTTCCAGTGAAACGTCCATTGCAGAATTATACATCATACCAAGAATAATCAACATTAAAGGGAAATATATGTCCATACCTGGCTGAAAAAGATAATTCTACTTTTACCAAACTGTTTTTCAGAGATTCAGAAGAGTTGTGAGGATATACTGAGGGTTTTAAGGTAATTTATAGCCTTGATTTTTCGTTAAAATGCATAACTAATTGATAATAATACTGTTAGTAAGGCATCCCTTGTATACTTAGTGTAGGGATGTACTATTATCTTCGTATGATATTCGATATTGTGTTATAAAAAAAGATCAGAACCTTATAGATTAAATTAAATATGTTGATTTATAGAGAAAATTCTTTGAAAGAAAAAAAATCTTAGTTTATGATCTTACAGACAACGGAAACATTTAAAGAAAATGCTATTTTGTATACAAGGTGTATATCCCCAAAGCTGTTTAGAGCGACACTAGAAGAAATCTTCCGTCAACTAGACTGAACCAAAAAAGAATTAAAAAATTTGTTGATGACATAGTCCTAATTGACACTAAATCACCGCAATACACCAAAACACTTTTACTTTTACACTGGACGCGCGTTTCGCTAACCATGTTAGCATCATCAGCAGATGATTATAAACTAAAGTACAATCTACAAGTTGAGCGTTTATATACTCGCCCAGTGAGCACCGAGTGGGCGTGGCAAAATCTAGCCAACCGAGTCAGAGCCCACTGAGCGTAACAGTTACATTTCCGCCACTAGAGTTAGTAGGAACAAAGAACTTGAAGGAATTGGACCGTTGACTCTGTTCATACTATCTTTACATTGATTAATTCTGATGCTTTCATATGCATCTAATTGCCTGTAATTTGAGACTTGTTTAATTAATTTTAAATTATTAATATCTATACAATGTTCTTTATCAACAATATGTTCGGCAACGCAAGATTTATCAGGTCTACCGTATCTTATCTGAGCTAACTGTTCTTTAAATCTAGTTAATATTGATCTCCTAGTTTGCCCAATATATTTCTGATTAAAATCTTTACAAGAAATTTCATAAATACCCGACCTTTCCAGTGGAGGTGTTTTATCCTTTGGATTACCTAATAATTGTTGTAATTTATTATTAGCACTATACACAAGTTTTTAATTGACATTCTTAAAAATTCCTTTTAGACCACGGGATAACTCTCTATCAAACGGTATCGAAAAATATTTAGACTAATATTATATATTATATACAGTGTGACCCACTCAAGACCGGGCACCCTCCATAAAATCTGTGTTTATAGTCCGATTTTGATGATTTTTTTTTCAAATATAAAGTTTCAAAAAATGTACTTTAGGGCTCAATGTCATGTTATTTCACAAAAAACAAGGCCTACTTAATAAAGTTTTTGTGGTGAAAAATTTGCAAAATCATATTAGCGATTTTTTTTCAAAAATTTGAGTACACCCCTACATTCGGCATCCCCAAAACAGTTCTGTACCAAATTTCGTTTAAAAATATTAATTATTAATAATTCTGCAGTTAAATTAAATAATTCCCTATTTTTGCCAATTTAACGATGAGTTATCACGTAACCCTTGAAAAAAACTATCCACAACAATGGGTTTTATTAGCTGTCAATTCTTGCAGCGTAGAATTGAATATTAATTTAATAGCACGCAGAAAAGTGTTGTATCAAGAAATATTATTTGCATTATGGAACAATTAAATATTATGGATAAAATTGAAATTATTCGTTTAGTGGGTGATAACTATCTTCAAGCAGGAGAAGCTGCCAGAGAATTTAACAACAGACATCCCGACAGACCTGCAGTAAGTAGAAGCACGGTTCAACGAATAAATAGAGTTTTTAATGAAACTGGTTGTGTGTCAAAGGCGGAATGAGGAAATATTAGAATATTTTCGTAACAATCCTCGTGCAAGCATTAGAGGCGCCAGTGTTGATTTGGATATACCAAGGGAAAATATTAGGAGATGTTTGCGAACTAATAAAGTTAAACCCTTTAAACCAAAGATTTTACACACTTTGGAAAACGGAGATGATGTTAGACGATTAGAATTCTGCTTATGGGCTCAAGCAGAGTATTTAAATAATAGAAATTTCTTAAAAGAAATTTTATTTAGTGATGAGGCAACATTTAGTACAAACGGAGTAGTATCCTCTCAAAATTCGCGATTCTGGGCAGTCGAAAACCTTGAATGGGTGATCAATACAAGAAGACAGTATTCTCAGAAATTAAATGTGTGGTGTGTCATACTTGATGATAGAATCATTGGTCCATATTTTTTTGAGAGAAATTTGAATAGTCCAACGTTTTTGAATTTTCTGATTAATTACTTTTTGGATGCAATACATAATTTACCACGCCAAACCCGTTTGAATTTAAAATTTCAATTGGACGGATCACCTGTGCATAACGCGGCAGTTGTCAGGGAATGGTTAAATGAAAATTTTGAAAATAAGTGGATAGGTCGAAATAGCCCGCTAATTGAGTGGCCACCGAGATCCCCGGACCTAACACCCCTTGATTTCTTTCTTTGGGGTTTCTTAAAGCAACAAGTTTACAAGTCTAGACCTCAATCTGTAGATGAATTACGTATTAGAATTACAGAGGCTTCTGCAAATATTACACCACAGCAGCTTAGGAATGTAACTGTTAATCTAAGAAAAAGATGCGACAAATGTATTGAACTGAATGGAGGGCTGGTAGAAGCAACTAGAATTATTTGAATATGTTTAACTTATTATTCGGTTATTGTGTTGCTTGTAGTATTTTATCATTGTTTGTAATAAAACTCGTTGTCGTGGATTGTTTTTCAAGGGTTACTGATAACTCATCGTTAAATTGGCAAAAATAGGGAATTATTTAATTTAACTGCAGAATTATTAATAATTAATATTTTTAAACGAAATTTGGTACAGAACTGTTTTGGGGGATGCCGAATGTAGGGGTGTACTCAAATTTTTTGAAGAAAAATCGCTAATATGATTTTGTAAATTTTTCACCACAAAAACTTTATTAAGTAGGCCTTGTTTTTTGCGAAATAACATGACATTGAGCCCTAAAGTACATTTTTTGAAACTTTATATTTGAAAAAAAAATCATTAAAATCGGACTATAAACACAGATTTTATGGAGGGTGCCCGGTCTTGAGTGGGTCACACTGTATATACATATTTAGACTATATTATATACTATATATTTGGGACACCTAATACACAGTTCGAGATCTCTACTACCAAAAATCAACAGATGAATTGTGAAAATGATGATGATGGTGTATGAAAACTCGATCTTATTGTACATCTCTAATTTAGGGAAATTTTAAGGGTATATAGGATGATTTATAACCGTCGTTTCCCGTAAAATGCATTACTAATGGTTATGGTGAGGAATCTGTGAATAGGTATCGGGTGTCAGTGGCATTGTGTTGCAATTTTCCGCCGGTTATATCGAATTTCCCTCCGTGGGAAATTCCTTTCTGCTTTTCTGTATGTCGTTCGGTTGCATTACAGTTATTTTCCTCGCGTACTTGACTTATTTTCGTTGTTTATATGGACGCTTTCTAACTGGTCCCACTATTTTAAATTTATCTTTGTTTAAATTAAATAAAGTAAGTCTTAATTAGCTTTAAGACTTTTTTTTAATAAGACCCATTTTGTATACAATTAGTACAAGCCAGAATCTGTCCAAAGAGCCAGGAAAGATTTTGACAGTAAAGGCGGGTTCTCACTTGTCAGTTTCGCTGACGCAGTCTGACTGATTCATTATCAATGAAAAATAAAAATCAACGATTGTATTCACACGTTTCATGTTTTGCTACATTCAGTATTCAGTTGGTCCAAACATTTTAACGTGGTGATTTCGCAGACATGAAAATGGTTAAAACAAAATTGAAACCAGGTGTTCGCAAAGTTTGTTTACAATTAGCAAATGAATTACAGAATATTCTGGTGAAGCAGAAAGAAGAAGAAAACGTTTTTTTAAAGCAGATATACGTCTACAAGAAACCATTGACGTTCTATTTTAACAGAACGTCAACGGTTTCTTGAAGACGTATCTGCTTTCAAAAAAAAAGCATGTTCTCATAATAGTTTGAATTTAAATATTTTAAATAGTTTTTTTTTCTTTATTCTTTGAATTTTTTTTGCTTCCGACGATAGACTTTCGGAAACGTTAAGCATTTTTTTCTTTGTTAAGGCAATTTGTATAACTGTAAACATAACTTCTGACAAGCAGTGTCCGTTTAGGTTTAACGCAGAAGTGTTTACAAAAAATAACTATTTTATTTTGTAGATTTTCTTGCAGTGCAGTGGCAGAAATACTCATAAAGGATTTTTTGGAGATATATATTAAAATAATTAATTAACTTTAACTTGTAAACTGAACAAATCACGAAAATGTAGTTCTCACGCTTCAGTTTCTATTCATTATTCGATAATGATCAGTCAAAAATGAAAAAAGTAGAACTGGTTTTCACTTTAACTGAAAGTACGAATTTACTGATCATTTAACATGAAAATGTGTTCTGACGTTCATTATTTGTTCAGTATCACTGAATCAGTCAGACTGCGTCAGCGAAACTGACAAGTGAGAACCCGCCTTAATGCAACAATAATTTCGTCAATAATCCTAGCAAAAGAAAGCCGAATAATCAGCATAAGCTCCGCGCGCACTGAATAGGTACCGGCGAGAGCGAGCGACACGTAATTTTCAGTTCACATTGAAATAAATGTAAAGGTGAAAGGTACCAGTCCGGCGAGAAACGGCGAAGGCGGTGACTCGACTATCGTAGATAGGTAGAGGTAGGAATCTGGCCTCTACAGGCCGAAATGTTTTAGTGGACGCCGGCGCCGTCTATATGTACGATGGTCGCAGGCGCTTTTGCTGGTCGGTCCGATCCGATGCAGTGCGCGCCCAGCTTAAGCCCGCGCACCGCATTAGATCGATGCGCTCGGTGCGCTTCGAGCTATCGGCGGTACTCGCGCCATCAGGCGAAATCAGAGAATGCATGGGAGGGGGCGAATAGTCTACGCCGAGCGACTGTTTTCAGTGGAGCGGTTTTACATTAAACATGTCCGATGAATTATTAATCGAAAGTGTACGAGACCATATCATACTTAATATGCGTTTTTTTTATAAAAATTTCTTACAAGCACGTAACCTATATTGCTTACTACACTTATTCAATAACTGACTCAGAAAACATTCCGATTAAACCCATTTATTTCTCATCTCGTTTTGATTATCTCACATTATTTTGAAAATCGAATTTAAATATCGTCAAAAAACTTGTCATATTATTTAATTTTTGATTTGTTTTGACGTTAGTAATAACAGCTGATAAATAGTCATCCTATGTTACTATGTTGATCGCTCCGTAAAAGGTACAAATAGAGAAAATAATATTTATGTTTGAATAAAATATTTGTACATATATCTACCGTATGATAGAAAAAAACGGCGTCCAGTTGGATGGGAAATGACGATTGATGACATTTCCTATATAAATTTACATATAAAATGGCACCGACCTTCATTTCATGGTCATTGCTGATGCCGTTCCTTTTCGATAATACGGTACTATAAAAACTATTTATATTTTTCTTTTTCAATTTTCTTTGACTTTTTTATTGTATTTTAAGTTTTTAAAATCTTGGTTTTAAGTCAGTAGTGAATAAAACGAAACTTGTGTTTACATTTTGTTTAATGATTGACGTTTCGACTTATTTTAATTCGGTCTTCTTTAGAATCTATAATATACAATACAATTTTATCACTAACAATGTGTTTAATATATAATTTTTTCTTACCACAAACGTAGAAAATTATTTATACGTATATTATAGATTCTCAAAGAAGACCGAATTAAAATTGGTCAAACGTCAATCATTAAACAAAATAAAACACAAGTTTCGTTTTATTTACTACTGACTTAAAACAAAGATTTTAAAAACTTAAAATAGAAGCTATATATAAATGTTTGTAATGACCCTTATTTAGATTAAAAAACTAAAAATAGAAGTTTTATTTGACTATTTTTCATATCTAGCTTTGTTTTTAAAGAACAAATTAAACCCTTTTGAGTTATACCAAATTTGTTAAAACAGGTCAAGCTAAGATTCATGTAGTATATTTTATCCCCATCTTCCACTCTATTTCACTAATTTTATGTGGTTTGTTAAGATCTAAATACCGTATGATCGAAAAAAAACGGCGTCCAGTTGGCTTAGAAATGACGATCGATGACATTTTCCATATAATTTTACATATAAAATGACAGCGATCTTCATTTCATAGCCATCGCTGACGCCGTTTTTATTCGATCATACGGTATATTAATGTGTGTTTGGTTAAGATCTAAATAATATCAATTTCCATCATAAAGCATAAAATATAAAAAGTTGCATAAAAATATAAATAGAAATAATACTTTATAATTTTTTGAAATGCCGAATGAATTTGACTAAATTTGAATAAACTTCTTCTCGTCTATGCTCAAATTTATGCTGGTGACGTACTCTCGACCGTCGATCGTGCGACTCCAGTGCGCGACTACAATCGACTTTCCGACCGGTCGTGCCGCTCGCGCCGTTCGCTCTCGCCGATACCTATTCAGTGCGCGCGGAGCTTTATAAAACAATAAACGTTTTATTTTTAGCCACAATTTCTCTCTTAAAGTCTGTTTTTTTTCTCAGGTAAGATTTTGACAGACGATGACAGAAAAAAAAGCAGATGAAAAGTCCATTCCACACACACACACACAATCCATGTATTTCAATAATTAATTATCAACTTTGAATAAGAAGACTAAGGAAGGAGCATATCAAAAATCTTAGGTACACCGCGATGGGCCTCAAATATGGCCGACTTAAATTCCGGTTTATCAGTGTCGTTCTAATTTTATTTAAAAAATGTAAAACTATGATGTAGCGTAGACGTGGGGTAGACTCAATAATTTGTTGTTTTATTTTATGTTGTGAGTAAATGTTGGTAGTTATTAAAATTGTTATAAAAATATATAATTCTAATAAAAATAGATAAGTTATAATAAGTATTTATTAACACAAACATCGATACGCTACTGAAGCAGGTAAGTCAAATTAACGTATCTAAATTCTTTGACATCTAATCTTTGACAAGTAATAAATAAAAGCTAAAATGCAAGAAAAATCTATAATTTAGTTAATTTAAGTGAATTTCATAAATGATCGGTTTAGTACACGTATGTATATTATATAATCACTTACTAGCGAAAAGTTGTTCCATTATTTCACTCAATTTTTGCCGAAATCTACCGCACGCTACACAACCAACTATTTTAGAGTCTTTTTCGATAAATCGCGATAGTGTCACTGTTAATTTAAGTTCTGCCACAATTTCCATCTAGATTTACTACCTTTATACAACTATCAGTAGTAGAATAAATAATAAATAACATAAAATAAGCTCCGTAAAGACTGACAAATCCACAAAATTTCAAATGAAATTCAAATGTGTCAAATGAATCGTCAAACAGAACTGTCAAGGATCCCCACCCTAGAGAGCTTTTATGGTGGCTTTTCCGCCCACCATGCATGAATACATGGATAGCATTATGCTCCTTCCTTAGTCTTCTTATTCAAAGATTATCAAGGATTGTTGATTAATTATAGGTTATAATTTTGTGTCAAATTATGTCAAATATAAATGATAAATGTTCTGCATTCTGCATTTTGGACTGTGTTATTACGCATGTTTCGCGTTTTTCTTTAAATTAAGTGGAGGAAAACTTGAGGGAAAATTAAGTGTTGACCCAGACCATAGTTTAGAGTTAATATCTCGTACCCAGAGACCGCCAGAGACACAGTTTGCCAGAGAGTTGTATCAGCCACAAATAAAGTTTGTAAATCATCTCGTCTATGGTACCAAACAGCGGCGGATATAGGAATTTATTTTAGGGGGGGCCAAAATGAAAAGCAATGTAGAATATGCTTTTTAGGGCGCCATTTTTAACCCAAAAGCCTAATATTTTACACAATTCATAGACTTTAGGGGGGGCCCGGGCCCTCCCCCTGTATCCGCCACTGGTACGAAAAACTGGAGAATCTATAAAATAACATCACAAAATAGGTAAATATGTAATAAAATTTAGTACTTCAGAGCGATTACAGTTGAAGGTTGGAACCTTTGGTGTTACACAGCAAAATAAAAACACTAAATCACCACAATACACCAAAACACTTTTACTTTTACACTGGACGCGCGTTTCGCTAACCATGTTAGCATCATCAGCAGATGATTATAAACTGATGTGATGATAAAACAGTTTATAATCATCTGCTGATGATGCTAACATGGTTAGCGAAACGCGCGTCCAGTGTAAAAGTAAAAGTGTTTTGGTGTATTGTGGTGATTTAGTGTTTTTATTTTACTTCAGAGAGATAATGTCAAAAGATACTCTTTTAAAAAAATTAAAGGTATAAAATTCAGTAAGTGTTATAATTAAAAAAATATTTTCGTTTTATTTATGTTGTGTTTTATTTATTCCTTTGCAATATTTTTTTTATTTGTACATAAGTTATATTGATAAATAACAAATGCACGAAGTTGCTTGAGCTTTTCACCCCCTTCTCGGGGTGAAAAAAATCTTTTCCAATTCGTTTTTAGATCTTTTAAGGCAAGTTATATAAAAAAATCAAGTTTTCGCCAAAAGCTTATTCGTATTTATAGTCGAAAAGTTTTTTTACTTTTAATGGACGAATTCGTCAGTGTCCACTAACACTCTTTTGTAAAGAATAAATTAAGTGAAAAATGACCTTATTTAAAGGGGAGTTCTCCACAAAATAGGGTTAAAAAACTGTAATTATTCACAGTAGTTTGTAATAAAGAGATTACACTTACCTTGTTCTATAACTATCCTAATTATTTTTCTAGATTTAAATTCATTTACTCCCATAACATAACGTAACTTTTTATTTATATTTTTGATGTATTTTCGACGAATTTTTATCTAAACTATTAATAGACTAAATTAGACTGTTAAGGTCTTCAGTCTAGCAGCCAAAAATAGTAACTGGAACGCTATGGGAGATAAAAAAGTGCACTTTATATGGTTAAACCTATTTGAGAAAAGAAATTGATTGAATTTATTCTTTATCTGTTCGATTAGGATGGTCTGCCGTAGACAAATACATGCGGTAGATGAATGTACTTGTTTTTTTGTAATAATTTCGGTTGTTCATTAGCTAGGAAGATGATAGAAGAGACTAGGAGTCAGAGGCGTACGCAAACAAGAATATACTGGGTGCGTTTCAAAAGTGGCTCACCCCTATAACTTTTTTATTTTTTTAGATAAAAAAAACGAGATTTGGTATGTTAGTATATGACATAAATTAGGATTGATTGACGTATTCTATTGTTTTCGGTCACTTCCTATTTCACCGGAAATGCCTACCACTTTTGATTTTTAATTGACACAGTGGCTCATTAGCATATTTGGAAAAAGCATTTTTAAAGTAAAAAAAATACCGAGGTTGTCATTTAAAAATCAGAATTTGTAGTCATTTCCGGTGAAACAGGAAGTGACCGAAAACAATTGAATACGTCAATCGATCCTAATTTGTGTCATATACTGACATACCAAATGTCGATTTTTTATCTGAAAAAATAAAGAAGTTATAGGGGTGAGCCACTTTTGAGACGCACCCGGTATATAGGTTAGTTTATAATAGACAAGAATTTAAATGGAATAAATGCAAAAAAATATTTTTTGCATTTAGGTAATTTATTTTTTCATCAAGGTAATTTTTTTTAAGACAAAATAATATACCTACAGATTTAAGATTACGATATTTATAGCAAAGTAAGTATACAGGGTTGTTCACCACATACGACACGGAGTATTGTAGCTAAACGATGAGATTTTTACAAATTGTAAGTTTTGGGTTCGATGAAGGACTATTAGAGGTACAATTTAAAAATAATTTTACAAGATACAGAGTGTCCCAAATAAGTAAAAAATATCAAAGTTGTATTTTTTTAAATGGAACACCCTGTATATTATTACATTTTTAGTTTCTACGATTAAAATAAAGGTAAATTTGATTAAGGTTTATTATACTTAAACCTTACCGTTTTTGAAATATTTTCAATTTTGTGAAATTGCAGTAAAAATTTTAAGGCTTCATTTCTCCAAGGGTATCAAAGTTTTTAATACTAAATATTTACTGGTTTATTTACTGATCAGTTATTGTGTTGCAATAATAAAAATAATACTACCTTATACAGAGTGTCTAAAAATTTATTTTAAATAATTATTAGCTTCAAACGGTAATAACTTGTTTAATTTAAATAGACTGTATATTTTACGAGAATCAGATGCACAATTTAATTGTCTATCAAATTATATTATACCATTTTTTACCTATCTGTTTAAGTTTCCGTAGAAAATGCATTTTCTTGTAATTTAGAACTTATTTATCAATATACCCATGGACTATTGACATTTTAGATTATTTTTAAAGATGTACCAAATTTTTAAAGAGTACAAATATTAATATTGTCGATATAATTCGTTTATTTCATTAAAAAATAAAAAAAAACTGTTTAAATATTTGTTAAAGAGGATCAGTTAATATGATTCCAGTATTCAAACAACATTAACTGACTGTTTGCTTTGATTAATAATAATTGCTCCAAATACTAAAAAACTGAATTTTGTATGGGCATTAGACAGTGTGATAAAAAGTAACACCTTAAAAATGATATTTCATTTTTTAATAAATGCTTATTTATAACTACAGAGACTTTAATTTGATAACTTATTATTATATTGATTTCTGACTCAAATCCACATTTATTTATAATAATTTAATAACGAACACAATTAAGTATGTAATTAATTAGTATATGGGCGCAAATAATGGTGTTATATTTAATTAATGGTATACTCTTTTATAAAGATTTAAATAGTTTTCTTTTTGCATACAAATGGGCTAGTAATATTATCGTTTTGCTAAAAACGATAATATTACTAGTCTGTACATTTTGTACATTTGTTGCTTTAAAAACAATCTAAAATGTCAATATTCCATTGATATATTGATAAATGAGGTCTAAATTATAAGAAAATGCATTTTCTACGAAAACTTGAAGGGATAGGTAAAAAATGGTATAATACAATTTGATAGACAATTTAATTGTGCATCTGATTTTCCTAAAATATACAGGGCATTCCATTTAAATTAAAGAAGTTATTGCCGTTTGAAGCTAATAATTATTTAAAATAAATTTTTAGAAACTCTGTATAAGGTGGTATTATTTTTATTATTGCAACACAATAACTGATCAATAAATAAACTTCATTAAATATTTAGTATTAAAAACATTGATACCCTTGGAGAAATGAAGCTTTAAAATTTTTACTGTAATTTCACAAAATTGAAAATATTTCAAAAACGGTAAGGTTTAAGTATAATAAACCTTAATCAAATTTACCTTTATTTTAATCGTAGAAACTAAAAATGTAATAATATACAGGGTGTTCCATTAAAAAAATACAACTTTGATATTTTTTATTTATTTGAGACACTCTGTATCTTGTAAAAATATTTTTAAATTGTAGCTCTAATAGTCCTTCAACGAACCCCAAACTTACAATTTGTAAAAATATCATCGTTTAGCCACAATACTCCGTGTCGTATGTGGTGAACAACCCTGTATAGACCGTCTAAAGTAAACACCTAGTATAGTTTTGATTTCAGGACAGTTCTTGTATTTGTAATATTTTTTTTTAAATAAAGGCTGAAAAATATATTTATATTTTTTATTTATTCATTAATATCTCTTAGAGTTATGTAAAGTGATCTGGAAGGAAGCCAAAAATGCAGTAATATACAGGATGTTCTCTTTTAAAAAAATCATCCCAATCCACTCACACTATTTTGAGCGACCCTATAGAAGTTAAAATATTTTCCTGAAATACATCCTAGGTTGGTACTTAAACAAAATTCCCAAGTTTTTTATTCTCGGACCTACAGATGCCCGACGCACTATTGCCGGACCCTGTATAAATTATAGCCTTTCTTTTCTCAGTATTTAATGATAAAACACTTAATAATTTGTCTGGATTATGAGGAAAAACTAATCTATTTCGCAACTTCGTCTATTTTCGCCAAGACAGCACAGACGCTTGGTCGTGAATATTCATTAAAACGTCAGTTTGTATCAGTTTTACCCTTGTTAACTGGTGAAGAATATTATTGGGTGGCTATATAAAAAAAAACGGTATTTTTCAAGAAGTTTTGCTTGATTTGCTCTATTTAAGACAATATTATTTTTAAATCCATATACCGTGTGTCTCACTAAGAATAGCTCTCGGCTGTATCTCGGAAAGTATTAGCCGTTGGGCCTACGGAAAAAAATATTTATAACTAATGGGGCTATGAGAAATTGCTGGAAATTATTTTCAAGTTTGTAGAACGACCGCTAGAGGGCGCAACTGCTATGGAAAATAAGAAAATATAATTTTTACAGAATTTTGCCTAGATAATGGGTAGTACTATAAATAATACCTTCATAATTTTCAGTAAATTTTGGATTTTTTTCGTTAGAACCATTTTCCCATATCTGCTAAAATAAAGTGGTGGGGGAAGGTTAGATTTATCTTTATTTAACTGTTAATAACTCCGGACTGGATGATCAGAATCCAACAAACCAGGGCTCGTTTAAAAGAGCGTTTCTTACTCTATATTATACCATAAAAATAATAATAATAAGGTTTTGAACGTAGACGATAGGGGGCGCTTTCTTACAATTTAACAAACATAGCGCGTTTTTTCAAAAAAATTAAATACGATAGTATGTGTTATTTTAGCTGATAGTAAAGAGTAGTAAAAGCTTAAAAATTCAGCGAAAACCGCATCTTGATATCTTCTTTCAAACCGAAGATATTAGCAAAATTATAATAAATACCAAAAAATAAGCCCCTTAATTACAGTGGTGGCCAAAAGTATGGAAACTTTTTTAATTTGTCATTTATGCTGGGAAATTAAAATATGAAATAAAACGACTTATATAATCGTGACCTACAAATAATTTCCTACAAAACCTAATACATTTAAATAAAAAATTACAGCTATCAAAAAAGATATAAAAAATTATGAATATTTTCTTGGTCAAAAGTATGGAAACTTAAGAAGAATGTTTATTAAAATTCAAGATAATATAAAAATTACTAATATTTAGTGGAATATCCCTTTGAATTAATTATTTCTCTACATCTTCGTGGCATCGAATCGATCAATCTCGTACAATCTTTACTGGAAATGGCCGCCCATTCAGTTTTTAGCACTTCCCATAATTCATTTTTATTTGAAATAGAATGGCTTCGAATTTTCCTATCCAAATGGTCCCATAAATTTTCTATGGCGTTAAGATCCGGAGACTGTGAGGGCCAATCCATTAGTGGAACATTATGTTCATTTAACCAATTTTGAACAAACTGAGATTTGTGCTTGGGATCATTGTCTTGCTGGAACAACCATCTGAGTGGCATTTCTTCATCAGCATGAGGCAGCATATTATTATCCAATATGTCTTTGTACAAAAAACGGTCCATTATCCAACCTGAGCGAGAGGACCAACACCTGAGCGAGAAAAACACCCCCACACCATTATACTCCCACCCCCATGTTTTACTGTGAGCATCTGGTACTTATGGCTGTACCGTGTACCTTTTGGTCTTCGGATATAACGTCTCCCGTCACCACCAAACAGTTGAAACTTGCTTTCGTCGCTAAACAGTACATTCCATTTCTGATAAGACCAGGTGAGATGATCTTGAGCAAATTTAAAGCGGGCCATCCTATTTTTCTTTGATATTAGTGGTTTCTTCACCGCGACTCTTCCAAAAAGTCCCATGTCATCCAACCTTCTTCTCACCATGCGTGCAGACACCGATATTCCCCTTTCACCCATTTCTCGAGAAATGTCTGTGGATGTTTTTCTTGGATCTCCCATTGATATTCTCTTCGTTACTTTCATTGTCCTGTTGCACAACTTTCTTGGTCTTCCTGACTTAAAAGCTGTTGAAACGTTCCCTGTTTTATTAAATTTACGAATTATTTTCGAAACGGTGCCTTTTAAAATGTTTAAATTTTTACTTATTTGAATTTGTTTATAACCACTCTTGTATAATTCAACTATTTTATTTTTTAAATCCGTAGAGAAATATTTAGACTTGGGCATGATGTTTATATTTATCTGAAGCAAATCGTACCGTTTATCAACTTAAACTAAATAATTTTAATGTATTTATTTATGGTTTCCATACTTTTGGCCACAAGAAATCTATTGTTCTCCTACAAAAACTGCTAAACAGATTTTTTTCGCTGTGTAATTTTTGGAATACTTTTATTTGCTGATAAGCTGTTCATTTATATTCCTGAGAGTTTAAGCATAGCAATATTTTCTGTGATATTTTAAAAAGTAAAACGTTTCCATACTTTTGGCCACCACTGTACCTTATTTTTACAATACAGTATCAGTAGCCCTCTTGATTAGGCCCATTCTAACAAAAAAAAATAAGATAGAAACAGTTAATTTATTTTAAAATCGACGAAATACCATAATACCAGATGTATTAATATCTAATAATTAAGATATTAATAATAGTGAACAAGAAACGATGATTCAGTGAAGTCATGGTAGGCTTTGGAAAAAAGTTGCTTTTCGCGTAATAAATAGTATAAACGTCAAATTGTTATTAGAACAACATTTTGATAATCTTAGCAGAGTTTTTTTTATCTTTTAAATGCTATGGAGATTAGTGAGAGAATAAAGGATTATAACAAAAACAATCGTGTTTTTTTTTTAATTTTCACGAAAGATACGCTTGCGCCATAGATGTTGAGGTCTGGAAAAAGCGGGAAATGCTGTGGAAAATGATTAGTGCGCCGTGGAATGTCGGAACAATCGTTTTGAGAATTTCCACGCGAAAAACACGCGTCGAAAGATTATTTTCTCGAGAAAATCAAATAATTTTCTTAATTTTTTTTTTGTATTAAATATAAAATACTGAATATTTGTCCAATTTTCCATTTTATTGGTAAGTAAAACAGCAGAAAAGAAATAGTATTGTTAATTTTTTATTATTCTTTTACTTAGTTTTACATTTTTTTATATGTATGGAAAAAACCGAAAAAATTACATTTTTTGAATTTTTTTCAAAGGTATATTTCCAAAGTCTTAGAAAGTTAGTAATCATAGTCATAAAATGATGAAAAATTCAGAGTTTGTAGGAAATTTTATGTAGATTTAGAATATATACACGTTTAAGGGATTAGATATCTTGGTTTTGTGAGAAAAATTATTTTTTAGACCCTTGTTTTGAGATATTTTTGATGATGGTTGAAACGTCTCCTACATCCATTACTGTTCTCGTAAGACTACAATGGTCTATATTTTCTTATTCTACGCCTTTTAATTAGTAAATAATAGTAGTTTTAACAAAATCGGTGACAACAAAAATCGGCAATTTTCACGACTAAAAAAATGACACTTTTTGGCTATTTTTTACACTTTTTCAAAGACCTTAGAAAAATAGTAATCATAGCTATAAAATTATGAAAATTTCAGTGTTTGTATGAAATTTTATGTAGATTTAGAATATATACACCTTTAAAGGGTTAGATATCTTGGTTTTGTGAGAAAATTTATTTTTTGGGCCCTTGTTTTGGGATATTTTTGATGATGGTTAAAACGTCTCTACATCCATTAATGTTCTCGTAAGAATATAATGACCTATATTTTCTTATTTTACGTCTTTTAATTAGTAAACAACAGTAGTTTTAACAAAATCGGTGACATGACAAAAATCGAAAATTTTCAGGACTATTATTGTCGGAAAAAACGACAGTTTTTGACTATTTTTTACACATTATCAAAGTTATCTATATATTTTATACTTTAACTTCTATAGCGCAATACTCTGTAGAAGAAAAAAATGTGAATTTTATTTGGCGCGCAAATCGTACGTATATGACTGAATTTCTTTTATGATCGGAATTTTTCATTTTAAATTCTGTAAATTCCTGAGCTCTGTTGTCAAACAGTTTTGCTGAATGCTATTTTATATTAAAATACAGTTTTACAAAGAACTCTTACATTACAAGAATTTTACATACAATGTAAAATGTCTAAAAGAATGCTTTATCGAGGGGGCACTTTGTAGTGAGTAAAGGAAAAATCTCTAAGGGTTTGAAAAATTATAAGTTAAAAATATAGAATATTTTTTATTTTTTTTCTCATAGCAACTATTAAAATTGACTTATATCTGTCAAAAATAGTAGATAAAATAGTACTTTAACCGCAAGAGTAGATTAAATGATACACGAAAGAGAATTAAAAAATATTGACTCAAAACTGACAACTAAAGTGACAGCTTTATTTATTTGTCAAATTACATAGAAACCAACGCCAACCCAGCACAATATTTTTTCTACTCGTAATAAATTCCTTGAAATAATAATTTATATAATATGGAAAATTCTGAAAACTGCACTGTGGTGATATACGAGTAAAATACAGAAAATCAACAAATCTGGGATAATATCTCATATAATATTATAAGGCTTGTAAAAAAGCACTCAGGTTATAATAAGTGTTCCCGACATTTTCTCTTATAAGCCATGCCAAGTAAAAATAATATTCACTGTCTCAGAGAATTAAGTAAACCTAGAGGGGTCCTACCCTGGATCAGGGAAAAGCAGACGGTCCCCTGGAGACACAGACCGGAGCACAGGCATAGCAATGCCTTCATCCCTAATTCTAAAATTATAGTTCATATCAGGTAAATTTTTAGTCACGTTATTCTAACCGAACGAAAGTTATTCGTTCTCGAAGTGTTTCCAAAAAGGTGGTGGCGATATTTGCCTCAAAAGCGGGTTCTCTGTAAGATCGAAGAACTGCAGAAACTGCGATCCTGAAAGAGCAGAGCACATGTCACTGCGAGACTTTGAAAAATTAAGATTAATAGTATCTCTATGTTTGATACTATTGTTACGTTTTTCGTCGGTTCCGTGTGGATAGAAAGTCACAATTTATTTAAACACTATTTATTTAACACTAATTAACCAAAACAATAACGATAAAAGACTTAAAGAACTATTTACAAACGATTTATAACTAAGAATTTATTTTGAATTTTAGCGCGTCAACTGCACTCGTCGATTTATAACTGCCCTCTCTAGGCCACAGCCGCCGGCTTTTATACCTACAGCTAAAGGTTACTAGAATAGTCCATAGATCGTTAGGTGCATAGAGAAGGTTTCGAATGTTCTCGTATGTATTACTCCATTCCAGTGGGACTCGATGCTTCTCGAATCTTCGACATAGACAAACAGAAAAATTAAAAGACTGCCAGAAGACATACGACGCGCAGGCAAATGTACCTGTAGCGCATCGACGCAAGTGCCGAAATACGTCCATCTAGCTATCTGTGTTTCGACACTAGTCCGTTAGTCTTAACATATTCAGAAAGAACACGCTAACCTCCAGCGTTGCCAATTTGTGGGGAATTCCCCAAATTTTGGGGAATCCGGAGCCGATTGGGAGTTTTGTGGGGATTTTAGCAATAGGGGGCGAAAATAAGGGGAGTTTCAACATTTTATTGCTGATTGAAAATGGCGTAAAATTTTTAGCTTTAAAAACGGAGCGGGACGATATATTTTTCCCAACTTAAAAATTATAATCTGCTTTTTACTTGTGCTTCCCTTTGCAAATGCTTCAGTTGAAAGAAAATTTAGTGACCTCAAATTATTTAATGACTACTAGGGAAGGGATTAAAAAACAAGGAGGTAATTTACAGTTTAATCTCTCTAACATATATAATAAATATTGTATTTTTATTAAAATTATTTTTTTTTTCTACTGTGAATCTTCATATTCTAGGCCTGTAAAGGTAAATAATTCCTGGAGCCATCTCGAGGTATAGTACTCAAGTCGGAGCGAATCAATTGATAGCACGATGAAAAGAAATAATAGCCATCATAAAACTGTAAATATGTATATAACTAGTACAATGTAGCTATTTAACTGTAAGTACAATGTAGCTAGATATTTAGTAGAATAGGGGTATTATAAATTAATACAAAATACAATAATTGGTCACTCTTTCCATTCCCATTCAATTCTTCCCATTTAATCATTTTCCCATAAAAAAAGGAAAATTAAAATTAAGAGTGCCGTTAACCAAAAATAGTGAAATAAATGGAGATAGTCAAATTTTATATTAGCGTGTAAGACTTTGATTAAAAAGGTGTAAAAGGATTATAAATGCTGTATTTATATCCTTTAATATCATGATAATATAAAAATTGAGTAGGTATCTCCATTTATATCACTGTTTTTGGTTAAGGGCACTCTTAGTTTTAATTGCCTTAAAAATAATAAGTATAATAATAATTTAAATCTCCCGCTCTTTCATAGTTCGTACCTGTAGCCAAGTTGAGGGCGCTAAAAGCGCAATCTCCCAACATTTTACCACGCGATTCACCACTCTCTAAACTATTAACTTTCTCTATGATCTTCGAATGAATCATTACGGTGTCTATTTTTTTAATGCGATGTTAAGGTCATCCGAGGGCGGGCCATATAGTTAGGTTAGGTCGAGTCCTCACCGGTCCGCAACACTATCTTGGGATCATCCTCCACAAGTGGCACACAAGCTACCACCTTCTCCAGCAAGGGTCGGGAACACAAAACACATACACAAGAAGAAGTGCGAGCGCCTTGCTAAATATTGGAAAGTGAAATTGACGTTTAAATTTGACACTGTTGACAAGTCTACTGCTACTAGCGCCCCCAATATCGCTTGTAGGGACTACGGACTAGATTGTCACGCATGGCGGGAAGTTCAAAAAAATAAAAAATTTTAATTCTTCATTTATTTTTAATGATGACATACATAAAATCACAAAAAATACACCATTTTTTAAAAATATGTTTAATATCAATATCAAATATACAACAGAAATTAATTTCACCACAATAAATTAATAAAATTAAAAGAATAATGTTACAAGTAGATCAAGAGACAAAATTAATTATAACAAAATTGAAAAAAATGGCTTCATAGATGGCTTAGAAATGAAGATATATATCATAATTTTGAAAGTAAAATTATATGGGAATGTCATATCGATCATCATTTTTAAGCCAACTGGACGACTATTTCAAACATACAAGCTGAGTTCGTTCATAGTGCTCTGAGAAATCTAGATAAACAAAGAATAATAAATATATAATATTAAATAAGTATTCCAGGGGAAAAGAGAGGAATAACCTGTATCGTCTCTGATATCCGTCAGGGTATTGTTGAAAGTGCCATCTTTTTGCTCGAAGCTTTGGCTCGACGTTTTCAGGTCGATCAAAAAGATGACATTTACAACAATACTTTGCCGTAAGTTTCACAAATCTCAGTAGAGGTATTGCCCAGAGAGTACAGGTATTGCCTCTCTTTTCCTCTGGGATGCTTTATATCTGTTGTTCTTTGTTTATCTATATTTCTCAGAGCATAATGCCAAACACGACTACAGTATATAATAATTTCAATATCCTAAGTGGAAAGAAAAAAGATCACCTTTCTGTTCTGTACTATGGTCCCTTTCTTCCGATGGCTCATCTCGTTGATATTTAGGATGGTATCCATAAAATATATATTTTACTATCGGTCCTGTGGGATGAAAAAATATAAAATTCAATTTGATTTGATGATCTTTTTCTGTCACCTAAATCAGGAGAATGACAATGAGCATGTTAAGATGAAAAAAATATATTTATCAACACTTTTACCTACACGTTAGTCCGAGGAGTTTTATCAAAAACCTATATTTATAGATTTTTTTTTTAATTTTTTTTTATTTATATTTTTATTTTTTTTATAGATCTTTAAGGTTGCAGTGATAAACCCCCCCCTCTTCCTCTTACTCATTCGACATCTACAACTACATCTCTGTGTTTTCTTATTTCTCTGAGACCAGACTTGTTTGTACTAAACTTTATTGCTCGCTTTTAAGAATCAAAAGCACTCGACAGTTTTAAGCGGTA